GTGTTGGGTAGTCACCAAGTCATCACAGCTGTGGAGAGGGGGAGTTGGAAACCGGCAACTTCTTCTGACTTATTCCCTCTGATAGCCTCGCGCACGGATAGCTGGCGAGAAAGGTTTTGGGTTATTACAGCTGGGGGACGGGGAGTTGGAGATCAGGCACCTTCTCAGTTTCACTTGGCTCTGATATTCACGCCCACCGAGAGCTGGCAAGAAAGGTTTTGAGTTATCACAACTGGGTAGAGGCGGGCTGGGACACACCTGTGCAGACACCCATCTCGCTTCCTGTTACGTTGCCCAAGGCTGATGAGGTAGATTTTCCAAGATGGTGACCACCTGTTTCCGAGCCGGGGTGTCCCGTGAGCCGGGCTGCTCCTCTACTAAGTGCTGGCTTCGGTCCTCGGTCCAGTGCCCTGTGGACGTGGGTCACAGTCTGCTGTGCTCTAGCCCCAAAGGATCTGAAACTCTGTCTCTAGGCTGCCAGAACTCCATGGCGCTCAACTCCCCCGTCTCTGGCAGGCTCCCGGGCTGCGCGCTGCTGGCCAGTCTCGTGTTCTGGGCTGCACTTGTAACGAACCACTATTTAAAATGTTGTCACAGGCTCCATGAAGCTTAAATTCATGAATGGGGGCCTCTCTGGGGGAGAGTTTCCAACCACTCACTCTCCGCCATCTTGCCTCAATCCTCTCTCGTTGGTTTTTCTAACTACTGTTTCCCCTTAGTTTTATTTCATATTAAACCCTTTCCCTTCCAGCTAAAATGGTTCACTTTGAAGCTTTATTTGTCTCCTGATTTTGTCTTTCTCTTGTTTTACTAATGAGTAATCTCTTTGAAATCTATTGCCAACTTTCAGCAACAGTTTTCTCTCTGTCTTCAGGTCATGTCATACAAACAGGTAGTTCAGGTTATTAATTTTGATTCTAAATTTTTAATTAAAGTATGATACATGCATACAAAATACACATGTGTGTAGATAATTGAATTATCAAGCCTGAATACATTTCATAGAACCATGATGCTAATCAAAAAGTGGAATATTTCCAGCAACCTAGAAGCACCCTTGTATTCCTTCCATATCATTACACCTTTTCTCTTCCCCAAACGTAATCACTGCCTTAACTTTTAAAATCCCATTTTAGTGTTGGCCTGGTTTTGAATTTTATTTAAATAGAATCATGCAATAATTATCCTTTTGTGTTTGTAAATCATTCATATCATTTCAATTTAGCCACTTCATTTCTGTTTTTGTTATATTTTATATTAAAGTTTATCACTGTGTTGTTTTGGTCATTTCATTATTTGAGTATTGGGCTATTACAATAATGCAATAGTTCTCATGTCATTCATATAACCTGTCCTAATGATACTATCTTTCATAATCACATAAGAGAACTAGGAAGTTGTTGTGGTATAATATTCTACTTGGCTTGCCAAGTCTCTGGTAGGATTTCACCAGTTTGGGGATGGGAATGTAACTCAGTGCTGGCCTATCATATGTGAGGCTCTGAGTTCAATCTCCAGTACTGAAAAAAAGTAGGCTGCATTCCATGTTTTTTCAAGGGAGGTAGGGAAAGAAAACAGCACATAATTCTGTAAGTTTTGTTACAAATATCCATGTACTCACCTTCCTCTTGCAGTATGATTTTATTACCTCCCCCCAAAATCATTTGTGCTAGCTCTTTGTAATTGTATTTACTTCCTGGCAACCACTGATCTGTTCTTCATCACTGCAATTTTGTCTTTTCTAGAATGTTATGTAAATGGAATCATACAGTATATAATATTTTGCGATTTCTTATGTCACATCATAATACTGCTGAGATTGTTCAAGTTATTGTTTGTAATTGCTGAGTAGCATTCCATGGTATGGGTGTTTTATAATTTGTTTATCATGTCCCCACTGAAAAGCATTTTGATTGTCTCTAGTTATTGGCAATATAATTAAAGTTTCATTCTCATATTCCTTTTGTGTGGACACAAATATATACCTATTTGCAGAATAAATAAAAAAGGGAAGTGTTAGATTGTTGGATAATGTATAAGTATGTATTTTAGTTTATAAGAACTGGCTAGACTGTTTTCAGGAGTGGTCTTAATATTTTGAGTTCCTATGAATAGGTTATGAGAGATTCAGTTGCTCAGCACTTGGTATTGTTTTTTTATTTTAATAATTCCAAAAGTGTATATTGGTATCTCATTGTGACTTTAATTTGCATCTTCCTGATTTAAAATTATGTTGAATATCTTTATGTGCTAATTTATTAGCCATGAATATCTCTGCTTTGGTGAAAAGTCTGTTAAAATCTTTTGCTCTGTTTTCAATAGATTATTTTCTTACTACAGAGTTTAGAAAATTATTTATCTATTCTGGGATCAAAAGCTCTGTGAGATATGTGATTTTCAATCTGTATCTTTTAATCTAATCTAAATCTTTTTATTCTCATAATAGTGTCTTTTGCAGAGCAAATGTTTTTGATTCTGATTAAGTACAATTCATCGAGTTTGTGCTTTTAGTGTCATTTGTAATTCATATCCTTTTTGATCTAACCCTAGATCACAAAGATTTTTTTTCCGTAAAATGTATGGTTATATGATTTTCCTTTTAGAAACATTATCCATTTTGACTTTTTCCCCCTTAAGCCTTGAGGTTTAAGTTGAGACTTTTTATGGATGATCAAATACCCTAATGTAATTTGTTGAAAAGACTGTTTAATTATTTTTGTACCATTTAAAAAAAATCATCTGTTTTTAAAAAACCACATCAATGTTTATAGCACCCACTTCAAAATAGCTAAACTGTGGAACCAACCTAGATGCCCTTCAGAAAATATTATATACATAATAGAATATTACTCAGCAATAAGATGAAAACTTTGTGCTCTATATATGTAATATGCATTGTAATGTATTCTGCTGTCATATATAAATAAAAAATTAATTAAAAAGTTCCAAATCTTATTCAATAGTGGACAAAGTGTAATAAAACTATCATGTCTCCATTAAAAAAATTACCTGGCCATATTGATGGGATCTATTTCTGGATTCTATTCTCCATCATTGAGCTGGGTGTCCAGGGTATCCAAAGCTGTATTATCTCTGATTGAGAAAGAGGTGGGTGGGTGGAGGAGAAAGACTTAAACTAGGGTAATGTGATTCTTTCAACTCCAATAATTCTTCATTTGAAAATTAATTTTAATTTTTCATTCCTTTGCCTTTACACATATTTTTTAGAATCAGTCTGTTCATATCAAGTCAATAACTTGCTAGGTGTCTGGTAAAAGTTCTGTTAAATCAATAGTACAATTTGAGAAGGATTGACATGCGTTAGATTATTGTGTTGAATCTTCTAATCATGAACACAGCATGCCTTTCTATTTATTTAGTTTTTAAAATTTTTTTCTTCAATGACTTTGGATCATCTGTGTTAATATATTTTTAATATATTACTAGTTTTCTATAGCATTTAATATATTAATATAACCTAGTGTATTTTTCATCTCAAATATTTTTATCTCTCATGTCTCTTATTTCATTTTCTTATACTTACTGAACAGATTGAATGTAGTTGTCATAACTTCTGATGTCCTTATTTTCTGCTTCTATAAATTGCACATTTTATGTCATTGTGGGTAATATTTCTACTTCTTTGCATAACTGTTATATTATTTGTTGTCATATAATATCACACAGCTTATTAACTTAAAACAGCTCACATTCATCTTACAAGTTCTTCCTGTTGGATCAGGTACAACTTCATTGGTTTTTTGCAAAGATATAGTCAAGGTATCATCTATAGTGTGGACTCAAAATCTGAGGCTGAATAAGGGAAGATTTTTTTATTCTAAACTCATGTGATTGTTGGTTTAAGCTTTAAGATTTAGGTCCTTAAATTTGTAGAACTGAACATTTTAGTTTCTTTCTAGTTGTTGGCCAGATATTATCCTCAGCAACTTTACATACGGGCAGCATGGCTAGCAGCACCCAAATACAGCCAAGGAGAGCTTCTCAAAGTGAGACAAGTGCCATAATCCTATGTAACATAATCACAGAAACGACATTTCATTACTCTTGCCAAATTCCATTGATTTAAACACTATAACTCCAGCAAAAGGGACCACATGAGAATGTGAACACTAGATGGGAGAAATGATGGGCCCACCTGGAATGCTGTTTTTGGGACATAATAATTCTTTAATTGAATGCCAGACATGTTCTCCTTCACCTCAGGCCCAAAACTATGGCCAACTGACCATGGACTGAAGCCTCTGAAACTGTGAGCCAAAGCAAATCTTTCCTTCTCTAAGTTGTTCTTTACAAGTATTTCGTCACAGAAACAAACAGCTAAACACAAGGATTTTACTTTCTAACTTTTATCTGGTGGGACAAGAGTAGCATTTATTCCACAGCAGCTGTTCTCACTTTTGGGCAATTTTGCTCCCAATGTCTGGGGACATTTATCATGACTAGGATAGTTGTTACTGGAACCTAGTGGGTAGAAGCCAAGGATGCTCTTGAAGATCCTACACTGCATAAGGTAGCCTCCCATAACAAAAAATTATTTTAAAATGTCAACAAAATTATGACTCGGAAACTCTGACGTACATAAAGTATCAAGAAAAATGCTTTATACCAAGAAGTGGTGTTGAATAAACCAAGAAGGTTTATTCCTTCATGGAAACAGAAAATAATGAAAAGAAAGGAAGTCTTATTTTTTGATTTTAAAGTTTAAAGTGTTTCTTGTGTCAGAACCAGAACTGGCAAGGTATTGGGGAAAAACCGGACCCAGAATTTCTGAGTTGCAGACACAGCACTGCCTCTCACTTCGTGGATGTCTTTGATCAGGTCATTTGGTTATTTTTGCACCATGATTTCATACTCTGTAAAATGGGGATGATATTTAACTTATATAGGTTGTTGTAGGAATTAAATCACATAATACATGTGAATGCATTTTGAAATCTACAAACTGTTTTTCATGACACTTGGTTTGTATTCTCTCACAGGAGTACCAGCTCATGATAGGACTCAGTAATGCTATGCTCTGGTCTTCGTATTTCATTACTTTCTTATTCTTATATGCAATAGTCATCATTATACTTTGTATACTGTTATTTTACAAGGCAAGTATCTATTTGAATGGAGCATGCTACAAGCTAAAAAAAGCTTTGAGAGGGATACAGAAATTGTGTGATAGGCAAATTTTTGTTTTCAGAGAAGTAAATGTGTTTTTCAATGACTCCACTATGGAAGCTCAGAATATGCTTTAGTCTCATAGTAAATCAAACAGTATACCTAGATGAGAGACCCTTCTGTGAGAAATGAGTTATTCAGTTAATTTCCATCTCAATGAGCTGTGTAACCTATTTTACTAGGGCCACGAAATGTTTGATATGTTCCTTCACCTCCCTGTTTTTCTGCCATCTCTTAAAATATTACTGAACTACCTTTCTGATTGTTTTACTAGATTGTAAATGAGACAGTTCTCCAACACAGTGACGTGATGTTACTCTTTGTCTTCTTCCTGTTTTATGCCATTGTCTCAATAATGTTTGGCTTTATGATTTCCACGTTCTTCAATAAATGTGAGTCTACAGCTCCTTTTGTGAAAGAGCCTGAGTGTTTTGACTAAGAATTTTATTTGTGAGCTCCTTCTAAACTTTAGTTGTTACTTCATATGTAGGTTCTGCTTACTTTCTCACTAAAAAGTCAAATATCATACATGCATGTGAAATGATCTAAAAAGAAGTGCAAAGATCTACTAAAATAGGTTCATATAGAAATGTGTATTTATTCACTTTCTGAAATCTTTGGATCACTTATGGTGTACCTTGAGCAGTGTCAAAAATACAAACAACAGTAAAAACCAACCAAACAACCAAACAAAAAAAACCCAAAGAGAATTGTTTTTCTGCCCTTTCTGTCTAATTCAGATTGGACTAGTTGGGGAATTTATAGAGGTAATTCTTCAGTAGCCATTTTTTTGTAGTCACTTATTTTTTAAAGATGATAACAAATCTTCACCTTTTTCACTTTTGTATTTTTATATCTTATGTGATAAACAGCATATTACCTTCTCTTAGCTGTCACAAATACAATTGTATCATGGGAAAGACTTTTTTAGTGTTTTCACTAGAACATTGCTCTCAATTTGTTCTTTCAAAGTAGAGTGTCAACTTATCGACTTCCATAAAAAACTGACAATCCATAGGTATTACAAAAATATTAAAAGTATGGTTTCTGTGTGAAGAACATAAGTGGATATGATCAGCAGATTGAAATTCCAAGTACGAATATATATATATATGTGTGTGTGTGTGTGTGTGTGTGTGTGTGTATATATATATATATATGTAGAAAATTTTGTATTTTGTAAGCTCCACAATGTTTCTTTATTCTTCCAGCCCTTTACTTACAAAAATGTACTTACATATCCAAAGTATTTTTTTTCTTTATGATTCCTGTTTTAATTAACTTTTTTGACTAAAGAATAAAATCCCATTTATTCTTTAGGGGATAACCTACACATAAATTGATAGCATTCTACTATTTTTCCACAGATGAGTTTGCATATAGTTTGTCTAGATTTATAAGCCCTTTCAGATTTTTTTTATAACCATCATGGCCTCATTTATTATATTAGAACATAGAAATTTGCTAATACTTGCTCCATATGCCATTTTCTGATAGTATAACTGATATTCTGATTTACTCTTCTTTATAGCATGATTGCTTCTATAATTAAATAGTGTGTTAATTAATTTTGGTGAAATTTTTTTTATGATTTTTATATAACTCAGGATTACAATTTGAGCTTCCTCCATATAGTTGTGGGTAGCTGGTTTCATTTTTACTGCTGCTTAGTATTGTGTAGTTATTTTTCTATACTTGATGTATAGTTGGGGTGTTTCTGGTTAGTTACTATTATTAGTATTATAATACTAATATGAGCATTCTTGTATATGTTAGCCAGTGCAGATATGCAAGAGTTTTCCTGGGGCACATAACTTGGAGTGGAATTTCTAGTCTATCATAGAGTGTTACATGTTACCTTAGTAGGTCATATCAAACTGTTTCCAAAGTGGTTGTACAATTTTGCAGTCTTCCTAGCAGCAGATCAGTGCTTCTATTGTTTTATATTTTTTGGTAACTCTTTCAAAACTTGTTGCATATTTTTGGGCATGATAAATATCTCATAATAGTTTTAAGTTACTAATATTTGGTATATATGGAATGGCAAAATATATACTCTTGTGTCTGAATTGTTTCACTTTATATGTTTTCAACTTCATTCACATTCTACATGGATGATACAATGTTTCTTAATTGCTGAATAATATTTCCTTGTATAGATACACCACATTTTGCTTGCTTATCCATTCAGCCAATAGTTGTCATTGGATTATTTTCAAGTTTTTGTTGTTTCACTCTCTTTTTTAAATTTCTTTTCTTTTTTTCTTGGTACTGGGAATTGAACCCAGGGGCACTTAAGCACTGAGCTACATCTATAGCCTCTGCTTTATTTTTTATTTTTATATATTTATTTAGAGACACGGTCTTACTGAGTTGCTTAGGGCCTGCCTTCCTAACTTGTTGAGGCTGACTTTGAACTCACAGTGCTCCTGCCTCAGCCTGTGAATATTTCTCCTATGATTATTGACATACAGTTGTTTTCATTTCTCATAGAAGTAAAATTGCTGGATTATGAGGTAAATTCATATTTTAACTTAAAAATTTTAAAAAAATGTCTTCCAAAATGGACATACCTTATATTTATTCTTATCAGCAGTGAATGAGAGTTTCAGTTCCTTATATCTTTGCCAAAATTTTGTACTATCTATATATTAATTATAGTTATTATGCTGAGTATGTGGTAATATCTTATTGTGTTTTTAATTTAAATTTTTTAAAGACTGTTAATGTTGAAAATTTTTCACATTCTTATCAGATCAGCCATTCATATCTTTTCCTTGGTAAAATATCTGTACAGATCTTTTGCCTACTTTATAAATGGATTGTTCAGTTTTTGTTGAGGTTTTGTTTTGTTTTTGAGGTAAAATTAGCACAAAATAAAATTGACTATTTTAAAGTATATGTTTTGGTGGCATTTAGTACATTCACAATATTATGCAACTATCACTTCTAACTCAACATCTTCCTTATTTCCAAAAGAGACCCTGTGTGCAATAAGCAGTCACTTTTCATTCCCTTTACTAGCAGATCCTCACAACCAGTGACCTATTTTTGTCTCTACTGATTTACTTATTCTAGATATTTTAACTAAATGGAATCATACAGTGACTTTTTATATCTAGCTTCTTTCATTAGAATGTTTTTGAGGTTCATGTATGATTAACATGTATCAATACTTTATTTCTTTTTTATGGCCAAATAATACTCTGTTCTATGGAGATATCACATTTTTAAATGCCTTCATCCATTGGTAGATATTTTTATTGTTCCACGTTTTGGCTATTCTTCAGAATGCATAGGTAGGAGTGGATAGCTAGGCGTGAAACATAACATAATATATTAATTCTAGAAAAGAGGAAACTTTTGGTCAGGAAAAATAGCAAACAAGTAGTAGTTTGTAGGAATTTGGGAGAGAGATGAAGAGATGAAGCAAAGGGTGATTTCACAAAAATAGTGCACTAAAATTATTCTGCATGATATTATAATAATAAATACTTGACATTAAGCATTTGTTAAACCCCCTGCACCATACAACAAAGAGTAAACCCTTATTTAAACTATAGACCAGTTAGTAGTACTGGATTAATATTGATTCATCAATTTTAATTAATGTAACAAACCAATGAAAGACGTCAAAAATAGAGCAATGCTATGTTGAGGTAGAGGAGAGTTTACAGTTTTCCTGTAAACCTAAAACTGCTCGTAACCTAACAGAACATTCAAAAGACTGTAAACATCAATTTACCTGCAAATGCCATGATTTTATTCACTTTTATTGCTGAGTAAAATTACATTGTGTATAAATGCCACATTTTTTTAATCCATTAATTCACTGAAGGGCATCTAGGTTGGCTCCACAGTTTAGCTATTGTGAATTGTGCTGCTATAAACATTGATGTGGCTGTGTCCCTGTAGTATGCTGTTTTTATGTCCTTTGGGTATAGTTTGAGGAGAGGGACAGCTGAGTCAAATGGTGGTTCCATTCCCAGATTTCCAAGGAATCTCCATATTGCTTTCCATATTGGCCACACCAGTTTGCTCTAGATAGGGAAGACAGGTGGGAGGGAGGGAGGGGACAGGGGATTACAAAGGGCGGTGGAATGTGATGGACATCATTATCCAAAGTACATGTATGAAGAATACATGTATTAAGCATACAGTAGAGGAAACCTCCTCATGGCCAGAAGTGAGAGAGAGGAAGAGGAAGGCCAAAGTCCCAATGTCCCCTTCAAAGGCATGCCCTCAATGACCTCACTTCCAGCTATAAGGCTTCATCTCATAAAGGTACCACTTTCCTAGCACCAAGCCTTTAAGACTGGGCTTTTGGAGGATTTTTCAGTTCTAAACTATAGGAAACTATAATTTTGTTGTCTGTTTTAGATGTTCTTCTATGTCATCGGGAATAGGTATTTGAAGTATTGTAGACTAAAAGTATGTATAAAAAATACTACCAAGTTTTTCATTTTTATCTACCAAAATTTTAAAATTCAAGGAAATCATGTAGACATATTCTTGTGATGGGAATACTAGTGTACTAGAGTAATCAAGATGAGGTAGTCATGATCAAAATGAAGAAGAAAATTTAAATAAACAAAAATAAGTACTTTTTCATGTGATTAAATATCCATGACAATTGCATAAGTAGGAGAAGGATAAATTCCAGAAATTTTCTTCCTAAACTTATTCATTTAAGCAAAAACATTTATTGAGCACTTACCCTGTTAAGCACTGTGCTAAGATGATTTGAGCAAGATGATTTACCTTCTTTTGTAGAGGTTATAAATCTCTGTGTAGTAAAATGAGAGAATTTGTGTTTTAGGCTTCTTTAGCTCAAGTCAACTAACTATATTTTCCATCTAACTTTTCAGCTTCTTTGGCTACTTCTATTGCAAGTTTCCTCCATTTTGTCACGTTCCTTCCATATTTAGTGTTCCTTAGAAGATATAATGAAATGAGCCTTAGTGAGAAGCTGGCCATCTGTCTCATTACAAATACTGCATTAGGTCTGGGAACTGAAAAAATATGCAAGCTGGAAATGAAGGGTGAGTCTGTCCTTTGTAAAACTGCCTTAGATGTTTTGATTCCCAGAAAGAAAGGGCAATGATTTTGGGTCAGTGGTGGAGTAACGGATTAAGGGATGGTTTTATGTTTTGTGACTATTTTTTTGGATTATGGTATTTAACATAAAATTATATTTGTGCATTTTATGTACATATTGTGTATTATGAATATATAATATACACAAATGCATGCAAATATAAATAAAATAGTATAAATAGTAAGCACAGTAATATAAGTGATATATTAGTTATTTATACTTTCATGAATACATATGTCTATGTTTTATCTTTATCACTGTTCTCCTTTTGGAGCTAATTTTGCCACCTGGAGGATAATGGCAATATCTGGAGATTTTTTTAGTTTTTGTTGTTATGACTGAGGAGTGCTACTGACATCAAGTGGGCAAGAGCCAGAGATGCTACTAAATATACTGCAAAGTTCTGAAAAGTACTCACAACATAGAATTATACAGCTCTAAATGTCAGAGCTGAGGTTAAGACACCATGGTTGATATCCACTTATTAACCTCTGTGAGTTCTTTGTTACATCTAATTCCAATCCAACCTAGAGGCTTCTTCCTAGCTTTTCCCCATTCCATATTTTATTTTCCTTTCTAGCTGTGAGAAACTTGACACTTACCATTCTCAATAGATTTGCTTATTTGCTCAGTTTTGCAGTACTTAGGAAGTAATTACACAACTACTAATCCATACTACTGTGAACAGCAAATACTTTATACTTATTCTGAGTTTGTACTTGAAATATTGTGTTCAAACATAATGTTGGCCGTGTCTTCTTTGTACTTTCACTGTGGTTATATTATTTATTTGAACTAGGGATAGGTACCTTTGTTTTTATTTATACTCCTTTTTTAGTCCTCCCTCATCATTAACATAATGAAAATTTATGAATACGTAATTTTGCAGTTTTTAAAAAGTAGAAACATAATAGAATAATCAGTTTAGAGTCATTCCCTCCTCATGCTCTTACATCCCACACATGTGTACTACTCTTAGTTATTTGTAGTTTATCCTTTCTGTGTTTTACTTAAAAATATATCAGTTTTATATATATACTTATTTACTTACTTTCTTGTAAAAAATGGTACTGTACTGTATATTTCTTTGCAATTTGCTTTTTTCTAACAACATATTGTATAAATAATTCCATATGACTTTACATATATATTTTCTTCATTATTTTTTACATATACATTGTGTGGATATGCTATATTCATTTAAATTATATATGGACATTTAGGAAACTGAAAATATGATCACGTGTCCCTTAATGATGGGAATACACTCAGAATACTGCATCATTAGTTGACTTCATCCTTTTGCAAATTTTATAGAACAAACTTAGACAAACCTAGATGACATCGGTCCATCACTCATCGTGGCCTCTGATACATTTGAGGCTTCTGCCAGTGTATCATGGCATATGATTTTACAGAAAATGTGTTTTTCGTAAGTAGAAATACATTCTAAAATGATAAAAAATATAGTAAATAATAAATATTTAAACTAGTAACATAGTCATTTATTAAATATCATGATCAAATATGTACTCTACATAATTGTATGTGTTGTACTTTTATATGACTGGCAGGGTAGCAGGTTTCTTTGTGCTGGCAACACCACAACATACGAGTGGTGAATTGCACTATAGATTAGGATAGCTCTGATGCTATTAGATGAAAGTCATTTTCCAGCTACATCATAGTCTTCTGGAAACAGCATTACCTACACAGTCTACTTGTGATCACAACATTGACACATTGTGCTATGGCACCTGATGGTATTTTTCTGTTAGAACAAACGTGAAATGGGCTTATCCTTTGTATATGTATTTTTGTGTTTTTGTAGGTATATCATAAAGGGTAAATTTTTTAAGTTGTCCTGTAGTATTATTTGCGGGACTTTTTTTTATTTAGAAATATTCAGGTTATTTATTCTCCTTGAACAAGTTTTAATAGCATGTGTCTTGTATAGAATTTGTCCATTACAAATAAGTCAAAATTATTGACATCAAGATTTTCATCATATTCCTTTTTTTGTCTTTTCCTCAGGTCTTTTGAAATATTATTAAAATTTATATTCAGTAAAATTGCTCTTTTTGGGTGTAAAGTTCTGTGAATTTAAGCACCTGTCTAGACAACTGTAACCATCACAGAAATTAGGACACAAAACCTCCTTCCATCCAAACGAGTCCCTTGTGCTGACCTTTTGTTGTTGCACATTTCCTTAGCCTGTAATACCTGGCAACCACTGACCTGCTCTTCATCCTTGTAGTTTTACTTTTTCCAGATGTCACACAAATGGAATGATACAGTGTATGAACTTTTGCACTGGCTTATTCCACTTAGCATAAGGTGTTTGCTCTTCACCCATGCTCTTGCCTGTATTAGTAGTTCATTTTGTTATACTGCTGAGTTGTCAATTGATTATGGATCTTAATTATATCAGTTTTTCCATTTCTGCAAAAAGGGCTATTGGGATTTTTGAGTCTGTAGACTGCATTGGGTAGTATTGCTGTCTTAGTCTTTGCATCCAGCAATACAGGCCATATTGCCACCTATCTAGGTCTTTAATTTATTTCAGCAAAGTGCCATAGGAGTCAGGCTTGCATTTCTTGTTTAAATGTGTCTCTAACCATGTTATTTTGATGACATTGTAAATGGAGTTGTTCTCTCTCACTCTATTTTTTAAAAATATTTATTTTTTAGTTGTAATTGGACATAATACCTTTATTTATTTTTATGTGGTGCTGAGGATTGAACCCAGGGCCTTGCATGTGCTAGGTGAGCACTCTACCACTGAGCCACAACCCCAGCCGCCTCCATACTGTTTTTTATATTGTCTTTACTAATTTAAATTTACACCAACAGTTTGTAAGACTTTCTGTTCCCCCACATCTTTGCCAGCATTTATTATTATTTGTGTTCTTGATGACAGCCATTATGACTGAAGTGAGATGGAATCTCATTGTATTTTTGATTTGCATTTCTCTGATGGCTAAGATGTTGAACTTTTTAAATATACTTTTTGTTTATTTGTACTTCTTCTTTTGAGAAGTATCTATTCAGTTCATTTGCCCATTCATTGAATAGGTTATTTTGGTTTTTGGCTCCCATGTGAAACCAAATGTGACTGGTCCCATCTCTGGCCTCAGAGGAGGTTCCCTGATCTTTCGATTTCAAAGAGTGGGTCCTCCTCTCCACCCTGAGTCAGGAATTGTGTCAGAGTCTCTCCCCTGAGTCAAAATGGTCTCATGAGGCCATCACCTGCCCAGGCAACACAGGGGAAGAGATATAAATATGCTTGGATTTTGGGCTCCCAGAGTAGTACAATAGGATTGTTCTCAAGATAGCTCCTGACTCTAGCCATTCAGAGTTCAATAGGAGATGCAGTGAACTCCTCTAAAAATAGCTTGCTGTTCATTCATACTCCAGGTCTTTGATTTATTTAGGCTGTATGTCTGCAAATTGCAGGCTTCTGCACTAAACTAGGACTCTCTCTCTTTCACCTTCACCTTATCAAAGGGAAGAATGTCCCTTTTTTAGCTGTGGTGCCAATTGTTCTCCATAGTTCTTCATATTCAGATATAATCCTATAATGCAATATAGTTCTGGGATAGGCCAAAAAATTAGTTGCTAAGTTTAGTAAACACACTACAACCTTAAGTGAGAGGTAAAAGAGAGGAGGAAAATATTGGGCAGAAAGTAGAAAGAGAGACAGAAAGGAAGAAATAAAAGAGACCAAGAGAAAGATAAATACAAGAATAATTTACACCAAGGTAGAAGGGAGAAATAGATGAATGGTGTGTATTTGAGATAGTAGCAAATAATGCAAGAGAATGAGTTGGGGGTAAGAGAAGCAAGTATAAACTAGAGCTAGGATAACAAAGATAGGAGGATTGATTCCAATTAATGCTTTAAACCATTAGATGAAATACATTCAAATGGAGTCAAAGCACAATGTTGGCTGTTGGATTAACAATTGCAGTTCAAGTTGAACAGTCATTTTTATAATCAAAGTTAACATTAGAGTTGTTTGTTGTAAAGCCTATCAAGGTGAAGAAATTCTTGTTGACTCTTGGTTTTGATTTTATTGCAGTTTGGACATTTATATATCTTCCTGGTTATTTAAATTAAGATTAGCCTCAGGGAGAACAGAGAGAGAGGGCTGCCTTGCAACCTATGGCTCTGCTCACTGCTTTGAGTCTTACCTTCTTTTAAATTATTATTTTTGTTTATCACTATTAACTTTTTTTAAAAAAATATTTATTTATTTATTTTTAGTTATTGGCGGACACAACATCTTTGTTTGTATGTGGTGCTGAGGATCGAACCCAGGCCGCACGCATGCCAGGCAAGCACACTACTGCTTGAGCCACATCCCCAGCCCTATCACTATTAACTTTTAGTTGGTTTTGGTGTAGAGAAAGCCTCTTACATCATTGTTTATTTTAATTTCACTTGGGCAATCTAAATATAAAGATATCAGTAAATAGCAGAGTCAGCACCTGTCTCCAGAGAATATTAGTGCATTTTTCCTTATTATTTCATTATGAAGCAGCTGGGTAACTTTTTCTAGTCTCTGTTGGACATCTGAAGTAACTATCTCCTGTTATATTTCAGGGTTTGGTGCTAATTGGGATAACTTCTACTTAAAAGAAAGCCCAGATGATGACTTGACTTTGGCCCACGTTATGGGAATGTTTTTAGTTACTGCTTTCCTTTATGCCCTTGTGACCTGGTATGTAGATGCTGTTTTTCCAGGGAAGTATGGTGTGCCCAAGCCATGGAACTTTTTCTTGGACGTGAGTTCTAACGTTTCTGTTATTTAGAGAAACCCCAGCCCTTATTACGCATCTCATTTATAGATGAGTGAACACCATTACATTTGACATCCTCCCCTTGGTGCTTTACCTTGTTGTACTGATACTTTTTTTCCTTCTTGACTAAAGCCATTACGAGTTAACTTTGTAACATGTACAATATAATAAAGGATTTTTTTTCAAAAGAAGTCCCATTTGAATGAATACATGATGGTTTTCTCATAGACCCTAGGGATGAATTATGCCATATATCTTCTATTTTTTCTTTTTTACTTGACATAATAATTGTGCATATTTATGGGAAACAGTGTAATAATTCAGTGCACATATATAATATATAATGATGAAACCATAGTATATAGTATTTTCATTTCCTTAAACATTATTATTTCTTTGTTTTGAGAACCTTTGAACTCCTCTCTTTTAGTTCTTTATAAAGTATGCAATAAATTATTGTAAACTACATTCATTCTACTATGCTGTAGAACACTAGAACTTATTTATCCTGTCTACCAGTATTGGGGACCTATTATCTTGCCTCCTCCTCCTTCTCCACATTTTTTTCTAGCCTCTAGTGACCATTTTGCTAATCTCTACTTCTATGGAATCAACTTATTTTTAGCTTCCACATATTAGTGAAAATACAGGTCATGTGTCTTTTTGTGCCTGGCTTATCTTACTTAATATAATATCTTCCACTTCCACCCTTGTTGTCAGAAATGACAAGATTTCATCCTTGTTACCACTGAATAACATTACATTATGAATGAACCACATTTTCTTTATCTATTCATCCATCAGTGGAAAAGCTTAGTTGCTTCCATATCTTGGCTAATATGAATGGTGCTGGGATTGCTTAATCATATATAGTTCTGATTGTACTGTTGTTGAGGAACTTTATGCTTTACATATGGCTACACTAATTTATATTCTCAAAAATTATGTATGGGAATTTATTTTTCTATGCATATGCATCAGCATTTTGTTATTTTTGAACTTATTGTAATATCCACATAAGTGGGTAAGATGATGTCTCTTTGTTTTTGTTTGCATTTTCCTAATGATTAGTAATATTGAACATTTTTGTTGGCCATCTGAAAGGACTAAGACTTAAAAGGTTATTTTAAATTCTTCATCAAGTATGTAATTAAGTGAAACAGAGTATTTTCCTGTTAGTATCTTAGTGGTGAAGAAAAAAACGACTGTTTAGTATAGTTTTGTGCTTGCATTTTGATTTGTATTAAAGCACCAGCAGTTTTACCTACCATTGCTTTTATTCCTTTGGTGAAAATGTCAACACAGAAGAAAAGACAAATAATGTATTTTAAGAAATATTTTATGAAAATAATTTTGACATCATAGATTTATTGAAAGGCTAATCTATAGATCTCACATCCAAATAGACCTGATTCAGAGTGATATAGTACATTGTACTGTGCCGTTTTGTGGTGATTTCTTTTTGTCTCTCTTCATATATGACAGCATTTTGAATAGCATGTTTGTTCTGTGGTTACGTTTTAGGAACTAATATTATAAACAATTTACTTCCAAATTTATAATGATGAAACCATTTATAATGATGAAATTTCCAAATTTAGTTTCATGTTATCTGCTATCACCCATCTCAACACCAGAGTGATGTGAGCTAAAGAGTTTTCAAGTCATAAGCCACTTCATTTTTCAGTGACATTATGATGTTTTTGTTCTTTTAGAAATCCTACTGGTGTGGGGAACCACCATTAGAGAGTGAAGAAATTAGCGAAATTTCTGATATATTGCCAAGTGATTATATTGAACCTGAACCTGTTGGTTTAGCGACTGGAATCAGGATTCAACACTTGCGGAAGGTATTGTTTTACAGGTCTCTGTTTCTTGATAGACTTAAAAGTTAATCTTCTAGGGCTGGGGCTGTAGCACAGTGCTAGCACATGTGAGATACTGGGTTCTATCCTTAGCATCACATACAAAATAAGTTGCCATAGTTATTTGCTGGGAGCCATTAGCCAAGTAGGTATGACAATTTCCTTGCCAGCGTACCCCATGTTGCTGACATGTTGCAGTGACATTGAATGTAGGTGACCTTGCTCAAGGACCAAGGCAGATTAGGGTGTTCCCGGTTTTAAGATAATCGTGTTTAGGGCGTTCCCAGTTTAGGTTCCAGGTTTAAGGTTTAAGATTATTCCTGCTGGGAATAGGGCATATCCTGCTGCCTGAGTTCCCCTTGAGTTCTCACGGGATTCAGACAATATATTTTTTGAGAGATAGAAGCCCAGAGAACGTGGATTTGGGAAGAGAACGTGGATTTCCCCAGAACGTGATTGTAGACGGCTGGTGTGAGTTCGGGAATAAAGAGTTGCTGTTTGAATCTACAAGCTGTGTGGTGGCTCGTGATTGTGTGCCCAGCCAGACTGCGGCAGTTATTTTATATGAAATGCATGACAAAAAAAGAAAAAAAAATGACTAGGTATCTGAAGTTGTACAAAATTGTGACCAGTAACCAAGAGTAACAACATATAAAAGATTTTAACCTAGAATATGATATAAATATTGGTGCTAGCAAACAAAGTTATAATAATGATTGATATGTTAAAATGCTTTAACAGGCACAAAAATATGAAAATATAAAGAATAGCAGAGAAATAGAATAATTAGTAAGTATATAAATATGTATATAAATAATGGAAAACGATGATTAACTTATATGACCTAATTGATGTATTACATTAAAAAATGCAGAAAGCACATTATTCACCAAGTACATATGGAATATTTTTTAAAAGATAATAGGTTATCCATAAAGTACTTCTCAGAATAAATTAAACTCAAACATAGTCTCATTTGCTCAGGAGGCTGAGGCAGGAGGATTGCGAGTTCAAAGCCAGCCTCAGCAAAAGTGAGGTGCTATGCAACTCAGTGAGATCCTATCTCTAAATAAAATACAAAATAGGGCTGGGGATGTGGATTAGTGGTTAAGTGCCCCTGAAATAAATCCCCAGTAACAGAAAAAATTAAAAAAATTAAAAAAAAAGGTTCACCCACAACTAAAAAATATATATTAAAAAAGAGTAAAAGAAAAAATAATTAGAAAATCTCAAATGTTTATTAAAGAAAAGAGGATATTAGAAACTAGAACATATTTTGAAATGAATAATATGAAACAAAATATGTGCAACTAAATCCAAATAAAGAAAGAAGGCAATGTAAGGGAAAACTAGACACCACAGATAAAGAAGATATAAAATAAAGAAAAATTAACATAAGTCATTTATCTGGCAAGATCAATAAAATGGATACCTCCTAAAAAAGACATTCAAGAAAAAATGAAAATACAAAATTATCAATATCAAGTTTGAAAAACATAAGATGCAATAGATCTTACAGATATTAAAAAATAATAAAGTGTTAGAAACATTCATGTAAATACATTTGATAATCATGTGAAAGGTAATAATAAATTTAAAAGCATAACTTACCAAAATTGGCAGAAGGAAGCATAGAAAAAAGAAAAATCTATCTTATAACAACTGAATTGCTTTAGAACAGTTAGCCTCATTGATGAATCTTCCATATAGTTAAACAATTAGTTAAGAAACCCTTATAAGATCATTAAAAGAAGATAAAATTCAGTAACCAAATTGTCTCGTGTGCATAGATATAAAAATTCTAGACAAAATATTAGCAAATGTACTTCATCAATATGTAAAATGGATATTACATGATGACAGGGGAGTACCTGTCTGGACTACAAGGTCTGCTTAAAATTTGAATTTCAATTAGTTAATTCACCACTAGAAAAAAGGGTAGACATATTATTAGATATCAAAAAATACATTTAATATAATTAAACATACATGCCTATTTTAAAAATAAAGCAGTTAACAATGAAGATTAGAAATCTTCATAGATGTAACATGAAATGTATTATCTTAACCATTTTAGAGTATGCAGTTCAGTGACATTTAGTACAATCACAGTGTTTTGCAACCATGACCATTTGAATATGGGTATTTTAATCATCTCTAATGGAAAGACCAACCCATTAAGCAAGCATTCACCACTTTTCCTTTCCCTCTGACCTTGGAAAACACTAATCTGCCTTCTTCTATGAATTTTCCTAGTATGGATAGTTTATGTAAATGGAAAAATAAAATGAGGTCTTTGGTGTCTCACTCTTTTCACTTAGCATATTTTCATGGTTGGTTTATGTTATAGCACTGATCAGACTTCATTCATTTTTTGTGGATGAGTAACATTTCATTGTAAGTTTTTACCACATTATTTTTTCCATTCATCAGTTGATGGATACTTAGATTGTTTACACCTTTTGACTATTGTGAATAGTGCTGCTTTGAACATTGTTGTACAAGTTTTTGTTTGAATTTATGTTTTCAATTCTTTTGATTTGTTCCTGAGAGTGAAATTTCTGGGTCATATATTGATTCCGTTTTTAACTTTAGTGAAGAACCACCAAATTATTTTGCTTGACTGCAAAAATGGATATACCATTGTACACTTCATGAGAATTTCAGTGTTGCTACCTCTTGCTAAAACTTCTTATTGCTGCATTATAATTATACATAACAGTGGGATTTGTTAAATTCATGCACACAATGTAACAGTATAATTTTGTCAATTTCATTCCTCTGCACCTCCCTTTCCTTTTACCTCCTCTCTCCATGGTCCCCTTTCTCTACTTGAGGGATCTCCCTTTTGTTTTCACAAGATACTCTCACCTTTTTTTTTCTTTATTTCCTTTATAGTTCCTTTTTTAAAAAAATTATAAACCATCATGGTGGGTAGGAAATACTATTTAATTTTGGTTTTGATTCATACTTCCTTAAAAACTATTAATAATAATCATATTTCAATATTCTTTGATCATTTTGTATGTCTTCTTTGTATTAACATCTATTCAAGTACTTTGCCAATTTTTAATTGGGCACCTTTGTGTTGTTGATTTGTAGTTGTTCTTTATGTGTTGTGAATGCTGCACCATCATCAGATTTATAATTTGCAAATATTTCCTCCTGATCCTTAGGTTATCTTTTCTCTCTTAATGGATCCTTAGAAACATTCTTCTTCTCCGCCTGTTTGTTAGGCTCTGATAAAGTTGTTTTCTTCAATGACAGGCATTTTGTTTTATAGAGAACAGAACACTTTTTAGCTGCTTGCTGGAAACAGGAAATTATTTTTTCCCCTAATCTTCACCATGAGAAACCACTGGGGTTTTTGGCAGTTAAACTAAAGAAAATTTGCAGATCTCCTTTGACAGAGCCCACAGGAATATTTAATTCTTCAAATTAGTTTACACAAAGTGTCCAGCAATTTGTCAGTTACCATTTACATGTTCCTAGAAATTGTTGGCCCTAGTGACCTTTATTCCCAGGAAACTGTAATTCTTTGTATTTATCTGCCTCTTCAGTTTTGGTGCATAGTTTGCGTTGTGACCTCAAATTTTCTCATGGATCTAAGAAGTGATAATTTTTTAAAGCATTTTTCCCCTAACAATGAGAATGAGTGTGATCACTTCCAATATCTTTTTTTAAAAATTTATTTATTTTTTAGTTGTAGTTGGATGCAATACCTTTGTTTTATTTTTTTTTTATATGTGGTGCTGAGGATTGAACCCAGGGCCTTGCATGTGCTAGGTGAGCACTCTACTACTGTGCTATATGTTGGAGCAGACTGTTAACATCAGTTAAGCATGCTAAATTTTGGCTTTTAGCTTTAAAAGTATATAACTTGAGAGAAACTTACTTTCTTATATGAAGTGACATCTTTGGCTAGTGTTTAGTAAATGTCTAATCATATATCTTTAGGTATATATCTATGTATGTGCATGCATGCCTATTTTTTCTGTTTTTGCTAAAGCAGGTACAACGTCTGTCTGGCTCATAAATGTATACATAGTACTTTACATAATTTATGCCACATAACAAGACTTGACGATTACTTATTGAATAAATGAATGAATTGATCAGGAGTGATTAGTGACTGATGAGTTTTAATAGGTGAAGTATAGAGTGATGTCTAAGGAAAGTCAATCCCCAGTTGCTGGTGTGTATATCTAGGTATATAATGGTGCCCCTCCTGGAGATAAAGAACATAGCAGGAAGAATACATTTTCAGGTATGGTTATGAGTAGAGTTTGGAATGTGCGTAGAACAATGAAGTATGATAGGTTTCCAGCAGACAAACCTGCAACATCGAAAGACATTGTGCAGAGCAGACAGTGACTTCACCAACTTCAAGATGGTAACTGGAACAAAGGGTGACTGAATGAGATTGTTTTGGAGGAATATGCAAACCTACGTGAAGGACTATTCATCCATTGCTTCTAAGTATTATTTATTTCTTTCACTATTTAATCTAATTTTAAAATTTTCTTTGATCCTTACATTAATTATCTGACTAAAACTCTTGTCCTTTATAAGTAATAGTAATAAATATAAAGCTAGTATTTGCTTTTTTATAGGAATTCACATTTGGGGGTGCTACTGTAGTAGCAGTGAAAAACTTGTCTTTGAATTTCTATGAGGGACAGATCTCTGTTCTTCTAGGACCTAATGGGGCAGGAAAGACCACCACCTTATCCATCCTTACAGGTATGTATTCAGGGTCACCAGTGGTAAAGATACAGTGGATCAAGCTCTGAGGCTTTATGTAATTCTTGATAGTGACATTATTGTCATTTAACTGATACATACAGTTACTGACTAATTAACTCTCTTCTTTAAGTACAAATCATTTACTATAAAATTTAAAAGTTAGTATTTGTTTTTATATATCAGGTGCATTAAACTTATCCTTGTTTAGTGTACCATTCTTATTGGTCAAAAGAAGGGAGAGGTACATTTCACAGCTATTCAGACCAGGATACCCATAGGACAGAAAAGAAATAAGAATGACAAAAATGGTTCTGGAGTTTCAGGCAAAAGCCTAAAGTGAGACTGAGTTTCTCTTTGTGAGTCAACTCGAATGGTCATAATTTTGAAGCAAGAAACAATGAAAAATAACAATTCTTATCTTTGAATTCCTCCTGAACCTCAGTTATAATTCTGTTTTTTTTTTTTTAAGAATTGCTTTATAATCGATGTCACATAATTGTTAGGTGAATCGTTGCCAGAGTTGTAATCAGCATAGTATCATTGCCACTGACTAAATGTTTCTACATGTATTATCACATTCCATTTTTATATATGTTTGGAAGTTGTCCTTAAAGATAATGGTCCCCAAATGTATGTTCATATCCTAATTTTTGGAACCTGTGCCTGCCACCTTATAAGGCAAAGACTTTGCAGGTATGATTAAGAATTGTTAGATGATCTTACATTATCTTGGTGTGCCTCAAGTGCAAACACTAGTGTTCTTTAAAGTGATAAGCAGAGCAACATAACAGGCTGAAAAGCAGAAGAAACACAGAGGAGAGAAGGCTGTGTAGCAACGGAAGCAGACGGTGATGCTCCCACAGCCCAAGGAATGCCAATGGCCACCAAACCTGCAAGAGGCAAGGAATGGATTTTCCTCTACATCCTCTATTGGAAACATGGTATTTCTGGCACCTTTATTTTGACTCAGTGGCATGGATTTTAAGCTTCTGGCTTCCAGAACTATGACAGAGTAAATCTATGTTATTTTAAGGCACCAAGTTTGTGGTAATTTGTTACAGCAGCCACTGGAAAGCAATACACTTGTAATCTAAAAATGCATTATGCATCCTTCTGTGTACATGTATTTATTGATAGCCTTCTCTTCATTGGAATTGGCTGAAGGTTAAAGGGACAAGTTAAGGGGATAGTGAGAATAAGTATGGACCAGAATGTCCAGATTTGTATTATCTTGAAGGACACTGGCTTTCTCTCATGTGTGCTGGGAATTAGGGCAGGTGAGTGTTATCTGCCGAAAGCTGCATTCTTGCACACACACTGAGACAGTTGCTCCTTGGGATGCTGGTCAAAGAAGGAACAAAGCAAACTAAAAAAATTAATGATGCATTACTTCTGTAGTCTAATTTATAAAAACCCTCTCCCTGTGGCGACTGGTGCAAATCAGAGAACCATGGGAGGGAAGCGCTCACCTTGGCAGCTGCCCCTGGAAAAAAACATCAGGAAGGAAAGGAGGTACTACTTTCCAGTGAGTCAGTAGAGACACTGTGGAGCAAAGGTGCATCTGTCCAGTCTGTCACCATTGAACTTTCTGGTAAAGAATCTGTCTAGCTCGTTATCACTGAACCTTTCCTATAAATATTTTCAGTAAACTTTATATCTCATATTCCATCTCTGGGTATCTTCTTTGGTCTCTCAGCTAGACAGAGGCTTCCTGACCTCTACTTTAGCACAACTGGGCTGTGAAAGTTGCAAATAGTATGGCAACCCTGAAAATCAGATCTCCCTTTACCCTGGGGATTACCAATGGGTTTTGTTGTTTGTTTATTTGGTGACTTTTCTAAATTCTTTGATGTCTTCATTTTTTTTTGTGCACGATAAATATAGTCTGTTTTCTATTATCTTAGCAGTGAAATAGTGGGTTTTTGTTTTGTTGTTTGTTGTTGTTTTGTAGTAATAGGAATTGAACCCAGGGCCTTGTATAAGCTGGGCTAAGCACCCTACCACAGCCGTGTGCCCAGCCTGGTAAGCTAGTGTAAGATCACCTGAAAAGTCTGCAGAGAAAGAGGGCAGGGGCAGGGATGGGGGGGTTAGTCTCACAGTCTTTGCATATTGCCCCTCTTTGGAGCACATCGTCATTGCCTTGAAAAGCCATTTGTCTTCTACCCTTACTTGAGTAGAGTCTGAATATCAGTCAGAGATAAGAGTTAGGGCCTTCTTATCAGATCTTTTCTTATCATGGGTCCAGCCGTGTGTACATATACAGAAGTCTGAATTTCTCAGTTTACATAGGACTCCTAATTCTCCCTTGTATCTTTTCCCCCAGCCTTATTTCCCCAGACTTTTAAGTCTATTTGCTTCTCCAAACTTCTATCTCTTCCCCTAACTTACTTCAGATAATCCATTGACCTTTAAATATTTGGGAACATGCCACCCAGGAAGTTGCCTCAGCCCAGGGATATTTCAAGTTGGGCAAAATAAGTTTTCCCATAGTTCTTTGAGAATAATGATCGTATTATTTCCTTTGGCACTTACAAACAAATTTATTTTGTTTATGGCCTGCTGTCTTTATTGCTACTTCTGATCTTGGAGTTGGGAGATGGCAATTTAGAAATTGAAAATGACACACGCACTTTGCTACCTCAATCCAGCAGAATTTTTCTTCATTAAGATTTTCCTGGGCCAGGCACAGTGGCGCATGCCTGTAATCACAGTGGCTCAGGAGGCTGATATAGGAGGATCTCGAGTTCAAAGCCAGCCTCAGCAACTGTGAGGCACTAAGCAACTCAGTGTTATCCTGTCTCTAAATAAAAATACAGAAAAGGACTGGGGATGTGCCTCAGTGGTTAAGGGCCTCTGAGGTCAATTGTCACCCCCCGGTTATTTTGCTGCAGCCAGACTGCGGCAGTCAATTGCTGCTACCAATAAAAATAAATAAATAAAAGATTTTTGGGGTTTCTATATTTTTTATTAGATCCCAGAGTTCTGCAAAAGTTGATTCTGTCAGGTTTTATCAATATATAGGGTTTGTGTGTGTGTGTGTGTGTGAAGGGTTAGAGTCCTGGATTTCCTTACTCTACTATTTACAGTGATGTTACAGTTCTGTTAATTTTTATAAATACCCTACAGTGATTTATACAAAGCAGATAGCAAGTACATGTTTGCTGAATTTGAGTTTTGTGAATCCTCAACACACATTTGTATTATTTTATTCTGAATTTGACTTTAAATAATGGTATTTAATATAAAGAACCACATTGCTTTGCTTCACCAAGATTTGTAACCATATCACCCATCTCAAAAGAAAATAACTTTATTTTATATATTGAACCTTTTAACTGAACTTATTATATAATATCTATAATAATATTACATATTCATCAACAGACCAAACTTTCAAAACCTTTTTATTCCATTAAATTGATGAATAAAATAAGCCAATATTAAAACTGCTTTTTTATTTGAATTATCTGATAACACTAATAGGTAAAGCTATTAGTTCTTTAAGAAATTTCTTCTTCTTATAGTAGCTGAACATTTATAGCTATCTCTTCATAAGAAATCATGGAATAAAAATTAATTTTGATTCATCTTTTGGTCTAAATAAAAAATGAGTCTTCATGAAGAAATATGTAGGGGCTAGGGTTGTGGCTCAGCGGTAAAGCACTTGCCTAGCATGGGTGAGACCCTGGGTGCGATCCTCAGCACCACATAAAGATAAATTAATTAATTAAAGATATTGTGTAGACACATCTTTTATAGCTATAAATATTAGGGTTAGTAGTATTAAAATAGATTCTATGTATAAAAGCAGATTAATTTTCCCCTAGCTTTCATGTGGTCCTTGGTATGATTTGGGACCCCACTGTGGATAAAGTATTTGATAAAATTTATGTAAATTTATACTTTCATCTCAACTTTCTTGAGAAATGGGCAGAAAGCATTTCCTTTTTCATTATATATATATATATATATATATATATATATATATACCATTTTTTCTTTTTCTTAGTTTGTCTTCAGAAATATTTATTTTAAAATAAGAATCACAACAAACATGCAGGAAAATTTGACATAATAGCCCTGAGATGACTACTCTTAGAAAGGCCTGTTTGTAAGAATGACCCTTGGCTAGCACCCGGGAACTCAGGTTAGGGGAGGGTTTATACAATTACCTAATAAGAGTTGTTCACAGGGCTCAACATGTTTGCATGAACAATGTGATTTATGCTAAATATCTGCTTTCCTTTTAGGGGTCTAGAAATAGTATATGTGCTAGACAGAAGCTGCCTGCCTACATGATCAATCCCCAATAAAATACCTGGGTGCTGGGCCTCTAATTTTCTTCTCTGGTATACATAATTTGAGCACACACTAAAATGTGTGGTTAAAACGTATTGTTGGAAGAATATATCTTGTATGATTGTACTGCAAAAAAAGATTCAAAACTATGTACCTGGTTTCCTCCAGAGTTTGTCCCACATGCTTCCTGCTAAGCTATAATAAATTTAGCCATGAGTATGACTGCATGCTGAATTCTGTGAGTCCTTCTAGCAAATCATGGAAACAGGGTCATCTTGAGCAACTGTATGCCAATAAATTTGGTAACTTAGAAGAAAAAATGGACAAATTCTTGGACATATACACCTTACCAAGAGTGAATCATGAAAAAGTGGGAAATTTGAACCAACCAATACCCAAGTAAAAAGATTGAACCAGAAATGAAGACTCTTATTTTTAAAAAAGCCCCAGATGAGATAGCTTCACTGATGAGCGCTACCAAACATTTAAAGAAGACTAATACCGTTTCTTAAATTAATTTCTAAAACCTGAAGAGGAGAAAACTCCTCCAAACACATTCTATAAAGCTAGGATTATCCTGATAACAAAATCAGACAAGGACACAATAACAACAACAACAAAAGAAAACTATAAGCCAATATCCTTCATGGACATGGATGCAAAAATCCTTAATAAAATACCAGCAAAGTGAATCTAACAGCCCATTAAAAAAATTATTCACTGAGATCAAGTGGGACTCTTCTCAAGGAGACTAGGATGGTTCAGTATATGCAAATTAATAAGTATGAAACAACACAGAATGAAGGACAAAACTATATGATAATCTTAATACAGGAAAGGTATTAACTCTGAACAAATTAGGTATATAAGAATCATGTTTCAATATAATAGAGGCCATTAATTATAAGCCAACAGCTAATATCCCACTGAATAGGGAAAAGCTAAAAGCTTTGCTTTTTCTGTAAGATTTAGAACAAGAATGAACATGTTTATGAATTTATTGAATGTACTAGAACTGGAAGTCCTAATTAAAGTGTTCAAGTAAGAGAAATAAAAGGATATCCACACTGGAAAAGAGGAAGCCAGATTTTTCACATTTTTGGATAATTTATCTAATGAAGAAAACACTAAAGATTTCGCCACAAATCTACTAGAACTAACACATTCAGCAAAATTTCAGGATGTAACATCAACATACAAAACTGAGTACCATTTCTGTACATGAAAAGTGAATTATTTGAAAGAAGAATTTTTAAAAATTCCATTTATAATAGTTATGAAAATACCTGGGAATTAATTTAACCTAAGAGGCAAAAGATCTCTACAGTGAAAAGTGTAAAATAGAAAAAAATTGAAGAGGACACATAAAAGTGGAAAGACATTCTGTGTTCGTGTATTGGGAGGATCAGTATCTTTAAAATGTCCATATTTGCCAAAGTGATGTAAATATTTAATAGTATACCTTTCAAAATAGCAACAACATCCTTTGCAGATGTAGGAAAAACAACCCTAAAGTTTGTATGGAACCACATGCACACGTGTGCGCACACACAAACATGCACATACACACCAGGTAGCCAAAACCATCTTGAGGGAAAAAAAAGAATGAGAGATTTCATACTACCTTAGGTCAAAATACACTACAAAACTGTACCAAACAATATAGCAGTGGCATAAAAACAGGCACACAGCCCAATGGAACAGAATAGATGTACAATCAGTTGGCATCTAAAGCCAACTGATTCAGAATGAAAACAGAACCCCTATCTCTCATCAGCTACAAAATCAACTCAAACCTGATTAAATATTTAAATGTTAGACGCAAATCATGAAAATAGTAGAAGAAAACATGGGGAAAATATTTTAGGAATGGGTAAAAAATTTAGACAAGACCCCAAAAGTACAGGAAACAAAAGCAAAATATAGAAATAGGATTACATCACACTAAAAAGCTTTTGCTCTGCAAAGGAAGCAGTCATTAAAGTCAGGCATCCTAAAGAGAAAATATTTGCACAGTATTCGTCTGACAGGTGGTCAATATCCAGAATATATATGAAATGTCAAAAATTTTTTACTGCAAAAATTAAGCAATATGATTATAGAATAGGCAATAGTCATAAATAGACATTTCTCAGAAGACATACAAATGGTCAATAGGTATCAGAAAAATGGCAAATAAAAAAATCACAAGATATCACCTCACCCCCCAATAAGAATGGCCTTATCAAAACACTAAAGATACAGGTGGTAAGGGTTTATAGAAAGGGGAACTGTTGGTAGGAAGGTAAACTAATGCAGTCATTATAGAAAAAAGTATGGATATTCCTTTAAATATTAAAAATGAAACTACCATATGATTTAGCAATATCACTGGTTATGTATCCAAAGAAAATGAATTCAATCTGTCAGACATCTGTGCTCCCGTGTTTCTTGCAGCACTATTCACAACAGTGAAGAAATGGAAAACAGCCTAAGTGTCCATCAACTGGCGAATGGATGAAGAAAATGTAGTATACATGCACAATGGTGCTTAGATCATAATGTGGTTCCCATGTGTTATCAAATGGCTGATAGCTGTACTAGAACATTGTAATGCAGCAAATTCTTCAGTTACAGTACTCAGATATTTCAGAGTATTTTATACTCATGGAGAGTATAAGATTAAACAAAGAAAGGGAAGTTTTTTTAATTTCCCCATCACCAGATTATAACCATTGATATTTACTAGACATCCTATGTAGGAGATATTGCTAATTCTTTTACATCTTCTACAAGTACACTGTGAAGTTTAGGTGCTAACAAGTTCTCTTTGGGTACCCTTACTAAAACTAAGCTCCTGTCATGTCTTTGCTTCATTCTAGGTTTCTATCTTCCTACTAGTGGAAAGGTCTACATTAGTGGATATGACATCTCAAAGGAGATGGTTGAAGTCAGGAAACATCTGGGCTTGTGCCCTCAGGATGATATACTGTTTCCAAAGTTGACAGTATCAGAACACCTTTATTTTTACTGTGTGGTGAGCAAGAGATATGTATATTCTTTTCTCTCACTTTTTCCACATGTTTCTGACAGTGTGACCAAGGACCAATAGCATTATCTTTATGGGAAGTTCATGCTTTGAGGCATCATTCTTTTATCAGAAAGGGAGACAAAGAGAAGGAAAAAATGTATGTGGATAACTGTTAGAAAATTCTGTAAAACTACCTTAGAAGCACCATGTAGATTCTTGGCTTCTCTTTCTAGATAAAAGGAGTACCTTCTCAGAAGCGTACTGAAGAAATTAACAAAATGCTGACTGCCTGTGACTTGATACACAAGCGTAATGAATATTCAGAGAAACTGAGTGGAGGAATGAAGCGCAAGCTCTCTATCATGATAGCATTTGTAGGGGGCTCCAAGGTAAGTAACAGTCAAAATGTGACCCCGAAGAAGAATTGATATGAATCCAAGTCTTTATTCATCTAGCTGATATAATGTGTCATGGGTTTGACATTATTAATTTTGCAGCTTATGGATTCCGTATCTTAGCTTAAATATGAGGCAAAGCATGAGTTAAATACGGCCTTGCAATTATTCTTTTGGTCTCTAGGTGGTGATCCTTGATGAGCCAACATCAGGCATGGATCCAGTTTCAAGGAGAGCCACCTGGAATCTCATTCAGCAGCATAAAGAGGATCGTACCATATTACTGACCACACATCACATGGATGAAGCCGATATCCTGGGTGACCGCATTGCCATCATGGTCTTGGGAACCCTGCAATGCTGTGGCTCTTCCGTTTTCCTGAAAAAATTATATGGTCGGTCTCCTTGTGATCAATTTTTGGATGCTGATACCTTAATGATAGTTTTCTTTACACAGACTTAATTTTATTCATTAGGTCTAATATATTTTACTTGTTTTTCATGACTCTTTGTAATGTAGATATAACCTATCTGTTCAATGATTTTTACCATTACTACCCAATAATTATATTCCAATTTTGAAAGTTCTCTTTATTGATTCCACAAGCATCATGTTTATTTCTTCCATATGATTTCCATTGAATTGGTAATTTGTCATAGGAATGAACTTATCCCTTCATTTCTCTGGTTGTACACAATGTAGAATCACATCATTTGTGCAATCATACTTACATCCAGTGTAATGATGTCCATCTCATTCTACCATCTTTCCTACACCAATGCTCCCTCCCCTCCCATCACTTCCCTTTACCCAACCTCAAAGTTCCTCCATTCTTCCCATGCCCCCCCCCAGGCCTTCCCTAGGCATAGCTAAAATTTCAACACAATAGGAAGCACAATGTGAATTGATGACCATAATTTCATATTGCACTTCTTTGGACAAATGTACTTTTTCCTTAATGCTATCTAACACAGTATACACTTTGATTACATTTATATGTCCTTTCCCGCTGGAAGGACATCATTATGATGTTTACTTTTTGGCTCATTTGTATCTAGAATAATGCCTAACTCATAAAAGGTATGCAATGGGTATGTACTGAATGAATCAGTTACTATTGACCATTGTCCTCCCCATTCTCAATTGCAGTTATAGAAAGAAAGGAGATTATATCTCAGAGGACTTTGGGGAACATAATCTCCAAATTATCATCATCCCTAGACTCTTGGAGCATGTTTTGTAAACTATAGAAATGCACTTCCCTAGCGTTGTAGCCAACTGAGTTGTGATCTGTTGTGTTTTATTCTCTGTGCGCCTAGAAAACCTGAACCATGGAGACTAAAAATGGTTTTTAAGGAGTATAAAATATTCAAACTGCTGCGGATGCTAATTCACAATAAGGTGGGGGGCACTAGAGAAAAATGGTAGCATTACCTTAGATTAGGTAGAGGGAATGGAAAGGAGGGGGGAGGAAGGGGATGTGGGGATAGGAAAGATAGTAGAATGCAACAGACATTATTACTATATATATATATATATGACTGCATGACCAATATGATTGTACAACATGTACACTCAGAAAAATGAGAAATTATATTCCATCTATGTATGATATATCAAAAGTGTATAAATGTATTTTACTGTCATGTATAACTAATTAAAACAAATTTTTAAAAAATTTAAAAAGAACATTGAGCTAAAATGAAAAAAAAGTGAAAAAATAAAAACACCACATTTTTCCTTTAGAGTTTACATAGTTTCAATTTTACTGATTGCATCCCCACAGTATTTTGCAGCATGATCCTTTGTTCTCTTGACTTTCTATAAATTGTTGAGGAGATTAATTAGATTCAGGGTGGGATTTGATCTTGTTCTTGACTTAGTGTTTGGAAACACTATTCATAATTGATATTGTGGTTTTTCCCTCTTTCTTTTGATGGTAATAATCACTGACTATCATGTCTAAGGGCATTAATTCATTCAGGGGATGCAAAATGGTGATAGTTTCAATATATTATCCCGTCCTCATTAATTAGATGAAATATCTCAATAAAGAGACAATTTATTAGACTTAAAAATAAACTGCTTGATTTGGTTTTATAAATTAATCTTTCAGGTGTGGGATATCATATAATCATGGTGAAGAGTCCTAATTGTAATGTTGAAAAAATCTCTGAAATGATTAAACGCCATGTCCCAACTGCCAGTATGGAAACCAACATTGCAGCTGAATTATCATTTATACTACCCAAGGAGTACACACACAGGTATGGGTTCAAAGAATGTTAGATGAGTGGTTTGAGATCACTAGAAATCACTACTATTTTTCTAGATTTCCTCAGACTTGACAAATGGATTCTTTCTAGTTGCCATCCTTGACAAGTACTAGTCACAATGTTGCTTCAATAAAGATTTCACTAATGTACTGAGGGATGCTACAAATGTTAGATTTAATTTAGCAGTGCCTTAATATTTTTAGTTCTATTTCTCGTAACTTAATGCTAAATTAGTGGTAAGATATGGCAAATAATAAATTTTCTTCTTGGTGAGTAAAGCCAACTGAATTCATTTTTTGTTTTACAAAGAGTTATTTCCTTTTTTTTTTTTTTTTGATTTCTTTTTGTTGTTGTTGTTTTGGTTTTTTTTTATAATTTTTTTTATTGGTTGTTCAAAACATTATAAAGCTCTTGACATATCATATTTCATACATTAGATTCAAGTTGGTTATGAACTCCCAATTTTACCCCAAATACAGATTGCAGAATCACATCGGTTACACATCCACATTTTTACATAATGCCCTATTAGTAACTGTTGTATTCTGCTACCTTTCCTATCCTCTACCATCCCCCCTCCCTCCCCTCCCATCTTCTCTCTCTACCCCATCCACTGTAATTCATATCTCTCCTTGTTTATTTTCCCATTCCCCTCACAACCTCTTATATGTAATTTTGTATAACAATGAGGGTCTCCCTCCATTACCATGCAATTTCCCTTTTCTCTCCCTTTCCATCCCACCTCATGTATCTGTTTAATGTTAATCTTTTCTTCCTGCTCTTCCATTTCAATTGTAATTAAAAAATTAATATTGATTTGTGAGAGTCATTGTGATATTTTGATAAAATGTTTATATTGTGGGATGACTTAGTCAAGCTGATTATCGAATCCATATATACTTATTTTTTATAGGGAAACATTTAATATCTACTCTTTAGCAGTTTTGAAATATACAACCTATATAATAAATAATAAATATCTATTATAGTCAACATTCTGTATAAGAGATCACTAAGGCTTATTCCTCCTGTATAACTGAAATTTTGTACCCTTTGATCAACACCCTATCATCCACTCCCTTAGCAAGCCTCTGGTAACCATCATTTTATGCATTCATTTAACTGTGGATACCTAGTTTTCTCCCATGTCTTAGTTACTGTGAAAAATGCTGCATTGAACATAGAAATGAAAAAATATCTCTTTGGGATACAGATTTTAATTTCTTTGAATATATAACCAGAAGTGGGATGGTTGGATCATATGGCATTTCTGGTTTTTGGTTTTCTGAGAACTTCCATGCTATTTTTCATAATAGTTGTAGTAACTTACAATCCCACCAATAGTGCACAAGGGTTCCCTTTACTCCACATTCTCTCCAAAACTTATCTTTTGTCTTCCTTATAGTAGCCATTCAAAAAGGCATAAAGTGATATCTCACTGTAGTTTTAATCTTTATTTCTCTGATTATTAGTATTGATGTTGGGCATTTGTAAGTCTTCTTTTGAGAAGTGTCTCTTTAGGTCTTTTATCCATTTTTGATTGGATTATTTCCTTGTTATCAAGTTCTCTGAGTTCCTTATGTGTTTTTATTTGGGGTATGAGTCCTTTTTGAGATGTAGAGTTTTCAAGTAATTTCTCCCTATCCATGGATTGTCTTTTCGCTCTATTGATTGTTCCCTTTGCTGTTCAAAGATTTTTAGTTTGATGCAGTTCCAGTTTTTAAAATTTTTGCTTTTGTTGCCTGAACTTTTAAGGTAATATTCAAGAAATCTTTGTCTAGACAAATGGTTTTATACTCTTTTTATTTCTAGTGGTTTCAAAGTTTCATGTCTTTTATTTAAGGCTTTAATCAGTTTCCCTCCATTGTCCCAGATGTGAAATGCCTATAAAAGTTACATCACTTACAGTAATTTTGGAATAATATTTGAATATTTTTATGTCCACATAATTGAAGTTTTGGAACTTACTGGTTTTTAATCCATTCTGAGATGATTTTTCTATATTGCTATAAAATAAGGGCTCCATTTTATGCTTCTGCATGTAGATATACAGTTTTCCTAACACTGATTATTGAAGGGACTCTCCTTTATCCATTTGGGTTCCTGACACTTTTGACAAAATCAGTTGGCTATGAGTATATGGGTTTATTTTGGGACCTTTGTCCTGTTCCATTGGTTTCCATTGATGAATGGTTATTTTTATTGCAAAACTAAGTTGTTTGATTGCTGTAGCTCTGTAATAGATTTTGCTGTTTCGTTTCAATTTAGTTGTCTGGGGTTTTTGTGGTTCCATAAGAATTTTGTGATCATTTTTTCCTATTTCTGTGAAAAATGACGTTGAGATTTGGTAGAGATTGCATTGAGTTGGTAAATTTCTTCGAGTAGTGTGGATGTCTTAATAATAATTCTTCTAATCCATGATCACATGTTGTGCCATTCCATTGTTTTCTGTCATGTACCATTTCTTTCATCAATGTTTTATAGTTTTCAGCATACAGATCTTCCACCCCTTTGGTTATAATTATTATTCCTATGCTACTCTGGATTTTTTTAATCATAAAAGGAAGTTGCGTTTTGTCCGCATCAATTAAGATGATAATGTGTTTTTTTCCCATTAATGTGATCCCAACAGATTTTCATATGTTGAACCATACTTACATTCTAGGAATGACCCAACTTAGTAATGGTGTATAGTCTTTTAAATATACGGCTGATGGGCTAGGGTTGTGGCTAAGTGGTAGAGTGCTTGCCTAGCATGTGTGAGGCACTGGATTTGATTCTTAGCATCACATATAAATAAATAAAGACCATTGAGAACTAAAACATTTAAAAAAATATATTGCTGAATTTGTTTTGCTGAGCATTTTTATATCAGTATTCATAAGAGATTTTGGTCTGTGGTTTTCTTGTAGAGCTTTTGTTTGTCTTTGATATCAGGATAATGTTTCCTCATAGAATGATTTAAGACAGTTCCCTCTTCTTGAATTATATGGGAAAATATTAGAACATTAGTATTTATTCTTCTTTAAATGCTTGGTGGAATTCATGAGTGAAGCCATTAGGATCAGGGCTTTTCTTTATTAAGTAGATTTTGATTACTGACCTGATATCCTTACTGGGCATAAATCAACTCAGATTTTCTATTTCTTCATGATTTCATCTTAGTAGGAATTGTGTTTCTAGGATTTTGACTATTTCATGTAAGTTTTCCAATGTGTTGGCATACAGTTGTACTCACTTCTAATCCCTTTACTTCTGCAGAATTTTAAATAATGTATTCACATTCAGTTCTTATTTTAGTAATTTGAATCTTAATTTTGTCTTAGTCGATTAACCTAAAGATTGGTCAATTTGAGAGCTGGGGTTGTGGCTCAGTGGTAGAGCACTCACCTAACATGTGTGAGGCACTGGGTTCGAGCTTCAGCACCACATAAAAAAAAATAAATAAACAAAATAAAGGTATTATGTCCATCTACAACTAAAAAAATTAAAAAAAAAGATTGGTCAATTTTATTGATATTTTCAAAGAACCAACTTTTGGTTTAATTGATTTTTTATTATTTTACATTATTTCATTTATCTCTGTTATAATCCCTGTATTCTTTCTTTTGCTAGCTTTAGGTTTGTTTTGCTGTTCTTCTGGTTCCTTAAGGTATAAAGGTAGATGGTTAATTTGATATCTTTCTTGTTTTTTTTTTAATATAAGCATTTGGTGGACATCTGTTATCTCAGTGACTTGGGAAGCTGAGGAAGGAAAGGGCAAGTTTGAGTTTGGCCTTGGCAACTTGGTGAACCCCTCAACAAATTAGTGAGACTCTGTCTCAAAACCACAAAGGGGACCTAGGGATGTAGCTCAGTGGTGGTGCCATTGGGTTCAATCCCTAGTACCAAAATAATAATCATGGTCATAATACTAGTAAATTTTCTTTCTTAACATCACTTTCTCTGTGTCTTATAAGTCTTAGAATATTGTATCTTCATTTTAATTCATCTGTAAACATTTTATAATTTCCCTTGTGATTTATTCTTTGATTCACCAGTTGCTTAAGACCGTATTTCACAATTTTTTTGATGAAATGTTTAAATTCTATGATCTCATTCCTTTTTGTGTATGTTCTTCAGTTATTTTCTTTGAGTTTAACATTCTAAAGTAATAACACTCTAACTTCTATTTATACCAGTTTAATTCAGTAATATATAAAAACTCAGCTCCTTTTTAGCTTCTTCCCCACACCTACCTGTTATTCACGCCAAACAATTGCATCCTTGTGCATTGTGTGCCCCAAAACATAATAATTCTTTTAAATACATTGTATCTTAAATTATATAGAAAGCAAAATGTGGATAAATGAAGGTTACAAATAATACTAGCTTTTAGAATAATTAAGTGTATATTCATTTCTTAAATCATGTGCAAAACAAAGTTATTACAAATTATTGTAAAAATAATACTAGCTTTCACAGTTGTTCATATTCATCTTTATAAATGTTTTTTTTCCATATGTCTCTGAGTTCTCTGTAGTATTTTTCCATTTCACCTAGCAGAATTGTCTTGAGCATATCTCATAAGGCAGGTCTAGCATTAATGAACTTCCTCAGCCTTTGTTTTCCTGAGAATGTTTTAATTTTTCTTCACTTTGGAAAGAAAGTTTTGCCAGATACAGGATTCTTGGTTGACTTTTTTTCTTTTAACATTTTGAAAACATTGGTCCATTAATGGCCTTCTGGTTTTTAATGATTTCTGTGAGAAATCTACTGATAATCTTATTGAGGATTCCTTGTATGTGATAAATTGTTTCTCACTGCTTTCAAGATTCTCTCCTTGTCTTTTAAAAATTATTGGCACATAATTATTCAGAATAGTGGGTTTCATTGTGGCATAATGTACACATGCACATAACATAATTTAATCAGTTTTATTCCTCAGTACATCCCCTTGCCTTGCCTCTCCCTCCCTCCCCCGATCCCCTTCCTCTACCCTACCTGTCTCCCTTCTATTTTCAGGAGATTCCCTTTTGTTCTTTTGTCTTCTAGTTTCCACATAAGAAAGAAATCATATGATCCTTGACTTTCTGCTTCTATAACTTGGCTTTTGTGAATTGTGATGCTGTAAATAGGAATATTCATATGTGCCTGTAGACTCTAGTGCATTGACATTTTTCTTTTTGGATAAATATGAAGGAGTGGTACACCTGAATTTTCTGGTGGTTCCATTCCTAGTTTTTTGAGAAACCTTGATAATTATTTCCACAGTGACTGTACTAATTTACAGTCCCACCAGTGTATAACTTTTCCTTTTTCTTTGCATTCTCATCAGCATTTATTGTTATTTGTATTTTTGATGACTATCATGTTAAGTAGGGTGAGATGAAATATTAGTGTTGTTTTGATTTCTACTTCCCTGATGGCTAAGATGTTGAGTATTTTTTCACATATTTATTAGTCATTTGAGAAGTCTGTTTAATTCATTTGTCCAGTTGTTTTTTGTGTTATTTGTTATGGGTGTCCTCTGTCGGAGGAGTAGCTGGAAAAGATTTTCTCCCATCTTGTTGCGTGCTCTCTCTTCATAGTGTTGTTTCTTTTTCTGTGCAGAAGCTTTTTAATTTGATATTATTTCATTTATTGATTCTTGGTATTTTCTGGACTATTGGAGTCCTACTGATGAAATTATTGCCTGCATCTGTATTTTATTCTAGCACTTGCAAAGTTTCAGGTCTAATTCCTAGGCTTTTGATTCATTTTTAGTTGACTTTACTGCAGGGTGAGAGATAGGGAGGGGTCTGTTTTTATTCTTCTCCATATGTGTGTCCAGTTTTCCCAGTACCATTTGTTAAAAAAGTCTTTTCCTCAGTGTACGTTGGGGCACCTTTGTTAAGCATCAAATGACTGTATCTGTGTGGGTTGGTCTCTCTGTCTTTGATTATATTCCAATTGTTCTAAATATCTGTTTTTATACCAGTACCATGCCATTTTAGTTACTATGGCTTGGCAATATATTTTGAAATCAGGTATATGATGGCTCTACCATTTCTCTTATTGCTCAGAATTACTTTGGTTATTCTGGGTATTTTGTTCTTTCACATGAATTTTAGGACTATTTAAAATGTAATTTGGTATTTTTATGGGCATTTCATTGAATCTGCTTTTAACTTTCAGTAATATGGCCATTTTAATAATATTAATTCTGTCTACCCATGAACGTGGAGAGTCCATACTCTAGTGTCTTCTATTTCTTGATTTTTGACCATATGATTTTACATGTCTATTTGTATATCTCTTTTGAGTTCATCTTACTTGGCATTCATTGAGTTTCTTGATGTTTATATTCCTCAAATATGGGAGCACACTTCTGGAGGTACATTCGCATGGTGTTCTGAATTGCTTCACCAGTTTTGATAAGTTTGGCTTCACATTCTCCTAAAGTATAGGAGCCTTTCAATTAGCTTCTGATTTCTCACTAAGACAATTTGTCCATGAGTGTTTGCTGAATTAGTAAATGACATTATACATCTCATTATTATAATGAAATTATACAACATTGATATGGATGGAGTATGAACAGTTTTCAACATTTTAGGAAAATATCCATATTGTTAAATTTGGGTGCATAATTCTTTAATATATGATTCCAATGTGTAAAATGTGAAGATAAAGTAAAAAAAAAGATAAAATAAGTATACCAAATTTTTAATGGTAGTGTCTTCTCTGGGTGGTAGGATTATTTTTATTTTATTTACACATTTATATTATCTGTGTTGTCTGCATTTATTATGTTTTAATCAGGAGAATGGCTATGGCAATAATAATGATTGACTAATTTGTTGTAAATTTTGTGGGGTTTTTTCCTGATCTCTCCAGTTTGGAGTTTGCTGTTTAACCTATATACGTAGAAACATAAAAGTTTCTCATTATAATAATGATTGAACTAAAAAGTGAAAGGATCACAAAATCTTTCTTGGGTTTATTGTACACTGCTATACTGATGTATGTGTATGTACACTTGTTAATCTTGAGACATGTAGAAAATAATATACAGAAACTTTTCATTCTAATCATGAAATAGAGGGAACAGAATCTAATTTTGGCTCAAAATATAGAGAAAATTTTGACAGAAACTTCCACAATGGAGAATTTTCTGTTCTCATGTGGTTGGGTTCATAAACTGAAGGATTTTTGGAGTGATTAAACATCTAAACATAAAATCCTAAGAAATCTCAGAAAAACTATTTTTCAGAAGCTTTATACCATCACATTATAACTACCCAATGTTATATACTTCCCCTGGTTATGTGAGTGGACAGTTTTCTCCCAGTCCCAAAATTTTCTCTACATATCTTGATTTAGTGTGTTTCATGGGAATAATGCCCTACATTAAATAAATTAAATATTAACTACCAGTGAACATTAATATATAAAATGTCAATTGATAATTTTACCAGAAATTCAGGAAGCAGTTTGATACAGCAACTTGCTAGTGTTTTTGTTTTGTTTTGTTTTCTTCACATGTTCCACATTTTTATGGTTTGTTAGTGGGGCATGGAAACTACCATTTCATTAAGAAATAAGCTGTATTTTTTTCCACTGCCAAGAACAGAAAATATATAAGTAGAATAATCTGTTTTACTGCTAGCTCTTTCTTTGCTTCTATTTCTTCTAGTTTTGAAGACCTGTTTTTGGAAATAGAACAAAGAAAGACAGAGCTGGGCATCGCTGGCTTTGGTATTTCTATGACTACCTTGGAAGAAGTTTTCTTCAAGTAAGTAATAATAATGAAAAAGGGCAGAGCAAAACTTCCTACAAGTATATAAATATGTGATACACACGGAGTAAGGAGGTTAGAGACAAACATCCAAATAAAAAGCCCATGTAAGTCTTTAATGCTATCAATTACTATGGGGAACTTACTCTCCTATTATACTATGAATTCTAGTACCCTGTTTGATTATACCTGTCAGTTTCTTCCATGGAGTTGTAAACCCACAGAGGACAAATTAACCATGTGCTCACTTGCTGGATAAACTAACCCAGATAATTAGATTGCCTGGACTAGGAAATTGAGAAAATAAATCTATGGCACTAATATAAGCTTAAAATATAATAAAAAATAAAATCTGTAAATATTATTATTATTTCTTAGAATATAGATTTAACAACCACTGTCTTCTCAAAACAAAAGGATAATGTCTTAGATCTTTTACTTGACGAAGTTGTTTATTTTATCTATTGGGGGGTGGGGGGAGTGTATCTCAGTGGTCAAAGGACTTGCCCAAGATGCCTGAGGCCCTGAGTTCGTTCTCCAGCAACACATATGCACGCACGCACACACACATGCACAAAAAAAGAAAGAAAAGTAAATTTTACTGTCATTGATGTTAACATTGCATAATCATCATTAAAAAATGTTTGCTTCAATTTGTGAAAATCTTTGATGGATTGGGTATTTGGGAACCACTGTTATAGCTAAAATTATTATAATTTCTTATCTATTTGTGTGTGTGTGTGTGTGTGTGTGTGTGTGTAGGGTCAGTAATCTGGCAAACTACAAAGTGAATGAGGAGGCTCTCCAGATGTCTTCTGAACCAACCACAAATACAAATGAAAACAATCAGAATGTGAATGCATCCAGAAATTCTGAAAGATCTGCACCTGACACGAATAAAAATTCTGATACATCATTTAATACTGGGGTGAGCATCTTCACTAAGAATATAATGACAGAATAAAAGAAGTACACTTCATTAAAATATTTTAACTCAGGATCTTGAGTTTAGAATTTATAGTTTAGAAAGCCCAATAATGTAGGGAACAATTTGTAAAGCAATCCTATTAATTTTTCTACCTCAAACATAAAATACTATAGGCAAAAATCAGATTTTATTTTCACCATTGTTATTCCTTAGGATATTTCTTATGTCAGTTTTCATAACTGTTAGTTCATTCTGAATTGAAAAAGGGTCCTGTTAAAATTTGTTTTTTATATCCCTATTCACACACATAGAAGACATTTAAATTTATGCATTGGACTGCATTGTTACTGCCTAAGATCTATTTCCAATTCATCATATTCCTTCACCAGTGTGGGAATTCTCACTGAAGTGCCTAGCATTTATCTTGGTCTCCTAATTTCTCTTCCTTCCAATTTTTTGTTTTTTATTTTTGATGAGGGGTTCTGAGGAAGAGAATACATTTATCCAAGTTGCTTATTAGGCATGTCTTCACTGTGGGGCTTATGAGCCAGTTGTGAAGCAAAGCGGGTAATGCAAGGGAGTGTGGAATTTTTTTTTTTTTTGTACCAGGAATTGAACTCAGGAACACATAACCACTGAGCCACATTCCAGCCCTTTTTTAAAAAAAAATTTATTTTGAGACAGAGTCTCACTAAGTTGCTTAGGGCCTCCCCAAGTTGCTGAGGCTGGCCTTGTTGTCCTCCTGCCTAAGCCTCCTGAGCCACTGGGGTTATAGTCATGTGCCATCATACCCAACTGAAAGTGTGGAATTTTGAGCTAGACAGAACTATACTCCCGCTCTATCATTTACAGGCCGTTTGTCCTTGGCAAAGACATTTAGTACTTCTGAGTTTCAATTTCATTCTGTCTGAGACTATTTCAATGAGTTAAAAATACTAATTGTGAACTGTACAATGTTTGACATGAATTGGGTACTTAGGAATTGTCATTTCCTCCTTTCCCCACTTGTACATTTCTACTCCTCTGGCATTCTTCCCTATTTCCCCCTCTTGAAACATGCAGATGAATGACAATTTGACAGATCAGTCTAGAAAAGTAGTTGATTCCTCGACACATTTTTAGTTCTAGGAATATATCTTAATAAACAGTCTTTTAAAAGCTAGAAGTCACTTTTTTCCTACCATGAACACAATGTGAGGGGATTCTCCTTCTTGACTTATTTCTAGTCAGAGATGGCCTCAAAGCTGCTCATTTTATTCGGAATATATTGGTTGATTAATTAGGGATGTTTTCTCACTTTGTATCATTCATGGGGTATTCAAATATTGAGGGAAATAGGATAAGCATGTTTCTAGACCATTGGTTATATAGTCATGTAATATGCTTAATGTGTTTTTCTTTTAACTTTTTGACATTTTCAAATTAAGTCTCTACATTTGAAACAAGGGGTTCCATTGTCAATCTGAAAACATACACAATGAACTATGTATTGCCCCCAAAGTCTGGAGAAAGCTGTATATTTATGCACATTTTTTAAATATTAATGATTGCCCTCATTATTTTAAAATTAGAGGTTGGAGAAAACATATTGAGCATATTGCAATTTCAAAATAAACTTCTCCTCTGTTTCCTAACTTGCCACAATCCTGTTGATCACATAAATTAAAACCAGATAATAGAAACCTATTATGTATGCACATGCACATTGCCTCTGAATGTTTCCTTTACAAAATGAAGATATGATTGACAGATAGTGGTTTAATATGAAGAAAGATAGATGTATTGTTCTGTGCAAGAGAATGTTAATAATACATTAATGATAGATAAAAATCATCCTTTTGAGACTTTTGTTATTATTAGGTTAGAGCCAAGCCAGTCCTTTTAATGAACACATTATACAGATAGTAAATTTTACTTGTATGTGTGTATACAAAGTGTGTACATCTCTTATCCTAAGATTTGAAACATTCCATGCTGGTCCGTGATCTCTGTAATGCCACCTTTCTCTCCTCTACAGTTGGCTCTTCACAAGCAGCAGTTCCATGCCATGCTCTTAAAGCGGGTAGGATTCAATCGGCGCAACTGGAAAATATTATTGCTTCAAATCGGGGCACTTGTGGGTTTCATGTATCTTCAGATGAGAAGAACGACTGTTCCACCAACACTGGATGAGCCTGCCAGGGAAATGGATTTAGGACAATATGGTGAAACCATTGTGCCTTTCTCAGTTTCTGGAAGTTCTAATTTAACTGAGAATTTTAAAAAAAATCTTGAGATCATTCTAACGGATAAGAAACAAAAACTTAAAGAAGTACAAGGTAAGGCTCTTTAAAAATAAAAAGACTGCTAGTAAATGAAGACCAGCTTGTATTACTTTACAAGAAAGGACTCAACTGGAATATTGAGGTACTTGATTATTTATTTTTTCATAGTAGCCAATCTCATGAAGGCAGCCAAATCTGAGGCAGGAATCATCTTTCAAGCAAGTATTGAATACATGCTTTTGGCAAGAGCTTTTCTAAATACCTGAATGATCTAAATTTTGATAACCACATTTGCTAAAGTGGAAGACATTGAAGTTTGAAAATATTCAGTAAGTTGTCCCAAATCATGTATCTAGTACATATTAGAGCAGGGAATGAACGTTCAGGCTGCCTAGCTAGAGGCTACTATCTCAACCACTTGCTAGGTTAAATCATTTCTGAAGGAAACAACTGGATCCTCTTCCAAGATAGGTTATTTCCTGCCAGATACTTTATTTTTATTTATTTCAGCCATTGCTTTTATTTACAACATTACTTTAGGTAATTATATAACCTGTGCAGTTTAGAGGCAGCCAATACTGGTAAATTGGTGGTGGAGTGTATGGTGGGGGTGCCTTTCAAGAAGAATATATCCATAAAGAACATATCCATAAAGGATTTGTTCTTTTTTTCCCTTTAGGTTTTATTGTGAGAAATGAAATTGCTTTTGGAAATACTGGATGTTACTTATACCACTATCCTGACTTTACAACCAATACATCAGACTGGGTAGCATAAAAACTGTCAATAAATCATATATCCCCTTTCCTCTCTCATTACAAGAGCACTATAGATGAGTGCTTATTAATCGAAAATCAAATAGTTGTTCAGAAGAGAACAGGGAATAGAAGAGAAAGAAAATGAATTTCTCTGATTCATAATGTAATTCTTTTTTACTGTATTATATTACTCATATAAAAAATTTAAAAACTATGCTTCAAACATACATCAGTAATAAGATTATCCAGTTAAATATTTTTCTTTGTTTATTCTTTGAGTACCTTGGACTTGTCTTAATTTAAAATCAGGCAGTTTTTTTTTCACACACAAAAAATGGTGGACTAGGAAGCTCTGTGTATTCATCCCACTACAAAAATACTAGTAAACAACAGCAGACTAAGAACAATTTTACAGACGTTCTGGAGGCCAGTCAAGGGTCCTACCCAATTTTTAAAAAGACACTAAAAAACTTGTGTGGCACTTTTGCTCATTCTTGCCCCACCCCACCTGGCAAGGCAGACTTGTGACATGTAACTGGTGGGAGATGTTAGCAGCAGAACACAGTAGAACATTCAAGGCTCTACAAAGGAGCAAAGGTAAGACTTAGAGGGGAATTAAGATATTTAGAGGCAGCCAATACTGGGAAATTGGTGGTGGAGTGTGTGATGGAGGTGCCTTTCAAGAAGAACATATCCAGAAAGGTCTGAGAACAATTGAAGCCTTAATTTTGGTCTAATTAGTGAAGTTATTTGCCTGCATGGATGTAGTCAGCAAAGGCTGGGAGAGTGGTTGCTTTTGAAAATACCTAATTTTCATCAAAAGATCAGAAGATATACTGGGTGTATATTGAGATACTAACACAAGAAGCTAAATAAACTCCAAGTAGAACACGTTTAAAAAGACCCACACAGAGAATTTTCGAAATGGCAAGAGTAAATTGCCTCATCACAAACAAAAGGTTCTCCATAAAATTAACAGATTTTTCAGCAAAAGTCCTTCAGGTCAAAAGTCAGTGGGATGAATTTAACATGCTGAAAAATACTTTTAAATGTGTCAGCCAGGAATTCTATCCAGCAAAACTGTCATTCAAAATGAGAGAGGAAGGGTTAGTGGACCTGCAGTATGTGAAGGGGTAGTTTGTATGTCAGGAGCAAGGAGAAGGGACAGAACTGTGAAGGAGTAGAATTTTTGTTTCTGTATGTGATTGAAGTTAATTTAGTATCAGTTTAAAATACAGGATGTTATTTGTAATACCCTTGGTAAACAGAAAGAAAACATCTATAAAGGATACACAAAAAGAAATGAAAAGGGAATCAAAACATATCAGGAGAAAAGCAGTAAAGAAGAATATAAGGATAGAGAAAAATTAAGACATGCAACAAAATAGAAATTATTATTCTTTATTAGAATTACTATAAATGTAAATGTATTAAAATTTCCATTTAAGCCAAACGCAGTAGTGCACACCTGTAATCCCTGTGACTTGGAAGCTGAGTCACGAGGATCTCAAGTTCTAGGCCAGTCTCAGCAACTTAGTGAGTCTCTGTATCAAAATTTAAAAAGTTAAAAGGACTAGGGATGTAGCTCAGTGGTAAAGTATCCCTGGATTCAATCCAATACAAAAAATGTTTTCCAATTAAAAGACCCATATTGGCAGGCTGCATAAAAAACAGAAGCCAAATATGCTGTCCACAGAGATTGACTTTAACACGTGAAGGCTACAAGTAAAAAGATGGCACATGTGAACAGAACCACAGAGAACAGATCTACTTTACTAATACTAGAGTAGACTTTAACTCAAAACTGTTATAAAGAACATTAGATAGTGATTAAAGGGGGAAATTATAATAATCATAAATGTCATTCTTGATATCAGAATATATATCAAGTAAACATTCAAAGGAAAAGTAACTCCACAATAATAGTAGGAGACTTTCAATAATAGTCCCACTTTTAGTAGTAGACATATGAACAGCAGACAGACCAAATGTACCTAACAGACATATGCAGAAATGTCCAATCAACCACAGAAGGACAGATGTATTTTCTCATGTGCATGAGGAGTGTTACTCAATATAAACTAAGTGTTGTGCCACAAAAGTCTTAAAGATAAATTGAAATCATATCAAGTATCTTTTGTGTCCACAATGGAATGAAACTAGAAATCAATAACATTAAGAAATTCAGAAAATTTACACATGTAATAAAAATAAACAGCACACCCTTAATCATAGGGTAAAAGTCAAAATTGTAAGGGAAAAAACTTCTTAAGTGAAAATAAAGACATGTGATATCAAAACTTGTGGCATGTAGCCAAAGCAGTTCTAATTTAATGCTTAAATTTAAAAAAGAGGAAACCCCTAAATCAGCAAACCTAACCTTACAAATAAAGTAATTGGAAGAACAAACTAAGCCCTAAGCCAGCATAAGGAAGGAAATAATAAAGGTTGAAGTAGAGAGAACCAAAAAGACTAGGAAAACAAGAGGAAAAAGGTCAACAAAACCAAAGATTTTTTTTAAAGATCAAGAAATTTGAGACACATATTTTAAAAAGGAAAAAAAGAAGAAGACTCAATAATCAGAAATGGAAGGACATTACTTCTAATCTTACAAAATAAAAGGATTATACTAGAGTACTCTGAAAAATTGTACATCAAAAAATGATAAGATAAACTATATAAATCGGACAAATTTCTAGTAATGCACAAGCTACCAAGACTTAACCAATGAAGAAATATAAAGTCTCAATAAACTATAACTGGTAAGGATTGAATCAGTAATCAAAATTCTCCCAATTAGAAGCAGCCCTGTTATGGAGTGATGTTCAGCTTTCCATCTGGATTTTAAAATAATAATAGTGGATGGTAACTGTTATTTTTGGGTATGAGGTGTCCCCCCCAAAAGCTCCTCTGTGGATGCAAGAGTGTTTGGAAGTGAAATGATTGGATTGTGAGAACTGCAACCTAATCAGTCCATACTAGATTGAAGGGACTACTGGGTGGTAATCGTGGGCAGATGGGATGTGGCTGAAGAAGGTAGGTTACTGGGGGCTTGCCCTGAAAGCGTTCATCTTCCCTGTGGCCCTTCCTCTGCAAGCAGAGCAGCTTTCCCTTGGCCACACCCTTCTGCCATGTTGTGCCTAATCTTGGGCCTAGAGCAATGGAGTCAGCTGACTGCAGACTGAATCTCTGAAAATGGGAGTCCAAAATAAACTTTTCCTCAACTAAAAATACCTGTTCTAGATAGGTATTTTGGTCACATCAGCACACAGCTGGCCAACACACAACCAAAGATCAGATGGCATCATTGGCCAGTTATACTATCCATTTAAAGAGGAATGAACACCAGTCTTCCTCAAACTCCTCAAAATTGAAAAGAAGTGAATACTTTTAATCTTATTCAATAAGGTCTGCATTGCTCTGGTACCAGAACAAAACAAGGGTATGGTAATAAAGAAAAACTGTAAATCAATATCCCTGATGAAATATTTATGCAGTAAATGGGGTGGTATCAAACTAAAAAGACTCAGAGCAAAGGAAACAATCAAGAACATAAAGAGGAAGCCTACAGAATGGGAGAAAATCTTTTCCACCTGCAGTTCAGATTGAGCATTAATCTCCAGATATATAAAGAACTCAAAAAACTTAACACACACACACACACACACACACAAACAATAAATGGGCAAAGGAACTGAATAGACACTTCACAGAAGAAGAACTGTGATTGATCAACTAGGATGTTCGATTAGTATATTTCAGTTTTGTTTTGTATTATTTATTTTTTTATCTCACTTATCTGTTTCCCTTCTTTCTCTCTTCTGCTGTCAGCCAATCTCTATTGTTTTTTCACTCTTCCTTTTAATTTTTTTACTTCTATTTTCTACCCTCTTCCATCATAATCAATCACATCCTACATCACTACTGTTCTTTCCCTATTCACCATTAAAAATTGTAAACCCTTTTACAAACTTACTGTTTTTACTGTGGGCAGTAACTGATCACATCATTTCTGTTTATTGTAAAAATTAACACTGTGTATGTCATAGCAGAAACTACTTGGTTTAATGCCATACATTGTTTGTATTGTTTGTTGTTATTATTTGTCTCCCCCTAAATAGTGAGGTCCTGGAATTATTCAGGAATACTATTAATCCACAGGGTAAATCTACTGCCTCAGATCCATAAGGTTATATGGTAGACACACAAACAACATGAAAAAGCAAGGGAAAAAATCATCCCAAACAAACCACAGTACTTCAGTAATAGACTCCATCAACACCACAGTGGAAGAAATGTCAGAGAAGGAATTTAGAAGGTTCATAGTTAAACTGATCTGTGAGGTAAAGGATAAGGTAAGGAGTGGAATCAGAAAATACAGAAAGTGAAAGATCAATAAAGAGAAAGCGATTCTGGAAAAAAAAAAAAGCAGAAATCCTCAAAATGAAGGAATCAATAAACCAAATTAAAAATTCAATGGAAGCATCTTCAATAGATTAGACTACTTGGCAATGAAGACAAAATATATAATCTTGAAAATAAAGTTGACTGGAGAAAAAATGTTAAGAGACCATGGCAAAGCTTCCAAAAGATATTTCCAATATGAAATGACCAAGTGTAAGATTTATTGAGATACATTGTTATGGTTTAGATATGGTGTCCTCCAAAAATCACACATGTAAGAAAATTCAAGAAGGTTCAGAAGAGAAAGAGTTGGGTTGTAAGAGTTTTAACTCAATCACTGCATTAATCCCCTGATAGGGATTAACTGAGTGGTAACTGAAGTACTAGGATGTAGCTGGAGGAGGTGGGCACTGGGGTGTGGCTTTGGGTATATATTTGTATCTAGAGAGTGTGGAGTCTCTGCTTTCTGATCATGATGCAAGCTGCTTCCCTCTGTCACACTGTCCCGTCATGATGTTCTGCCTCACCTCAAGCCCCAAGGAATGGAGACAGACTTCCTTGCTCTGAGACCTCTGAAACTGTGAGCCCTCAAATAAATTTTCTTCCTCTAGAGTTGTTCTGGTTGGGTCTTTCAGTTGTAGCAGCAAAGAAAGCTGACTAATACATAGGTGAAGTCTTGGAGATAGAAACCAGAGGAATACACAGTCTTTTCAATGACATAATATCAGAAAATTTCCCAAACCTTGAGATGAAATGTAAAATCAAATACAGGAGGCTTACAAGACCCCAAATACACAAAATTACAACAGACCTACATTATTATGAAAATGCCTAACATACAGAATAAGAATAGAATTTTAAATGCTGCCAGAGGAAAACTACAGGTCATATTTAGAGGGACACTAATGCAGATCTCAGCTGATTTCTCCACTCTAAAAGCTAGGAGATCTTGGACTAATACATATCAAGTTCTGAAAGAAAATGGATGCCTACCAAGAATACTATACCCAGAAAAATTAAGCTACAGAATTGACAATGAAATGAAACTTTCCATTATAAAAGTTAAAAGAATTCACAACTAGAAAGCCTGCAGTATAAAACATTTCATGAAGAAAAAATTAAAAGTGAAAGTGAAAACGAGAAAAGGGAGGCACTACACAAGAAGAATAGCCAATCAAAGGAAAACCTAATTCAAATTAAAAAATGAGAAAAAAACAAAATGACAGGGAATAAAAATCATATCTCGATAATAACATTGAATGTAAATGACCTAGACTCATCAATTAAGACCCGACAATATGCTGTCTCTAAGAGACTCACTTCATAGGCAAAGACATCCTCAGACCGAAGGTAAAAGAATGGGGAAAAACATCATTCAGTGGCTCTTCATAAATAAGCAGAGGTTTCTATCTTCATATCTGATAAAGTGGACTTCAAGCCAAAGCTGATCAGAAGGGACAAGGAAGCTCATTTCATACTTCTTAAAAGGATTATACATCAACAGGACATAGCCATTGTAAATAGTTATGCCCCAAACTATGAAGCATCTACACCCATCAAACAAACCCTCAATTCTAATATCAAGAATCAAATAGACCATAACACAATACTTCTGGACGGCTTTAACATGCTTCTCTCATCACTGGATAGTTCATCCAAACAAAAACTAAATAAAGAAGTAATATACCTAAAAATATAGTTAATAATTTAGATTTACCAGACACATATAGAATATTTCATCCATCAATGACTGAATATACTTTCTTTTCAGCAGCACACATATCCTTCTCTAAAATAGATCATATTTTAGGCCACAAAGCATCTCTTAGCAAATACAGAAAATAGAGATAATACCTTGCATTCTATTAGATCATAATGGAATGCAATTAGAAACCAGTGATTAAAAAACAGAAGCCTCTCTAACTATGAGGACTAAATAATATGTTATTGAATGACCATTGGAGAGCAGAAGAAATCAGGAATCAAAAAAAATTAAAGTTAAATGAGAATAATGACACAACATATCAAAATATCTTGGCATTATGAAGGCAGTTCTAAGAGGAAAGTTCATTGCATGAGCCCATTAAAAGAATAGGAAGTCACCAAATAAAATAAACTAACATGACATATCAAAGCCCTAGAAAAAGAGGAACAAATCAACACCAAAAGTAGTAGAAGATAGGAAATAATTAAAATCAGAGCCAAAATTCATTAAATTTTAAAAAAATCAAAAAATCAACAAAACAAAAACTTGAATTTTTGAAAACAAAATAAACTTGATAAACCCTTAGCCAAGCTAACCAAAGACAGACTCTAAAATTCATGATGAAAAATACTACTGAAATACAGATGATAATCAGAAACTATTTTGAAAAGAGATAAACCTGTTTGCTGACAACATAATTTCTGTATTTAGAAGACCCAAAAAACTCCACCAGAAAACTTCTAGAACTCATAAAAAAGTTCAGCAAAGTAGCAGGATATAAAATCAACACCATAAACTAACTGCATTTCTCTATACAAATGATGAATCAGCTGAAAGAGAAATTTTTACCCCTCACACATCAGATAGAGCAATAATCTCTAGGGTATATAAAGAACTCAAAAAGCTAAGCACCAAAAATAAATAAATAAATAAATAACCCAATCAACAAATGGGCCAAAGACCTGAATAGACACTTCTCAGAAAAGGATATAAAATCAATCAACAAATATATGAAAAGATGTTCATCATTGCTAGCAATTAGAGAAATGCAAATCAAAACTATCATCTCACTCCAGTCAGAATGGCAGCTATTATGAAGATAATAATAAGTGTTGGCGAGGATGTGGGAGAAAAGGTACACTCATACATTGCTGGTGGGACTGAAAATTTGTGCAGCCAATATGGAAAGCAGTATGGAGATTCCTTGGAAAATTGGGAATGGAACCACCATTTGACCCAGCTATCCTTCTACTTAGTTTATACCCAAAAGACTTAAAAACAGCATATTACAGGGACACAGCCACATCAATGTTTATAGCAGCACAATTCACAATAGCTAAATAGTGGGGTCAACCTAGATGCCCTTCAGTAAATGAATGGATAAAGAAAATATGGTATATATGCACAATGGAATATTATTAAGCATTAAAAGAGAATAAAATCATGTTATTTTCAGGTAAATGGATGAACTGTATACTGTATACTATCTGTATACTATCATGCTAAGTGAAATAAGTGATTTCTCAAAAAGCTAAGGGCAAATGTTCTCTCAAATGTTCTCACAATGCAGGGGAGGGAGAGAAGAACAGATGTTCATTGGGTTAGACAAAGGGGTATGAAGGGACAGAAGAGGGGATGGGAATAAGAAAGACAGTAGAATAAATGGGACCTATCTTCCCTTCGCTCTTATATATGAATGTGCAACCACTGAAATGCCACATCATTTACAACTGAAAGACTGGGATCCTAATTAGAATAAGCTATACTTATATATGTATGATGTTAACATATACTATACTGTCCTATATATCTAAAAAGAACAAATAAATTAAAAAAGCCATCATTACTATTTTAGACTTGACAGGTCATAGACAGTATGTCATCATGTTGTTGTGGTAGTAGTAGTTATTGTTCCTTCTTCCTCCTCCTCCAATTGAAAATGTAAGAATAATTTTTACCCTATCCACCTAAATAACAAATATTCAGCTATAATTTGATGGCCCCAACATAGAGCGTAAGACTTCTTCTATGAACTTTTCATTCTAGGTCTTAGATATTTATGTTGTGGCTACTGGGCAGTCTAGAAACTCCTCTGATGTGTACTTCATGAAACTTTGAAAGCTCTTGATAACTATAGCTCTCTGCTCAACTTTTTGCTATACTTCTTATCATCTTGATCTGCTGTGCTTATATTTCTAGAACTATATGGAAGAGAAAAGTAGTATAGATTGTTGGATTTAACTCTTTCAGATCTTTGCAGTTTCGAATCAATTGTCATAGTAATTTTCTGGTTCCTTCAGGTTTATTTTGTGGCTTTAATTTAGAGTTTTTCTTAAAAAGTTACATTCCCAGCCCTTGTTTATTATTTTTATTCATTCTTTTTTTTAGGCATAGACAGATATTTACGAATGTAGATACAAAAAGAAAGGTAGATACAAATTCAAAGAGGGATATGGTCTATCTAAACAGTGAGAATGCCCTTGTTTATTTCTATATTGAGAGGGTTGTGCTAAGTTCCCAAGACTGGCCTCAGACTTGCAATACTCCTGCCTCAGCTTCTTGAGTAGCTGGGATTACAGGAGGATTTGGTTTTCTATACACTGATCTGTCCAAGTAGGAAATGGCAGTCCTTCCAAATCAATTTTACTAGTGAAAGTTTTGAGAGGAAGAAAGAAATTTGAGAGAATACTTGGTGGACTGTATTTTCTCAGCAAAAAGATATGAGGTTTGTGTGGATTTGCAATGGAACAGACTTCTTGAGAAGAATGATCAAGACATGTCAGAACCACTGTGAATTATTGGATTCTCTCTCTCTCTCTCTGAAACACACAGGAAGTGGCCCTACTGTATGCTCAGCTCATAACTGGTAGTGTTTCCTCATTTCAGGTGATCTGCAGGAATACTTGGTGAAGAATAATGAATGCCTTTATTCATGCATTATTGCATTTTCCATTGAGATTACTAAAACCAACATCACAGCTGTCTTTTGGTTCAACAATGAAGCTTACCATTCACCATCCCTATCCCTTGCAGTATTAGACAACATTATTTTTAAAATACTTTCTGGCCCTAATGCTTCTATTACAGTCTCCAACAAACCACAGCCTAAATATATTTCTCATAAGAAATCTGAGATAAGGTATGTATGATTTTTTTTACTGTAATTAAGCTTTGGGCTTTAAGTGTACTACATTTTCCCTTTCTAACCATGTTATTAATAAAAAGTAATATTATTAGTAATCAATATTCACCACTTTGTTTTTACCAATGTGTCTCCTTTTTCCATTCTTTTGTAGAGAAACACCAGGACTCCAGATAGTCTTCACTTTGATTTTTGGTATGAGTATTTTTGTCAGTGGCTTCTGCCTCCTGACAGTGACTGAGAGAGTTAATAAAGCAAAACACATCCAGTTTCTGAGTGGGGTCTACACTTTTAACTTCTGGGTTTCTGCTATATTTTGGGATTTCATCATCTACATTTTTGGCTGCTGCTTACTTCTGGTGAGTGTTGGACACAGTATCTTGAGGACTCAGTCTCCCACATGCCACAGAAAATTTCCCCTTGGCTAATATCCTAGATGTAAATCTCTCAAGAAATATGAAAACACATTAACTAATCATGCCAGATAGTACATTGTAGGTTACATCTCATACTAATATTTTTCTCCCTTGCATTCCTTCTAAATAAAATTTCCCCATGTGCTGAAACAGAAATGTTAAGGAAGTTTCTAACATACTTGGTCACTGATACGTACTGGCCCCGAAGATGCTTTGCACATGGCAAGATCTGTCATAGTAGACGACCAGTCCTATACTCTATAAGGACAAATAATTTGCATTTATTTTTATCCTGCTTCTGGAGTTTCCCTATTTTTGTCATCTGTTGTGATTCTTGATTACACAAGAGATACTTGGACTCAGCTTTTGCAGTTTCCCTCTAGAGATTTTTAAATTTTTCTCCATAGATCATTCAAATGTGTGTGTGTGTGTGTGTGTGTGTGTGTCTGTGTGTCTGTGTGCGCGCTCGTGCCTGCCTTGTCTTGCCAATGTGTCAAGTGTGATCTAGATCGAGACACCTCATTGTTGAGGTGTCCACAGCCTTTGTGTGAATTCTGTTTTTGCTGTAGGAGTATATGTCCATGAGTGGAACCTCAGTGCCCATGGCTTTTCTTACTTTGGGCCTTGCTGTTAGACTGGGGCTTTTGCCTCTTCTATTCTTTGTATTAAAGTATTGGTGAAGTTTGAGTGTGGAGCAAGGTACACTTTCTCTTGGCTGGATTTAATTCAGCAGCAGTCTCTATTCAGAGCAACCATAAATTAACCATCTTGACTCTCCAACATTTGGATTTCTTGATGCTTTGTTTTATCATCTGAATAGCCTCTGCCTGCTGGAAAGGTAGCTAGCACTGTGTTTCAGTACAATCTAATTTTTCATTTGCACACATTTTGGTGTAGTTTGAAATTTTGCTTCATATAGTTTGTTTTATACAATTTCCTGTTTGAATGACCTGTTTTATCTTCCCATTCCTCCTTTTTCTACTAAGTGTTTGTTAAACATTATTTTCATGCTAGGCAAGTGCTTTACCACTGAGCCATATCCCATGACCAGGGTTTGTTATTTTGATATATGCACATAATGTGTAATGATCAAATTAGGGCAATTAGAATATGTATCACCTCAATCACTTACCATTTCTTTGTGCTGGGAACATTCAAAGACCTCTTCTACCTATTTTGAAATATTTAATAAAATTTTATTAACTATAGTCACCCTACTGTGCTCTCCACTTTCTATAGTAAATATCTAAATATTTTAAATATATCTGTATCATTTCTGCTTGTGTATGTATTTCCACTTTTTCATTTTTCTTTTAATATTTAATTGTGATCTTTGGCATGCCTTCTAATTTTTTATTGTGAACCACACATTATAGCCCTTTCAACAACAGCAGAAAAAGCCTCGGTCATTTTTGTTTCCAAATGGTGATTGTATTTATTCCATTTCTCTGGAGACTGAAATCGTGCGGTGATAGAAACAAAGCATCCATAACCTTAGTACCCAACTAGTTTTAACTAAATTATAATGATTTCTTTGTTGCTTTTTCTACTCCTTTAAAAACATTTTAATAGTCCTTCTCATTTAATCCCAATATTTCTCAATGATTCTGCCACTTAATTATTCAATGCTAAAAATAGACAACCAAGGAACTTTTGTAGAAACTATAATTAACAACTAATAAGATGATAATTTCTGGAAATTTATTTCCCTCCCCCATCTCTACAGTTCCTTTCTTTCCTTACATAGGTCCCCTCTAGCTTTGGCTTTCCCTGGGTGTTACTCAACTGAATGGCCAAGATGGGGAGAGTAGAAACAACAGGCAGAACCTAAGCATCAAGGGCAGTTACAGTGGGTCTCAGAATCTCAGTTTAAAGCTGCCAAAAGGGGAATCTTCTGATTTCAGCAAATATTGAGAGTGGGCTTATTGGGGGATTCGAGAAGAAAAAAAGAATGCACCCTGATCTTGTGTGAGTAGAACAAAATAAAATCTTTCCAAAAATAGAAAGGAGGAGCACAGTGGTTCTACTCACTGGTGAGCAAGCAGATCTTGCTGTTTTCATCAGCAAGATGATTTGATTGCAGAATAATACTGTGTCCTATTAAAAGAAGATTTTTTTTCCTTTGCTAAGTTTTCAGACTTGACTATTTTGGTATTACATAGTTTTCTTCACTTTGACTGTTATTTCTGTACTCTGTGTTTCAGGTGGTATTCATAATCACTAGATCGAATACATTGATCAAGAATGGGAACATAATGCACACAACATTCATCTTCATCCTGTTCGGCTGGTGTGTTATTCCCTTCACATACCTGTTAAGTTACTTGTATTCTAGTAGCACCGGTGCATACATTAAGCTCTTCACACTCCATGAAACTTTAGGCTTTCTAGGTGTTGTTGTGGATCTTGTAATAACCATCATGGAAGGTAAGGGCTTCATACAATTTCCCTTTTTCAGAGGTTTCCTGTGAATAAACAAACATGAGTTTGACAAGAACATTATAAAATTGTTTTGTTCTGGATTTCTGGGGAAAATATTTTTGTTAGTTATAAGGTAAAAAAATTTATTGAGTGACATTAATATTATAACATTATATTTACTATAATGCAAAAAATCATGCAACTAATATTATCACTAAACTAATCCCCTGTTTTCAAGGCCTTGTTTGCTCAGGATATGTACATTCTTTCCATTTTCCTCCTTTGCTCATAAGTTTCAAGGATAGCTTCCTGGACTGACAACAACCACAAATAGGAATGTTTTAGAGTATAGGCAGCTGCTACTCCTTTGTCAAAGCACCCTATAAACATTAATTTGGCATCTGTTAGTCAATCAACCACGCTTGGTCTTGCAGTCTTCTAATTCATTTCCTGACACTAGGCCTCAACCTTCCACCAATGAATTCCTTGAGTTACATGAAGACTACTTTAATACTGATTGCATGCCTTTTTATTAAACCCTATGAAAAAAAATTGATCTCTGACTAGTAGACTAAAATATGCAAAAAGTCTTACTGCTCATTCTTTGAATTAATCACATTGCTATCAATTAGTCTGTATTAGTTTTTAATGCTGTTGTAACAAATAACCACACATTTAGCAGTTTGGGTTTTTTTTAATTTTTAAAATTTATACAAATTTATTATCTTGAAAGTATGTAGATTAGAAGTCTGGGACAGATTTCACACGGCTAAAATCAAAATATCTGCAGGGATTCATCCCTTTCTTGAGGTCGTATGGGAGGATTTTGATGTGTTTTTGTTATTTATTTGACAGAACTCACCAGTAAATGCCTCAGGATCTAGAGTTCCCTTTGTGAGAGGTTTTGTTATTAATTATAGATTAAATTTCTTCAAGATATGTGGCTATTAAAATTTCTTATACCTTCCTGTGACACCATTGTGTGGTCTTTTTCTAAGAACACTTGCACTTTATCTACATTTTGAAACTATTGACATGAAGTTATTTATAATATTTCCTTATGATCCTTTAATGATCTTTTAAGGTCTCCTTTGGTCAGTTTTTTTTTTTTTTTTTTTTTTTTTTTTTGCCACTGTGACCTAAAGACCTGACAAGAACAATTTTAGAGGAGGACCAGTTTATTTGGTGCTCATAGTTTCAGAGGTCTCAATCCATAGATGGCTGGCTCCATTGCTCAGGACCCAAGGTGAGGCCAAACATCTTGATGGAAGAATGTGGTGGAGGAAAGCAGCTTGGGACATGATACCAGGAAGCAGTGAGAGACAGAGAGAGAGACTTACAGACCAGGGACAAACCAAAGTACACCCCAGTGACCCACCTCCTTCAGCCCAACCCCATCTGCCTATAGTTACCACACAGTTCATCCCAATCAGAGAATTAATGCACTAAGTAGGTTAAAACTTTACTAAACCATCATTTCACCTTTAAAATTTCTTGCATTGTGTCACATTTGAGCTTTGAGGGGACACCTCATATCTAAAACATAGCAAGGTTTTTTAAGGTACAGGCATTCTTAATATTACTGTCTTCTCTATTTTTTCCTTCTTCCTCTCCCTCTCCCATAATTTTGCCAGGATTTTTACCAGTTAATCTTTTCAAAGAGTGACCTTTGGACTTTGTTAATAGTCTCTATTTTTTGTTTCCTATTTTATGGATTTCTGTTCTTATATTTATTTTTCCTTCTTTCTGTATAGCTTGATTTAATTTTATCTATTTATTATGTCTGTGTAAGGTCAAATATTACATAATTTAAAGTCTTTCTTCTTTGTGACACAAACATTTAAAGCTATAAAATTTATTCAAAATACTGTTCTATTTGCATCCCATAATTTTGATATGTTGTCTATTTATTATTATTCAACTAGAATTATTTCTCTAATTTCCCTTGTAATTCCTATTTTAACTCAGAGGTTATTTAGTGTGTGTTTATCAAATATTTGATAACTGCCTATATTATCTAATATTTGATAACTGCCTATATAACTGCATATATAGGCAGTTATCAAATATTTGATAAATAGTTGTAATAAAAATTAAACTTAAAAATATTCTAGTCTTTTATAATGTAATTGTGCTCCAGGATATCCTCACCTCTCAATCACACTGTTCTGATGAAAAGAAAATGTCCATGTCTCAAGACAATCCTGTGTTCTAAAATCTCCTGAAATATTAGATATTGATTCAAGAATATCCTCACAGAGTATCTAAGTGCTCTGATTCCATGTGTCTACAGGTCATATAAAATAGTTATATAATGTATTTCAAGCCTTATCTCCCCAAGGAATTAGATATTCTCCAAGAAGTAATTCAAGGATGGTTGGTTTGAAATTATCTCTTTGCATTTTTATTAAGAAAAATACCACTGAGAGACCAGGATCTGTTAAGCAACAGTCTCAGAAAAGGGATCTGTGTGCACAATTTACAGAGCAGCAAAGATATAAAATAATATTTAACCACCATAAATTCAGTGCCCTGATGTTCAAAGCCTTCTTATATATTTGCTCAAAAAATTGAATAGATTAATAGGTAATCTTTGAGCAGAAATAGGAGCATTTCTTCCTATAAATTTTTTAGAAATGTCATATTCAGAGAAAAGAGTCATCTAAATATCTAGATGGCTTCATGGAAGGATTTTCTAGCCGCCATATTTATTTTTTTCTACTTTGAAATCTCTTCAGAATAAATGGAGATACTGGGAATAATTTGGCAGGATTTGTCCAGTTTAGTGTTCCTTAGCAAATTGCATTGAGAGTGTATAAGGAGGCCATAATCCTGGAGAAAGAAGACTTACCTTGGTTACTTCTAATTCTTAGATATCAGACATGATTTCTCATATCTCTGATTAGAGGATCTTTATCTATAACATGTGAATATTAGTACTATTCACTCACAAACTTGTGAAAATTAAATGGTTGAGATACATGAAAGAACTTTACAAGTTAAAAAACATAGGGCCAACACTTTAACATATTGGCACAGGCATTAACTTCCTGAAAAAGACTCTTAAAGCTCAAAAAATAAAGAAATGGTTTCAAATTAAAAGCTTCTTACAGCAAGAGAAATAAAAACATGAAGAGAGGGCCTTCAGAATTGTAGAAAAGCTTTGCTAGCTACTTTTCTGATGAGACTAAGAACCACAATATATATAGAACTCAAAAAACATAATCATTAAATTCACAATTGAACTAAATAGATATCTCTCAAAAGAAGAAATGCAGATGGCCAACAAATGTATGAAAAAATGTTAAACATTCCAGCAATCAGGTAGGATGCAAATCAAAACTATGCCGACATTCCATGTCACTCCAGTTAGAATGGCAATCATAAAGAATAAAGATAATAGTAAATGCTGGTGAAGATGTGGGGGAAAAGGTACTTACATTGTTGGTGGGACTGCAAATTGATACAACCACAATGAAGGACAGTATGGAGATTTCTCAAAATAATAGGAATGGGTCCACCATATGACCCAGCTATACTATTCCTTGGCATTTAACCAAAAGAACTAAAAACAGCATATGATAGTGATAAAGGCATATCAATGTTTATAGCAGTGCAATTCATAATAGCCAAGTTATGGAACCAGTGCAGATGTCCCTAAATAGACAATTGGACAAAGAAAATGTGGTATATATATATACACAGTGGAGTTGTACTCAACCATAAAGAATGAAATCATGATATTTTCTGGTAAATGGATGGAACTGGAAAACATTATGCTCAGGGAAATAGGACAGATGCAAAATTTCAAGGGTGGAATGTTTTCTCATATATATGGAAACTAGAGAGAAATATAAATTTTAAAAAGGGTAGAGTCTCATGAAAATAGAAGAGAGATTTGTGGAGGAGAGGAAACAGGGCTGACCAAAGGGAGGAAGAACAGAATGAAAGTAGCCTGTCATGTACATGTGTGAGTATATCACAATGAATTCCATTTTTATGTATAACTACAATACGTCAATTTTAAAAAGTAGATTAAAAAGTTTTTAAAAATAAAAACAATAATATTAGAAAAATAGCAACATAGATAGCACTCTCCATCTGCATAAACATGAAGAAAATAAGCAGAAACTATCAGAACAATCTTTAGCTGAACTCTGCAGAATTGACAGAGTTTTGAAACAATCAAGTATTGCTGAACCAGAAAAAAAAAAGCAACTTAATGAAATAGGAAAGATCTATGGCATTATTACATGTCCTTGCTTTATCCCTTTGCCACCTTGGTGGCAGACTTGAAGACACAAACCATTCTCCAAGAACATAAACGTGTTCCTAGGTCCAGCGGAAATACAGCAGAGTTTCATCATAAATTTGCATGTAAGTCTGTATGGTCTTCCTCATCTATAGGACCAACATAAGTCCCTTTTCTCTGTTTTGCCTCGCTCAGAAAAACAGGGCAGGAGAAACAACAGGCACTGCTGAGAAACAATTTGCCTAAGGTCAGAGACAAAAGACAGGGAAAGGATCGTCAGGAAAATGGGGCATTCAGAAGCACCCATGGACATGAGATATTTCAGAGAGCCATATACATACCAATTGACCAGAAATAAAAAAATGAGTAAATGATTATGAACAATTGTACATCAAAAGTTAGATAACTGAGATGAAATGAGCAAATTAATAGGTACACATAGATGATTTAAACCAATTCAATAAGAAATAGAAAATCTCAATAGACCTCTAGCAAGTAAAGATACAAAATGAGTAATCAAAAACCTCACAGAAAAGACCAGATAAATTTCCTACTGAATTATACTAAATATTTAAAGATGAAAAATTGTGCTCTGTATGTGTAATAAGAACTGTAATGCATTCCACTGTTGTGTATTTAAAAAAAATAAAATCAATTAAATAAAAAAGGGACATTTAAAGTACAGGAAAAAAAAGAAGAGTTAACATGAATCCTTCTCAAGTTCTAATAGCAGGGGAAAGAGTATTCCTTAACTCACTCTATGACACTAGCATCACTCTGAAAACAAAGCTAGATAAAGACATCGCAGGAAAAGAAAATAGAGACTAATGTCCATTGTAATTATGTATAAAATCCTCAATAAAGTACTAGAAAATCAAGTACAACAAGGATTATAGGATTATGCCATAACCAGGAAGGATTTCTAGTAAATTTCAGATTATAAGATTAATACACTAAAATCAGTTTTGTAAAAAAGAAAGCAATTCCATTTGTCATAGCATCCAAAAGAAGTAAATACTTTAGAAAAATTCTAACCCAGGCTGGGGTTGTGACTCAGTGGTAGAGTACTTGTCTAACATGTGTGAGGCCCTGGGTTTGATCCTCAGCACCACATAGTTAAAAATCCATTGGCTACTAAAAAATATTTTAAAAAGAAAAATTCTAACCAAGGAAGTGAATAACTTGTACATTGAAAATTGCAAAGCACTACTGAAAGCAACTAAAGAGTACCTAATTAATAAATGGAAAGACATCCCATGTTTATGGATTGCATGACTTAAAAATGTTAAGGTACCAATACTAGTAAATTATCTACAGATTCAACACAATTCCTAGCAAAACACCAACAGCTTTTTTTTTCACAGAAATGTAAAAATCAGTTCTCAAAATTCATATGGAATTGCTATGGACCCTGAATTACCAAAACAATATAGTCGAAGAATAATAAAGTTCTCATACTTTCTGACTTCAAAACTGTGAATCTATAGAAATTAAAGTAGTATGGAGCATATATTATCAACTAATTTTCAACAAAGATGCCATGATCATTTAATGAGGAATGGATATTTTCAGAAAATGGTGCTAGGAAAATTGGCTCTCTGCATCTAAATAAAGTTGAACCCTATTTCACACAATATACAAAGGTTATCCCATCATATATTAATGATCTACATATAAGAGCTGAAACCATAAAACTGTTGGAAGAGAACAGACCTTGGATTTGGCAATGGGTTCTTAAACATAAACAACAAAAGAAAAAGCAATCACCAAAAATTTAAAGAAAAAACTTTTGTGCATCAAATAAAGTAAAAAGATGGCATATAGAATGAGATAAAAGATTTTCTATTCATATATTTGATGATATAGTATCTAAAATATAATGAACTTTTATAACATAACAACAAAAAGCTATCCCAAATAAAGAATGTGAAAAGGGCTCTAAATAGACTTTTTCCCCAAGGAAGATGTACAAATGCTAAACAAGCACATGAAAAGATGCTCATATCATTAGTAGGTAGAACATAAAACTTAAAGCAAGAAAGAAGTAGCACACTTCATTTCAATTATGATAGGTATTATAGGGAAAAAACACAAATAACAAGTGTCATGAAGAATGAGAAGAAATGGATTCCTGAGCATTGTGGAAAAGAATGTGGTAGTTTTTCAACAGGTTAATGTAGAACTATCATATGACCCAGCAATCCAACTCCTAAGTATGCATCCCAAGATTTTAAAAGAAGGACTCAAAAAGACATTTGTACAAAATATATTATGGGCAATAAATGGAACATTATTCAGCTATAAAAAGTAACCAATTTTATATGCCAATTACATCGTGGATGGACCTTGAAAATGTTATGCTAGGTGAAATTGGAGGGACCCAAAAATGCAAATATTATATGGTTCCACTAATATGAAATATCTAAAATAGGCAATCTCATATACACAGATATAGAAAAGAGATTGCCATAGTCTAGGGATAGGGATACATGGGAGTTATTGTTTAATGGATACAGTTTCTGTTGGGGAGGATGAAAACATGTTGAATAAAGTTAGTGATGACAGTTATACAACATTGTAAATGTATTTAATGCCACTGAATTGTACTCTTACCAGTTGTTATAATGATAAATATTATGTGTATTTGACCAAAGTAAAAAGATACTTAAACAACTATAAACTAATGATTTTTATAGATACAATATGTTAGGTTAAGATAGTTTCCTTCATTTGTAAGTTTAATAAGCTTTATAATGAACAGGTGTTGAATTTTAAGAAGCACTTTTTCTTTTGAATTAGTGAAAGATAATCATTTGGTTTTTCTTCCTTATTTTAATGTGGAGATATTTACTAATTGTTTGTTAATGTTAAATTGTTTCTATAATAATCAAACATTTTTATTATCCCTTATCATGCCTTTCTAGATCCAAATTGTTAATATTTTATAAAGCAATTTTTTGTTAGTGTTCATGAACCTGATTGACCTGGAATTTCCCTCCTTTATAGTGTTCTTAGATTTTAGTATTATCATTATTTTGTTCTTGCACATGAAGTTATAAAGACATCTTTTTATATTCACTAGAAGATTTTTTATGATATGTACTATTGTTGTTAAAGATATCCATTTGAGTTTGTAGATATACCAAAGATGCTATCATTTCTATGTTCAACATGGTCCCAGAAGTTGTAGTCACTATGACAAGCCAGAAAATATAAAGTGTAATATTAGAAAGAACAAATAAAGCTTATTATTTGTAGATGGTGCTATTGTATATATGTAAAATCTAAATTAAATGCAGATAACCTGTGAAAATTAATGAGTGAGTTTTGCAAAGTTATTGTATATAATTGAGATATAAAATAGACATTATTTGTAAAAGAATATTTAAGATAACCTAACAGTAATTTGCCATGACCAGCGCCACTAAACTCGCAGTATGTCAAAGGGCGATGGGGGATTAAAAACAAATACTCACATAGTATATTCACACCAATTTGTGTCTTCATGCATGTACTTTGGATAGTAATGATCATCACATTCCACCATCATTAATTACCCCATTGAATGAATATACTATGTATACAACCAGAGATATGAAAAAATTGTGCTCTTTATATGTAATAAGAATTGTAATGCATTCTGCTGTCATATATAAATAAAAAAATTACATTAAAAATAAATAAAAATCAAACTGAAAAAAATACTCACATATGCAGATATGAAGATAAAGCTGGGATCAGGTGGAGTGCTGCTCTCTGATGGAGAAATCAGATCTAAAGAGTTATGCAAGCAATCTTGAAAGTGAAAGAAGGAAGCAAACCACAAAATGGCACTCCACATTCTCCATATATGATATGCTCAGCCCTCTATCTGATCCCTGAATACATGAGTGCAAGGTATTCTACTTATTGGTCAGTATTTAGCCAAAAGAAGAAACCTGCTGTAATGGAGGATAAATATTTAATGAATATTATCCATGTTTTTACAACACATTGTATCCCTGCCTCACTCCCAACCATATGATAGTAGCTTTCAGCACTTTGTCAACTAAGGAATCATATTACTCCTCTTTATCTGGAAGATTTTCCTCTGCTCCTTGGAGGTAAGAGGATGTTTAAATGCCTTCCAGAGAGAGACTAGATAAACATTATCCTGTTGTTATTTGGGACATCTATTTAAGTGGGCAATCAGTATTCCATATTATTTCTATCTGTCAAATTATATGTATCTACACCAATTATTACCCTCTTTGCACCAGACTTGGATGACTTTACCACTTAGAGAATTTACGTGGTAGGTGGAAACTTCTCTTTCTTTGTCATCTGTCATCCTCACTCATTGGCCACATTTCTTATGTCAGAAAGTCTTATGAATAGTCTTTTTACTCAGAGTTATTGATTTATCTTTATTCCCAATGATCTGAATTCAGTCTTCAGTGACAATTCAGAACCTTAGTACTTAACTATGTTTCATGTTTCCTCATGTATATCCATCAACTATTATATATCTTTAATAGAGAAACCTCTATTAACTTTGTTTCTTTGACAATATATCTCCTTTCAACTGACAAAATATTCCTTATATTTTCCCTACCATTGAGTTCTAGGATAAATTTCTCATCACAACTTGCTTCTTTATTGAACACATAGGATAGAAATAAGAGAAATTATCAATATTAATTTCCTGTTCACATCAGATGACAGGAAAACAGATTATAATGGACATCAACTTTTTCCTAAAAGGATTTTCCAGAATTGCAATTATCAATGCAAACTATGTTTTTAAGATATCAAAGGTAGTATAATTCCCAGCAAGCAACTGGAGTTTTTGTGAAAACAGTATTATGGCTTTATAATTTCTCAGTTTAATTTGACCAACTTAGGGAGATATTATTTTCCTGGGAGAGTTCATTTATTTATTTATTTGTTTATTTATTTAGGTGCTGGGGATCAAACCCAGGGCCTTGTACATGCAAGGCAAGCACTCTACCAATTGAGCTATATCCCTAGCCCAACAGTTCATTTTAGATGGAACATGCTAATGTTATCTTCTTTTTAATTAAAGGCTATAAAGCTGCCAGGAAAAATGTCATACTTAATATGTTGACACTGATACCTATGTATAACTTTGGGATGAGCATCCTAAAATTTTATGATCTTGAAGAGACAAAGAAATTGTGTGCCTCCTTACCAGAAATGGCTAACACCCCAAGATGTAGTAAAGAAAGTGAGTATCTGTTACTTCCCAAGTCTCATCAGAGTTATTAGTAACAACTTATGCAGTGTAAATAACTCTTCTTACATTATTGTGAATTTTTTCATTAACATATCAAGTTATGTGATGTAATCATCATTTTGAGGGAAATAAAAACCTTGCACAAATATAAATAACTTGCGCTATTACACAAAAATTTGTACAAGATCGAGCTAAGATTCAAAAAATGTTTATATGTAAAATATGTACATAATGCATCTTCTCTATGAGAAAAGACTTCCATGGTGAGGATCTAATTGTAATCTGTGTTGTATTTGCATTTTCTGTCATCCCTCTTCCCCTCTGTTATGGTTTGGATGTGGGGTGTCCCCCAAAAGCTCACATGTGAGACAATGCAAGAAAGTTCATAGAAGAAATGATTGGATTCTAAGAGCCTTAACTGAATCAGTGAATTAATCCCCTGATAGGGATTAACTGGTAACTGAAGTTGTAGGGTGTGGCTGGAGGAGGGAGGAATTGGGGTGTGGCTTTGGAGTATATGCTTGTATCTGGCAAGAGTCTGTCTCTCTGTCTGCTTTCTGATCATAATATGAGACTAAGTTTCAGACTAAGACCTCTGAAACTAAGCCCTCAAATAAACTTATCCTCCTCTATGGTCATTATAGTCAGGTTTTTTTAATCACAGCAGTGAAAAAGCCTGAGTAAAACACTTTCCACACTAGTTTTGAGGGAAAGGTGAAAAATTAATTAATTCAGTGAAAAGAAATGAATAAACATTCATGTCAACTTCAGAAATCCCCAGTAGGGACCCTGTGTCAGTTATTACATATTTCTGCAGTATTTTCATATCTCTGGGGAAAAGAGAATGTGGGAAAGAGAAAATGTAAGACAGATTCTACATATGGGGCAGCACAGAATTAAAACAGTTGTACTTCAAATGCAGATATTCCAATAAGCTTAAGTGGATGGGTCCTGGGGAAAAATTGAGAAGAGAGAGCTCCCATGTATAGTGTAGTAAAAGGATAAGACAGGATAAGGTTATAATCATGTGTGTTGTTTCCATGCATAATCCAAGAAATAAATGAGAGCATAAAACAGATTAGATGTGTCACACACAAAAAAAGCTGTATAGTTCATAAAGTTGTAAGAAGGAATTGAGAAATTCAAAGTCAAAATTGAGAGTACTGAAAAGTAGACAAATCCACAATGATAATTTGGATATTTCAATATTCTTCTATGAAAAGACCTGATAGAACAGGAGTTTGAAAGTCAGAAGAGATATAGGAGATTTGATTAATTCTAGTAATCAATTAGACCAAATTGACATTTTCATCAACAGTACTCAAAAGCAGCAGAATTCATTTTTTTTCATGTGTACATAGAATACTCACTAATATACAGCATTAAATAGCTGTCTTCAATGAATTTAAAAGCTCTGAAATGACTCTGTGTGTATACAATTATTTGAAAAATTTTCAGATACCTGTTATTAACTTAGTTCATAAAAGACATCTAGAAAAATCTCAAAAGAATTGGAAATTATATAACATACTATCTCTTTTGGATAGTAGTCATCCTTACCAGAGGAGGTGAAATTATTATGGTTTTGATTTGCATTTCCCTGATGATTATTGATGTTGGGCATTTTTCATATACTATTGTCCAATCAATGTCTTCCTTTGAGAAGTACCTGTTTAGGTTTGCTGCCCATTCTTTATTGGTATTCACTTATTTCTGCTACTGAGTTTTTCAAGTTCCTTATATATTCTGGATACTCTTATCAGATGTATAATTTAATTTTTTCCACATTCTTCTGATTGTTTGTTCACTCTAGAAGCATTTTAATTTGATATTATCCCATTTGTCAACTTTTGCTTTTGCCCAGTTCAATGTCCTGAAAAATTCCCTTTATTTTTTTCCTACAAATTTCATAGTTTTCAGGTCTTACACTTAAGTCTTTAATTCATTTTTTAGTTAATTTTTTGTATATTATAAGAAATAAGGGTCTAGTTTTATTCTTCTGCATGTGAATATCCAATTTTCCCACCACCATTTGTGGAAGAAATTGTTCTATCTTCATTGTGTGTTCTTGAGTTTGTAAAAAACCAGCTGAAATTGTGTAGGGTTATTTCTGAGTTCTTTATTATACACTGTTGGTCTATGTGTCTTTTTATGCCAATACCATGAATAGTTTTCTTTTTGTTTTGTTTTGTTGATTATACCGGTGCAGTACATTTTGGAATCTGATAGCCCTGATGCTGTCAGCTTTGTTCTTTTGCACAATATTGCTTTGGCTATTCAGGGTCTGTTGTGGCTCCATACCAACTGCAAGATTTTTTTTTCTAATTAAGTGAAAAATGGCATTAGTATTGTGATGGGGAAGTATTGAATCTGTAGATCAATTTCAGTAATATGGACAATTCAACAAGATAAATTCTTCCAATCCATGAATATGGGATATCTTTTCATGTATTCTCTTCCGTTTCTTTCATGAGTTTTTATCATATAAGTCTTTCTTTCACCTCTTTGTTGAATTTATTTCTAGTTATTTTATTTTTCATAGCATTGTTCTCTTTATTTATTTTTCTAGTATCTATTAGCATATAAAATGCTACTGATTTTTGTTTGTTGATTTTGTATCCTGCAACTTAATTGAATTTGTTAATTCCAGTTTTTTAGTGAATTCTTCACAATTTTCTATATAAAAGCTGATGTCTGCAAACAATGATAGTTTGATTTCCTCCTTTATAATTTGCATGCCCTTTACTTTTTTCTCTTGCCTAATTGCTTTGAATAATTCTTTCTGTACTTTGTGGAATAAAACTGGTGAAAGTGGGAATCATTGTCAGAAGAAAATATGTCAATTTTTCCCAATTCAGAATGATGTTAACTGTGGGTTTGTCATATATGGCCTCTATTTGTTGAGGTATTTCGCTTATATATTTAAATTGTTTCTATCATGAATGGGCATATATCACAATTAGTGGTATATGCATGTTAAACCATCCATATTTCCCATGATGAATCAAGCCCACTTGGTCATAATGAATGACCTTTTTAATGTGCTATTGAATTTGGCTTACTAGGGTTTTTTATTTTTTTAGCACTGGTTGAACCCAGTATAAATATAAATATACTTTTTATTATGAAACAGGGTCTCACTGAGTTGCTTAGGGCCTTGCTAAGTTGCTGAGGCTGGCTTTGAACTTGCAATCCTCCTGTGTTAGCCTCTAGAGCTGCTGGAATTACTGGTGTACACCACCATGCCTGGCTTTTGCTAGTATTTTATTGAGGATTTTTGCATCATTTTTAGCTATTGTTTTGTCCTCATTTGGTTTTGCTATCAAGATAATGCTAGCATTATGGAATGACTTGAGAAAAATCCCTTCCTCTTTGTTTTTAAAAAAGTTTGAGAGGGATTTGTATAAGTTCTTCCTTATTGTTCAGTGAAATTGTTCTGTGAATCAATTAGATTTTGGCTTTTACTTTGATAGAAAAGATTCAGTATCACTGTTTGTTATTTATCTGTTCAGGTTTTTCTAATTCTTCACAGTTCAACTTTGGTAGCTTGTATGTATCCAGAAATTAATCCATTTCTTCTGAATTTTCCTTGTCAGGTATTTTGATTATACTGATACAAAGCTGACGGACATATGTGATGAATATATCTTTGGGTTTTATTTAGCTGGAGATCTCTATGCTTCTAATATCTAGATGTTGGCTTCCTTAATCAGTTTGGGAAATTTTCATCCAATATTTCTTTATTTTTTTTTTTCTCCTCTAGTTTGGTAATTTCAAATGTTCTGTTTTCAAGCTCACTGATTATTTTTCAGCTTAATTGAGCTTCAAAGTTTTCTGTTGCATTTTAAAATGCAGACATTGTAGTCTTCATCTTTAAGATTTCTGGTTTTTTTTTTAGTAGTTTCTATCACTTTGTCAAACTTCTCATTTTGTTCATTATTGTTTTCAGTTTCCTTTAATATTTTATCTGTATATTCTTGGAGTTTACTAACTTTAAAAAAATATTTTAGTTGTAGATGGACATAATACCTTTATTTTATTTATTTATATCTGATGCTGAGGATGAAACCCAGTGCCTCATATGTGCTAAACAAGGGCTTTACCACTGAGCTACAACCCCCACCCACTCACTGAACTTTCTAAAGGTGATTATTCTGAATTATTTTACTGACATTTCATAAACCTCCCTTTCTCTAGGGTCCATTGTTTGTTAGAGCTTTGTTTGGAGACTCTGTTTTAGAGGTGTTATAATTCCCTAAATCCTATGTCTTTACTTTAAGGTTTACTCAATGGTAGAGGCCAGCACCTTTTCTGGCTTTTGCAGGTATTCTTTGAAAATGATAGTTCTTCATTATTTATAGCAGCATATGATTCTGGCTGAGTCAGCCATTAATGTCCCTTAGCTGGTAGAGCTTGCTTTTATGTTCTCTTTGCTGCTGCCTTTGCTCTGAATTCAGGTTTGGCAGCTGGCTCTGTTCTGCTATCTAGCAAGACTACTGGTTGTAGTATGTAACAAGACTGGGGTTCTAAGTGAACAGTGCAATTGCCAGTGATGTGGCTAGGCCAGAGTGTGTGTTTTCTGGTACTGTGGTAGTCTTGTTCTTTCTGAGTAGGATCTGAAGTGTGGCGCTTTAAGCCATGGGATGCGCTATTTAAATTCCCAGGTTTGGTTTTATCCCACTCCTGGCAAAGTCTAGAGGTGTTCTTCTGGGAGGACATTTTAACCTTCAAATGCGGCCTATTAGCTTTTGGAATTTGCCATGGGGGCCTTTTTCCCTCCATGGGAGACCCCAGGTTATAGGGTGATGCTACATCTCAAAAATGGCTGTCTAGGAATCATGGCCTAGATTGGCTATGCCAGTGGGCTATGTTGTTTTTTAGTGAAGTACCACTTCTGGCAGGCACACTATACTTTCACTAAAATGGCTTGCTGAGCTCCGTAAGCTCTGCTTACTTGCTTTGTTTCTATCTGGCCCAGTATGGTTTAGACCATTCAGTTTTTCTACTAGAATCTCAATTGAGAGTTGAGAACCAAAATGGATTTACCCTGCTTCCTATGTACTCTTTTCCCTCTGTAGAAACTGTGGGCCATCAGGATTCCTCTCTGTGTGATGGTGTGCCACCCGGCTAGAAAAGCAGGGAGGGATGTGGTCTAAGGAAGACCCTTTCTCTTACCCTATCAATGAGGATTTTCATTAATCCCAGGGAGCACACTCAGTCTTATTCTTACATTTTGAGTGTTTTACCAAGGTGTTGTTTTCCATTGATAATTGCTAGGATGCATCCATGGGGGCGGGGAGTGAAAGTTAGAATCTTCTTCTCAACCTTCTTAGTGGCCTCTCATTATGTTAACTTTTATTAAGTGATCCTATATATTTTTTGTTGTTGTTCTTGTCACCAGAAATTGGAATTTCTGTATATAGTATGGAGGAAAATGGAATTGGAAAGTATGTAATTGCAATGGCTGTCACAGGATTTCTTTACATCCTCTTGATTTTCCTTCTGGACACCGTCTCATGGAATGTGAGAGCCTTAGTGTATCGCTCTGTTTTATTTGGCATCTTCAAGAAAATTAATAAGGTGAGTACTTGAGCGTGGACCTTAGAGACAAAAAGTGTATCTCTACACATGCTTAGCTCTATTACTGGATATAGGAAAATAAGTCAATCCATATTGACTGGGCTATATATGAATCAGAGATCTTAATAATCATAATTTGAACTTATGGTTTCTAAACATTGTGACCTCCATCAATTAGAACATTGTTTTTAAGGGATTGCTTATAACATAAAGTTCTCCCTTGAATACCTCCTATGACAGAGACTCATTTCCTGCCAGTGCTTTTCCTTCATCCGAATTGGCTCTGGATATTTATTTTAAAAATTCTTAGGTTCTTGTAGAACACATATTTAATGTCAAGACTCTAAAGCAGTTGTTGACATACTTCAGCATTTATTATAATCACCTGTAGAGCTTATGAAACCTATAAATTGCTAGCCTCTGTCCTCTGATATAGTACCTCTAGAGTATGTCCTGAAAATTTCCATGTGTAACACATCCCCAGGTGATTCTTCTGCTACTGCTCCACATTTGGAGAACCAAAATCTTCAGAGGAAAGAAAAGTATGAGGCAGGGTGGCCGGGGCGGGGGTGGGGGGGAGCCTCTTTGTTACCAAAATACATGAAACTGCGTAACTGTTCCATAAGACCTCAGTCTCAGTTCTTGCCACTTCAATGTGGCTTTTCTTCATATTGCCCAGCACAGGCCTGACTCTGAAGGTACTCAAGAAAATGTGTGTGAAGAAGAAATAAATAGTGGAATTAGGTGAAGCATGAAAAACAGATTATCCAGTATATGCCTCTAGAGGCCCAGCACTGGTGACACCAGTGGACTCAGCATCTGGCATCTAAAGCCTATGATAATATTCTGTTCAGCTGAGGTATTAACCTACAAGATGAAGTAGGGCGTTTTCCAGTGGGTAAGCAGAAGCTAGGGATATGGGAGTCAGGACAAGTCAGCAAGCAAATAACTGGTTATTAGTAGTAACATTGCTCATAGGAAGCAAAGTCTGATGCCCCACTCTGAGGTTGTCGTACATTCCAAAGATGTTCCTCAGGTACCCATTATGTGCCTGGTATCACATTAGAAATTGTATAGCATTCAGACTCCTTAAAGGGGTCCAGGAAGAGAAGCAATAGATCCTAGGACTTGAAGGAGATATGAAAGGAGACCTCCACAGATGTGTAAAGACCCCAGCCTTAGGATGGGAACTAAGCTAGAGATCAAATACCAACCAGGGAAATACGAGTTCTGATAAAAGGAAGGAAGTATAAGATGTTGAAATTGTATCTAGGAGGCACCAACAACAAGCTACAGGCTTTGAGGAAAGTGAATTCAAGGCAGAGGGGTCAGTTTATGTGTAGACAAAGAGGTAGAGAATATTCAGAGAGCTACAAAGAAGTTACTGAGTCTGGAACCAAGTTCAGGTATTGTCAGGTAGTATAAGATGCATGCAGAAAATGACAGGAGCCAAGTGTCAGGGAAAGCCTCATAAGTGCTAGGCTGAGGATCTTCTACTCCATTCTGAAACAATGAAGAATAGTTGAGGAATTTATTAACATAAATATTTTTTAGTTGTCAATTTTATTTTATTTATTGATACATGGTGCTGAGAACCGAACCCAGTGCCTCATGCATGCTAGGTAAGTGCTCTGCCACTGAGCCACAACCCCAGCCCTTGACATAAATTTGTTTATAATTTCTTTTTATTTTGTATTTAGTGTTTGTAAGGCAATTGTGTTTTCCCCAAACTCAACCCCCATTTTATTCCCTTTTTATTTTATAAACTTTGTATTTCTTTTTTAAATTTTTTATTTATATGTGACAGTGGAATGCATTTCAATTCTCATTACACATATAGAGCACAATTTTTTATATCTCTGGTTGTATACAAAGTATATTCACACCAATTCATGTCTTCATACATGTACTTTGGATAATAATGTCCATCATATTCCACCATCGTTTCTAGCCCCATGCCCCCCTCCCTTCCCCTCCCACCCCTCTGCCCTATCTAGAGTTCATCTGTTCCTCTCATGCTCCTCCCTCTCTCTTCCCCACTGTGAATCAGCCTCCTTATATCAGAGAAAACATTTGGCATTTGTTTTTTGAGGACTGGCTGACTTCTCTTAGCATTATCTTCTCTAACTCCATCCATTTACCCACAAATGCCATGGCTTTTATTCTCTTTAATTGCTAAGTAATATTCTATTGTGTATATATGCCACATTTTTTGATTAGCCTTACTAAACTGTTTACCAATTTTATTAATCTCTCCTGAACACCCACTTCGTAAATTTTTACTTCTTTGTTGCATATTTTTTTCCATTTCACTGTTTTTTTTTTCCTGTTCTATTTTCTTATGAGGCCAAAAAAATCCTTTTTTTGTTCTTTTTAGTTATACATGACAGTAAAATGTATTTTGACATATTTTACATACATGGAGCACAACTTACCATTCTTCTGGTTGTACATGAGATAGAATTACATTGGTCATGTATTCATATATGAACATAGGAAAGTAATGTATGATTCATTCTACTATCTTTCCTATTCCCGTTCCCCCTTCATTCCCATTTGTATAATTCAAAGTACTTCTGTTCTTCCCTAACCTCTGCCCCCTTATTGTGAGTTAGTATCCACATATCAGAGAGAATATTCAGCCTTTGGTTTTTGGGGATTGGCTTATTTCACATAGCATGATATTCTCCAGTTCCATCCACTTACTGGCCAATGCCATAATTTCATTTCTCTTTATGGCTGGGTAATATTCACTTGTTTAAATATACCACATTTTCTTTATCCATTCATTTTTTAATGGGCATCTAGGCTGGTTCCATAGTTTTGCTATTGTAAATTGAGCTGCTATAAACATTGATACACCTATGTCACTATAGTACTGCTAATTTTTAGTCCTTTGGGTATACACCAGTGAGTGGATAACTGGGTCAAATAGTGGTTCCATTTAAAGTTTTCTAAGGAATCTCCATACTGCTTTTCAGAGTGGTTTTACCAATTAGATGCAAAAATTCTTAACAAATATATTAGTGGTTTGAATTCATGATCTGGCAAAGTATACTCCAAAAATGTAAGAATAGTGGAACATTATAAAATCAATCACCACATTATCATAAAATATGGACAATGAGAAAAAAATAAAATTTTGAAAAATTTAGTAAAATGATTTTAGGGGAGTGGGTGTGTACCTGGGATTGAACTCAGGGGCACTTGACCACTGAGCCACATCCCCATCCCTGTTTTGTATTTTATTTAGAGACAGGGTCTCACTGAGTTGCTTAGCACCTCACTTATTGATGAGGCTGACTTTGAACTCATGATCCTCCTGCTTCAGCCTCTGAAGCTGCTGGGATTACAGGCATACACCACCATGACTAGCTAGTAAAATGATTTTATAAAATCCAGTTAATTATAAATTTCAAGAGAAACTAAAAATAGAAGGGAATTTTCTCAGTCTGATAAAAGTATCTATAACAGCTATGAAAATATGCAGCAAATATTGTAATTCTTGAAAGTCTTCCTTCCAGGTCAGAATAATGTAAGCATTCCCAATTCTCTATAACAGTTTTCTGCAGGGTTTAGTCAGTGTAATAAGGCATGAAAAAGAAATGATATGCATAAAAATTGAAAAGAGATCACGACTATAATAATTTAAACAAATATATAGATAAGTATTGGAACAAATATTGCGAAATAAAAAGCCAGAATCTTTAAAATAAATGAGTAATGAAGACAGACAAATAGAATAGTGCATCAGTAAACAATATGAATAATAAAAGAACCACACACTTTTCTTTAAGTGTTGCTATCTTCTTCAGCTAGGAATTTGTTAGGAATGCAAAGTTTTGGCCCTCATCCCAGACCTAGTGAATTAGAAGCTTTTGTGGTATAAATCAACATTCCATGTTTTAACATGCCATCTAAGTATTTCTGGTGCAACTTAATTCTGAGAATAACTAGAATAGAATATAAAGAAATAAATACACAAATATGTGGTCATCTGACATGACGAAGCTGACATATAATGCAATGGGGAAAGGATGTTTTCAAAAAAATGGTGTTCCTTCTGTTGACTATGTATGTGGAAAAGTAATAAACTCTAACTCCTTCCTTACAGTTGTAGATGGATGACTCTTTTTGTGAACTAAACATAATAGGCAAGACAGTAAAGCTTTAGAAAAAATGTAGAAAATAGCTTGACCACTGAGCCACACAAAGACACTGTTAAGTGAGTAAAAAGGCAAGTCACAGAGTGGAAAGAAAATTTTAATTACACATCAGTGAGAAGAAGGCAGACAATCCAATTTCAAAGACTTGGACACTGACTTCACACACAACCAAAAAAATTCCAAATGTCTGATAAACATATGTAAAGGTGTACAAAGCCACTGAGGGACATTATGGTATACCCATCAAAAATGCTAAGGGTTGAAGATGCAGAACAATTAGGAATGTAAGTTGATACCCCTTTGGAAAACTGCTTAGCATTGTCTTCTAAAGCATCCTTTATATGCCTATTAACATATGCAACATTATGACCCAGCATTCCCTTCTAGGTGGATACCCAATGGAAATAAATACTATTTGCCCACTAAAAGACATGTAGTTCTAGACATTCTAACAATGTTCATATACTATTATCCATAATAGAAAAGGAAGAAAATCACATGTTTATCAATATTATAATGGATTAAAAATGTCTATTTTTTTTACAATAGAGTACAATCATGAGAAGGAAGAGCCTGTAACTCGTGTAAACAGCATAGAATAATTCCACAAACATGATATTATACAAAAGAAACTAGACACAAATCTATATGCAATAAAATTTCACTTAAATAAAGTTCAAGTACAGGTAAAACTAACATGTAATAAGTATGTATGGTGTTATAAATCAGAATCATAGTTCCTTTGGGGGGTAATGTTCTTTTATTTATCTAGGATGGTTTCACTGGTATTATTGTAAGCTGCATACCTTGTGAAAATTCATTAAGATGTAGATTTATGACTTATGTACTTGGCTGTTATTTTTCAATAGCTTAGACTAAAATTGACATTCAAAGTTGTAAGCAAAAAGAACTGAAAGAGGAGCAGACCTCAATGGATCAGCAAGCTTTCTTTATTAAGCAGCAGTGGAATGGCACATTTTTAGGGGAGAAAATGGAAACTGGTTACAAGAGGGGGGATCTCTCTTTTATACACTTTGGTTAGAGTTAATCGTAGCAGAATATTTAGTGTGACTTAATCATCAGAGTCCTAGACATGCTGCTGGAAGTCAGGAAACTAGGTGTGCAGGTTCAAAGTCTAAATCAGGAAAAAAGTTGGAACCCATTGTTACTGGGATGAAAGTCCAGAGCCCAGAGCCCATTGTTTGCCTTCTCCACCTGGGACCCATCCTTTCTCTCTGGGGGTTGTTGTTCCATATCCTTCAAAAGTATTCAAGCTATTTTGCACTAAGATTGAGTAATATCTGTAGTTTAGATAATTAAACCAATGTTGATTTATTAGTTTTGATCAATGTACCAATGTTATATATATATAAGTGTTAGGAAAATGGTAAAATGTATACTGGAACAGTGCTATAAAGATTCTATAATCACAATTCTTTTGAAATAAAAAGTTTAAAGTAAAAGAAGACTGAAATAAAAAAGAACTATGGCACAAGTTGAGAGTTGCCTTTCGGCTATATGGAGTGCCCAACTCATCCTCTCTCTTCCCATTATAAGTCTTTTTTTTTATTGGTTGTTCAAAACATTACAAAGCTCTTGACATATCTATTTCATACATTTGATTCAAGTGGGTTATGAACTCCCATTTTTACCCCGTATACAGTCTTCTGATAAATTCCTATTTTATTTTTTTTTTCAATTTAACTCAGACATTTCCTGCATAAAGCTGTTCCTGGTTTCCCTTTTTCTCTAAGAAAATAGTTAATCTTTCCCCTATTTTAAGAATATATCTCACATACACACACACACACACACACACACACACACACACCTTCTAGAATATATTTTATTATTAATAAGTGACATTTGGCCACAATTTCTGACATCTGTTGTGGTTTAACTTTTTTTTTTTTGTGGTCTCTACCTTGATGAGAACATGCTGCTTGCTCATGACTGGGAGCCTGGTTTTGAACTTTGGAAATAGGGAGTAAGTTTATATATGAGAGCTGAAGCAATGTGTAGGAAGTCTCTTGGAAATGGCTCAAACTTTCTGTATTTACATCATTGAAGTTGCTAGCACAAAAGGACCAGGCCAGATGCAAACTTTACAGATTAGCAAAAGCCTTTATTCAGGGACAGAATCACACCTCTGATGGACCCACTTTCCTGGTGGAAAATGAGCCACTGGCCAAAGGGGGAGTCTGCACTTATATAGGTTACACTGAGAGGTGACTTAATGAGCATGTCAGTTTGGGCACTCAGGAATTTGGGATCTGTTTTATTGGGTGAGATGGGCGTGGTCTGGGGTTAGCCATCAGTGCCTGGGGTTTATCTTTATTGGGCCAGATGGAGGGTCTGGGGTCAGCAGTCAGTATCTGAAAAAGGATTTGTTTTGGGAAGGATCAATGCTTTGGCTTCTTTCCAGAGACTGTCATTCCAGACTTGAGAGATATCTCCTGCTGGGGGCCTGTTTTGTCACTGGGAAAGAATGTATTGGGAAAGGATCCATGTATTTCCTTCTCCTTCATTCCCTCTCCCCAGGCCACACTATTTTGTGGTTTGTCATTTTCCATATTCAATAGAAATCATCCTCCTGTTTTGCCTCCCTAAATTCAACTAGTCTAGGCCAGGTGCTTCAAAGATATCCACCACTGATTTTTGTCATAGGAAACAGTGTCCAAAGAATTTTCTGGGGAATCTGACGATGAAGATGTACAAAATGAGAGACAGAGAATCGTGGAGCAGCCTCTTGAATCACTGAATTCCACAGTGGTTATTAAAGAACTCACCAAGGTAACATCATTCAGTGGTCAGCAATGCTAGCTTCATCCATGTGGTTCTGTGGGATCTACAGGTCTACGGGTGTTCTCCTAGTAGATTCTCTGAAACCCTCTGAGGTCCATGGTGGCCCAAGGTATTGATTATATTTGGCAAGTATACATATATACACCTACATGTATAATACATATCTATACACACAAATACATACATTCACATGTGTATGTATATGTGTGTGTAAATTTGTATTGTGTTTTCTTTATTTTTAAGATATATTTTCAATGTCCACCCATTCTGGCTGTGAGAAACATCTCTGTTGCCATCCAAGAGGAGGAGTGTTTTGGATTGCTTGGATTAAATGGGGCTGGAAAAACTTCTACCTTCCAAATTTTGACTGGAGAACATACTGCTACTTCTGGAGATGTGTTCATTAAAGGTTTTAGCATCACCAAAAATATCCTAAAGGTAAGATTCAATTAGTGTCTGTGAGAAGCATGTCAACTTGGGAGTGCAGGTAACAGACAAGTGGAGGGAGATCACAGATGGCAATCATTATAGGCATTGATATTGATTCTGGGGACTCAGCCAATGCATTTTGGAGAGAGAAATATATTCTTAGGGAAAGATATTCAGGTAGGAAAAATCACTTTACCCTGAGAATCTAAGTCAAGAATAGACAAGTTCTCTCAACAGTTCTTCTAACATATTCCAGATAATGTGCTTGATCTATAAAAAATAAATTTGACTTGTAGTTTCTGGTCCAGTATTTAAGAAGTTTGCTGCTCTGATCTTAACAAGTAAAAATCTCAACAAACTGAAAAAAACTTTTTAGATCATAAGAGAAATGAGATTATAGGGCCAAGCATTACCACCAAAACTGTAGATGCTGAGAAGTGAATACAGAGAATCACAACTTACCTGACCCAAAACTCACAGTGGCTGCACTACATTACATTTGCTCCATCAGTGTTTGGGGATTCCAATTTTTCTAGTACTTGCTGATATTATCAATTATGTTCATATTTGATATTGATTTGGGTTTATTTTTGCTCTTCTTTTCCAGTAAAATCATGTAATGCTATAAATTTGTCTCTGCATTGCTTTACCTACATCCCACAAATTTTCATAGTTGTATTTTCATCATATTAAAAATATTACATAACTTATTCTTAAAACTCTCTTTTTGACCCATGGAAGTATATTGTTTAATTTTCAAGTTATTTTTTGTTTATCCCAAAAATGTATGTTTTTCAGAGTCTACAGTCTAGGTTGGTGATTGTTGTGGTTTGGATATGAGGTATCCCCCAAAAGCTCCAGTTAATAATGTAGGAGTATTCACAGGCAAATTATTGGATTATGAAAACTCTAACCTATTTAATTCATCCTAGTTTGAGTGAACTGCTGGGTGGCAACCATAGACAGTTGGGGGTATGTTTGGAGGAGAATGGGTCACTGGGGGTGTGCCCTAGATGGGTTGTTCTGCCTAAGCCTCCTCCTCTTTTTTCTCATGGTGGTCCTCCTCTTCCTCTTTCTCTTCCTCTTCTCCTCCCCCCCTCACCATGAGTTGAGCAGCATTCCTCCCTGGGCCTTTCTCCCCATGATGTGTTGCTTCACCCAGTTCCAGAGCAATGTATTGGCTGTGTATGGACTGAGACCTCTGAAACCATGAGATCCAGATAAATTCTCCCACCTCTGAACTGCTCTAATCAGGTATTTTGGTCACAGCAAAGTAAAAGGTGACTAAAAGACCAGTTACTGTCTTTCAGCATATTGAAAATATTATTCCTCTCTTATTTCCCTCTTGATTCCTTTGACTTCTGATAAAGTTATCTGTCACTTGGTCCTTTGAAAGTAGTGTTATTTTGGGGAGAGAGGGGCTTTTGGTATTTTCTCTTTGTCTTTGCTTTGCAGCACTCACACTATGGTGTATTGGAGGAGCAGATTTTATATTTATTGTTTGAAGATTTGTTGGCATTCTTTTATCCTACATTTCCTTCTTTGTTTTTTTTTTTAGAGAGAGAGAGAGAGAGAATTTTTAGTATTTATTTTTTAGTTATTGGCAGACACAACATCTTTGTTGGTATGTGGTGCTGAGGATCGAACCCGGGCCGCACACATGCCAGGTGAGCGCGCTACCGCTTGAGCCATATCCCTAGTCCTCCTTCTTTGTTTTTAAAATATTTCTTCTGCTTTATTCTCTTTCTTCTTTCCTTTTATGAATCCAGTTATTTTTCAGATATCTTTATAATATTCTCCATATCTTTGCTTTCAGATTTTCCATATTTTATCTCTTTATACTGCCTTCAAGGTAATTTCTTCTGAGTTTTTCCAATTCATAATGCTTTCTTCAGCTATATCTAATCTTGTTAAATTCAGTCATTTAGTTTATGCAGTCTTTTCAGATATAGTATTTCTCATTTTTAGATGTTCTTTTATTTTAGTCAGCTAAGTGTATATGCTTTCTGTTGCTTAGATATTGTCAAATTTTTCATTTATTTTTTTAGCAACAGATCTTTTTAAGGGTTTTAAGTGCATTCATTGTACTTTCAGGTTTTCTTTTGTGTTTAGAATTCTTCAGAATAAATTGGGAGATATTAAAATTAGTTTCTTATTTACTAAAATGAGTAAACATAGTAGTTTTCTCATGGGAGAATGCTAATTGCAATATCTAAGGTTATCAAAGAATTGTTTCTGTTGTCTGTCATTTCGGGTATTTGTCATTTTTGGTTACTTGTTAACTTGTGCACTGAATTATTCTTTTTTTTTAACTCTTTCTTCCTCCCTCCCTCCCCCCCTTTCTCTTTCTTTCTTTCTTTCTGTTGGGGATTGAACCCAGGGCCTTGTACATTCAAGGCAAGCACTTTACCAACTGAGCTATATCCCCAACCCCTCAATTATTCTTTGAATCTATGTTACGCTGCCTCTAAAACATTATATTTGAGAGTAATTTGAGACCTTTCAAAAAGAAGAGAGTTTGAGTGCTTGCTTCGGTAGCACATATACTAAATTTGGTATGATACAGAGAAGATAGCATGGCCCCTGTGCAAGGATGACACGCAAATTCATGAAGTGTTCCATATTTTTAGGCCAGCCTACTGAGATGTTTTCCATCATCATTTAACCTGCAATGGTTCTAAAAGTTTTCCTTTTAATGATTGTATTAACTTTTGAGCTTAGGTAGTATTTTTTTTTTTTCTTAAGGCTATCTTAGAGCACACTGGCTGAATGTTGGCATGTGTAGCAAAGTGTTTACTTTCTTTAAATAACCAACTCTGTAATAGTTCTTTATATTTCTAGCAGTCTATGTAGTTGTCTTCAGAGGAAGATTTTTTCACATTTATGGGGTTTCCTTATGTTTAGGGTGGTAAGAATCATTCCCCGCCCCTTTTTCCCTAAAGTCAATGCAGATGAGGGTGCGTGGGTAAAGGGATGTTTTTAACTAGCATGATAGGTATAGTCAGTTGTGTGGGAAGGTTGTTAGTATTCTTTTATTATGAATCTTGTTTAATACTGTCCATTAGCTCTCATGCCTGGTCAGTAAAATGCTTTAATTTTTTTTAATAGAATCTGACTTGGTGGAGTGAGTTTGTTTGTTTGTTTGTTTTGTTGTTATTGTTGTTTTAAAGGAAAAGTAAATGCAGGATTGGGGGATTCTAACACAGGTCTTATGCATGGTGTTAGTCATACTGACTACATTAAACCTCTAATTTTTATTTTTGTTCCAGGCAAACTGATAGGAGAAATATGCACCACCACAATAACTTCTCTGGCTTCAGAAAGCAGACTGTTGGGGTGACAAATACCTTTTGCCACTTTTTAAGTGGTCTTGGCCTCGGGAATGCCAACCCCATTATTTCAGTGGATGGGTGGGGAAATCAAGATTTCCCCCAAAACCTTTAGTAGGAAAAAGTGGGGTTTTCTTTGTTTTTATTTCCCCCTTCCCCTTTTTGGCGTTTACTTTTAAATCTTAAATGTTAATATTGCAGGCCATAGGCATGACAGGAAATGACCAGATGAAGAACTTACGAAAAAGTGTTCAAAAACTCCTGAATTAGCTAACAGGCTTCTGAATGTGTCACTGTGGTCCACAGAGAAGGCTGGGGAAGGTAGCAAGGAGATGCTGTAACAGCTACTACAGCCTTAAAACAAAGTTGGTGTCTCTTTAGACTTTAAAATTATTCCTATGCAGTTCATTTTATTTTTGTTTAATCAAATAAACAAGAGGGTTTTCCATGAAGGGGGGAGAAGTTTGGGTTTTCCTCTGCTAGGGAGATGAACATTTTCAGAATTTTAGAGCATTTTAAATTTATAGTTCAGGATTTTCTGTCACACATTAGGTAATGTGGTGAAAGTTACTGAAAATTATATCTAAAGGTTTGGCTCAGTGCCTGGGTTAAACCCTCTTATCCTGAGAGGTATAATGAGTTAGCTTTCCTTTTATTTTAGTCTTTGACAGTAGTCTTTGGCAGAACCTTCACATATATTGTAAACTTATACAACACAGATTCATCCTTTGTATCCTTATCTCTTGAAATCCCTGATTATCATGGGAAGACTCTCCCAATAGATGCCTTTATTTTGGAAAGATTCTTAAATTTTCTTTCTAAGTCAAAACCAAAATTTATATTCCTCTAAATCTTCAAATGTCTTCAGGGCACACACGACTTTGACATTAGGATTATTAATGTATGCTCTTGATATTTGTTTAAAAAATATTTGACCTGTTAATTACTTATCATGTCAGCACTTCTATGTTTTGAAATATGTTAAAGACCAGTGGAGGTAAAGGAAGGTAATCGTGGGGAGGGGGAGGATAGGGAAAGGTAAAGCACTGGGGAATGAAGTGGGTCAAACATTTTACATGCATTCATGAATATGTCAAAATGAACCACTAATTTGTGTAACTATAATGCACTAAAAAGTTAAAAATATTTTAAGGTATTTTATCAAGGCTGTTTTGTTGTTTTTGTCAAGGAATTTGACCTTATAAACCTAGTTATAAATGAACTGAAAAGAAGTGCTGGGTTTTTTTAGCTTTATGAATTTATTGATTAACTCATTCAATTTTCAGTCTTCTTTCATTGTGAGTTTTTATTAAACCATGATATCATTTGGAGTTCAGTTTCAAATTTTCAAACACATTCTTGTAGAATTTTTTATTTTTTTTATTTCAAATTTAGTTGCATCATAGTTATGAGTTTTCAATGGGTTAAAGAGATATCAAAATATGTTTTGTATAGGATTTTTCAATGATTTCCTCAAAAGGATTGTTCTGAAAAACTGAATCTAACATTCAATAAAATGAATCTGTTTTCTTTTTAATAGCTTTATGAGTTGACCTCTTAATCATTTATTTAACTCATTTATTACTCTTCCTTGTTTGAAAGTGGCCTCTTCAATATATTTCATATTGCTTAAAATATTTTGTAAGTTGTATTGAGTTCCCTTAACCCATGAATTAAGGGTTTACTCTTAGACATTCGTTTCAAATTTCCAAATGTATGGAAATTCTAAACATATTCATCATTCTCTGTACTGTATTAAGACTTTCTTTATGATTACTATGTGACTGAAATAAGAGTTAGGATCCCAACTCTGCTCAACTCTTTTAGGTAATTCTCATAAAGCCACATTACACACAAAAGAGAGATGTAGGACCCTGTTGATAAGCCATCCATCTATCATTACCAACAAAGAGTAGAATTTGAACAAACCTAACCTATGTATTGCAGTCCTTCTATAACAGTCTTTGATTTCCATATCCTGGCATCCTTTGAGATTGAACTCATGAAGACATATTATAGAAAATAAGACCCCACGAATCAAAAATGTTCATCTAATTATTACTTCCAGACTTATTACTATTAATTTTACATCTCTTTTGCTGCTTAGGGTAATCAGACTTCTTTCTTTTACAGGTTGAGTCATTGTTAGACTAACCTTTTTCTTTTACATTCCTCTTCAGATAAATATGTGCATGGTATATTGCTTTAATTTTTAATTATTTTAAATTTATTTTGGATCTGGTCTATGGTATATGATAGGAAGAAAACTTTGTTTTATGAAAACTTACCCTGAATGCATACGTTTTTGTACACTTACAATCCTAACACGTGACAGTAGCTTCTAACTACGGTGAATCTGTAACCACTGAATGACAAGAAATTCCTTGCAAGAACTCTGTGAGGCATCAAACCCTCTTAGAGGAATGGCCTAGGGAACTTTAAGTCTTTTATGTCATCCATGATTATTCAATTCTCAATGAGATAATTGATTTATGTCCAATGCTGTTCTCTTCTTTTAGGTAAGGTCAAAAATTGGTTATTGTCCACAGTTTGATGCCTTGCTGGATCACATGACTGTTCAGGAAACGATGATAATGTATGCCAGGTTGTGGGGGATCCCTGAGAACAACATTAACTCTTATGTGAACGACATTTTGAAATTGCTAAATCTGCAACCCCATGCTAACAAGCGTACTCAAACTTTGAGGTGAGATACTATGCAGCTTAGTTTTTAGAGCCTCCCTGTGTTTGAAATACTCACATTAACCTGAGCTATACTGACAAACAAGGAATGACTGTGAAATAATAGGTTTAGATGCTAGCAACAAAGCTGCAGAGATGAAATTCAAAAACCTTCTATTTGAATCGTAGCCATTGAGTTATAAAAGGCAGCACTCTTTCCCTATTTTGCTATGGTTTTTTGTCTCCCAAATAAGCACAGATATGAGATTCTTTGTTTTGGCCTGGCCACCATGTAATCCTGAGGAATTCCTAGAATAATGAATTTCACTAGTAAATATCATCGAAATGAATTAGGTACACAAAAGTCATCTTTCTATACTTCAAATGAAATGAGTTGATTTATATATCTGGATTTGTATCTCATGACTTGACAGAGTCACATATAGCTAGCATTTTTTTTTTTGACTCTGCTGTTTCCTGCAACTCAGTTTTGGGAAACCTTAGCAAATTGTTTCTTATAAATAACAGATGTATATTAAATTACTGATTTGTATGCCTTAATGTGCTTCTCCCACTTTTTCTCTCCTTCCTTGGCCATGAAGTGGAGGAAACAAACGTAGGCTGAGCACTGCTGTTGCCATAATGGGAAGACCCTTTGCTGTGTTCCTGGATGAGCCATCCACTGGCATGGACCCAGTAGCCCAGCGCCTGCTCTGGAACATAGTGACAAAGACACGTGAGAGTGGCAAAGTTATCATCTTGACCTCTCACAGGTGTGGTTCAGTGGGAAGTCTGGTTGAAGACTATGAAGAGTTGTAATAATTAAAATGGAGAATTATTTGGGGACAAGAATACTGGACAATAAATTTTCCAAGTATGTGAGCTCCTTATGAATGGAATCCTAATGAAAGGAATAGCTGGAATCCTTATTTGGTTAACTAGTGAGGGGAAATTCAGGTATTCCATTTGAGGATTTGATCCTCTGCTATTTTGAATTTGAAAATATCTTTATTTCCTGTGATCCTGATGATAGGCAAATGAAACTTCCCATTTAAAAGAGAATCACAATATAGGAATGTTTGAATTACAGAATATCCTCCACTGGAGACGTTTTTAGCCTTACATTGTTCTGGTGTCTTGTTTTTCTAGTATGGAGGAATGTGAGGCTCTCTGTACCAGGCTGGCCATTATGGTGCAGGGAAAGTTCAGGTGCCTGGGCAGCCCTCAACACCTCAAGAACAAGTTTGGAGATGTTTATACCATGTTTGTCAAGTTCAAGACTGGTACAGACCAAAATATAATAGAGGATTTTAAAATATTTATTGCCAGTACTTTCCGAGGTAAGTCAGGTTGCGCTAATAACTTTGTTAGTGAAATGGTAAAGTCATATTTATTGTTCTTGCCATACATATATTTTGTATTTCTAACAACTGTTTGCTATGAGTTATTGCTACTTTCAACCTCCCTTCAATGAGTTCTTTTGGAGATTTATGTCCCTATAAGTCTTTTGTACCTGATTATGCTAAGAAGTTTGCAGGAAACAAAACAGAAGTTCACCAATCTCTTGTCATATGATTTATTATCTCATGTCATAAAATTTAAAGTTATAAAGATTGAGCATAATTTTTAACAGACATTTTACTTTTCCTTTTTAAATAACTTATTAATTTATTTATTCATTTTTATGTGGTGCTGAGGATCGAACCCAGGGCCTTGCACGTGCAAGGCAAGCACTCTACTGCTGAACCATAACCCCAGCCTGGAAGTTTGAGAATAATTTTTATTCTTTGAACATCATTTGTATTAGTCTGCCACAACTTCCACAACAAAATGTCACAGACTGAGTGGCCTAAACAACATTTGTCTTCTTACAGTTCTGGAGGTTGGCAGCCTACTAATAAAATGTCAGAAGGTCTAGTTACTACTGAAGCCTCTCTTACTTATAGGACTCTTTTCTATCCACATACATTTCTGGTGTATCTTCTTTTCTTAAAATGATACCAGTCATAGTGGAATAGGAGCTTCACCCTATGACTTCATACAAACTTAATTACCTCCATAAAGTCCCTGGGGATTAAGGCTTAATATGTACCATGAAAAGTCTTAAGGTATTTTGTCCTGTACTAAAAAAAAGGTAATTCTAGCCCTTTCTTGTCTTAGTCAGAACATAGTTTAAAAATGCAAAAAGATCTACCAAGTGTTTCTCTCTTCTCAAGAACCCTTTTCCTTCTGAGTAACAAATTCACTAAGCACTTTTTGCCAATATGGTACAATGCAAGATACGTGTCAAGGATTTCAGTCATTGTGGGTTTTCATCTTAGCTTTGTCAGGCTGAATAAAATGTAACAGAAATGTCTGTTATGAATTAGGTTAAGGAGTAGGAATTTTATCTTCTTTGCAAGGAAAAATGACATGATTGATTATACAGTAGAAATGGAGATTATAAAATAGATAAAAATAGATGGGGACTGGGGTTGTGGCTCAGAGGTAGAGGGCCTACTTGCCTAGCACATGTGAGGCACTGGGTTTGATCCTCAGCACCACATACAAAAATAAATAAAATAAAATCATTATGTCTATCTACAACTAAGAATATTTTAAAAAAATAGATGGTAGAACAGTTTGTGTGGGAAGGTAATCAGTGGTCATTGTGACTATGATATGCCTATAAAAAATGTCAAGGGTCAAGGTTTCAGTATGGTGGATTAGAAAAAAAAATCACCTCTTTCTCCACAAGTTGGAAGCAAAACACTAGAGAGCAGTATTCAACAAGGTGGAAAGACTGGAAAAATGCTATAGTTCAATAGTGGACAGACAGAGACTTGGAGAAACCCAGATACTCTGGATAATAGAACAAAGGTTGAGAAAGAAAGCCTCATTACCAAGTGCACAGCAGCACAGCAAAGGGAAAGGGTAGTGGAGAAATTGAGACACCTAGTAAGCATGACTAGCACAGAAATTAGCACAGTGCAGAAAGGCAGCCTAAACATAACTGATCTGGAATCTATATAACAGGCTGATGCTGGAGAAATTGTTTGTACTTCTCAGAGAAGTATATAGACCAAAAATAAAAGCATTGGTTAGGAGAGACAAAGAAGGTATTGATTATATATTGATGAAGAGAACAATCCCTTCAAAAAGATATTATGATTAGAAATATATACTCACTAAATGTTGGAGCACCCAATTTTATAAAACAAACACTACTGGACATAGAGGGAAACAGACCCTAAAACAGTAGAATTCAGTACCCTATTCTCACCAACAGATTATTCAGACAAAAAAACTAATAAAGAAACATCAGAGTTCAATTACAATATAGATCAAATATACTTAGTAGATATCTACAGAATATTGCAAACAGCTGTGGAAGTATACATAGTTTTTTCATCAGCTCATGGAACTTTTTCCAAAACAGATAAATATTTTATGTCGTAAAGTGAGTCTTAGAAAAATGCTTCAAATTTTTAAATAATTTCTTGGGTTTTATCATATCTTAATGGAATGGAACTAGAAATCAACAGCAATAGAAACTACAGAAATTACACAAACACATGGAAATTGGATAATACATTTTTGAATGAACAGTGGGTCACTGAAGAAATCAGGGGAGATATTAAAAGATTCCTAGAATCAAATAAAAATGGAAACACAACATATCGGCATCTGTGGAATATAGTGAAAGCAGTACTAAAGGAAATTTATAGCTGTGAGCACCTCTACACTATAAAAAGAGAGATCTGAAATAAATAATGTAATGATGCATCATATCATGCATAGCAAAAAGAGTGGGTTATTGGATCATGCTCCCTTTTGTATAAATCCTGTATATTCATCTCCACCGTATATAACATTAAGTAAATGTAGCAATATTTAGCAGTTTTTAAATCTGTAAAATTATTCTCTTGTTCTGTTTTCCTTTCTTAGGTAGTGCCTTGAAGCAGGAGACTCAAGGGGTCCTTAACTTCTATATTCCCAGCAAGGAAAATAGCTGGGGAAAGGTGATGGGAGCACCCATACCCTTCTAACGCTATAGGCTAAGAGAGCACTAATGATGGGAAGTATTGGGGATTCTGTCAAGTATTTGGGATTCTGTCATCAGAGCCTTAAGGCTACTTTTCAAATACTCCTTGAGTTTAATGACTGATTTCGGCCCCCCAAATCGTACTGTTAACCCAACAAGAAAATGGGGACAGAGAACTCCCTCCTCTCAGCTTCTCAATTACCTATTTTTTTTTTCTATTTATCATCTCTCACTTCTGTGGCTCTAGCCTTTATCATTAACTTTTGTTAAGTTGTGGAAGAGATGGGAGGCTCATCTGGGTTGAGTACTGGAGGGGAGATTGCAATGGTAACTACACATTTTTATCATTGTTGTTGAAGGTGTTTGGCATTTTGGAGAAAGCCAAAGAGCAATTCGATTTAGAAGACTATTCAGTCAGTCAGATAACACTGGAACAAGTCTTCCTGACCTTTGCTAATGTAGATAAACCAGCAGGTGGCTCTGAAAAGCAAGCACAATGAGATTCAGTTGCCACCGGTCACCTCCTGGATACATAAAGGAGCATTTCTCTGTGTGTATATCTTGGTGTAAATATAATTATGCAATAAAGAGTTCCCCAAAAGAGAAAGTTTGCCCGCTTCTTTGCAGATTTAGATGAGTGGCCTATATATCTCACATGCACAGATTTATAGCCATTAGGCGAACTATCCTATTTTCCGTCCTAGAAATATGAAAGAGCAGAATTTATCAGGGTGAGGACAAAGACTCCTATTCCTGAGTATTCTGAATATTTGAATAGAAACATGGAAAATAATGGTGCTGTCTTATGAGACAGTCTGAAGAGCAAGAACATCATATTTTAGCAGCTGGTTATGGATAAGAGGGGTTTAAATACACACGTTTATATTGTTTCAAAGATTAAGATGCAAGTTGGATTATTATTTCTAAAACTCAAACCAAGATTCTAAATTTGTAGCTGGGAGGACCACAAGTTAAAAGCCAGCCTCAGCCACTGCAAGGCACTAGGTAACTCAGTGAGACCCCGTTTCTAAAATAAAATACATAAAGGGCTGGGGATATGGCTCAGTGGTTGAATGCCCCTAAATTCAATCCTCAGTAATCCCCCTGCCCAAAGAAAGAAAAACAAACAAAAAAAAATTCTATATTTGCAAGATATAATCTTTGCACCAAGAACGTTTGGAGTTAAAGAACAGAAAGAAAGAAAGAAAGGAAAAAAACCCATGATTTAAAAAGTGTTCTCTTTCCTATTCTCGGCCCACCTATAATTAAGACGGAAAGAAGAAGGAAATTGAAAGAAAACAGGGATCTCATTCTTTTTAGGGCCGATTGATTCCCCATAGGCTTCATGAGAAATGTAATTTCCCCACAGGATTCACGGTTAGATGAGCATACAGAAAGGATAGGCATAGTTGAAATGCAAAACGAAGAGTAAGAAGCTGCTCTACTTTAGGGTGTCTTGTCAAGATTTTTATATACTCAGTTGGTTATTGTAAGTAATAAAGTGATATTCTGAAGTTATTCTCTGTTCTATTTCTCTTGTCTTTAAAAAGGGAAAAGGAACCATTACCGGGTTATTAACAGGCTTCCACTCAAAAGCAAACAACCGAGGCACCTGCATTACTCAGTAAGAATCCGCACTCATGGGGTGCGGGGCAAAATGCCAAGGAACATCCTGGGAGAAGCTCCTTGTTTTACAGCGTTCCTCTAGCGCCCTCTCCTGTCAACTCTTGTCAGTTCAATAGTCCTGCTCCCATTTGGGGTTGAGGCAATAAATTCATACCCAGCACATTGCCAGAGTGAATTTGCCTTTTAACAGAATCCCGAACCTATGATTTTTGCAGCTGAGCTACTGGGGAGGTGGATGGAGTATGCCAAGAGAAGGGGGCACCAATGTACTTGGGGAAGACATCAGGATAATTAGAAAACTTGGGTAGGGAGTCCCACATGTTGAGTGGACAAGGGCTGAAGCAACATAGCGGGTGGAAGTCTGGGTAAAGCGCAGGCTCAGTAAAGGGACTAGGAAACAATGTCCTTTGCTTCTAGTGGGCTAGAGCAGCATAGTGGAAGCCGGTGGGCAAACAGGGACTGTGGAGTAGGCGCAGCCTTGAGTGCGCGCGCTGGGGACACCGAGCCCCGGCCCCCACACGTGCTACGCACGTCAGCGCTTTTGATTGGTGCACGGGCTGAGGCCACGCCCCTATTTGCGTCCGCATCTTTGGTGCGCGAAGCCGAGGCAACGCCCCTGCCCTCGTCTGCGGAGGCGGGTTGTGAGTCCTGAACAGTTGGAGAGTGGGCCCTCGGGACCTTTCCTGCTCCTACTTGATTGGGTGGAGTTTCTCTGCTCTACCGCTGCTCCCGAAAGCACACGCTGTGGGAGCCGGAAGGCACGCCCTGTACGCGGACAGACTCACACTGGCGGGGTGTGAGAGGCGTCCGGCCTTGTGCCCCCACTTGTGGAGACCCACTTGTGAGAGACGGTGCGCATTCCTGTTGGACTTAGGGAAAGCGAAGGTTTGGGAGCTCGGTAGAAATTGGTTACGGTCCTTTTGCCGGCTGTAGGAGTCTCATCCAGCCTCGTGCGCAGTGGATGGAGATAACGCTCACACTCATCTCCACAGGGCCTGAGGCAGGAGATTGAAGCTAAGGGCAAAGTGCGGGCGGAAGGGCGTGCACTGGGAGTGCAGGAATGTGAGGAGCCCAGAGTCTCAACTTTAAGGAATTCATGAGTACGTGCTCTCCTCCCAACCAAAACCACAAATATACACACAAAGCACTAGAAACCCAACCAACACACACGCCCTGAACAACCCGAATTAATCAGACTGATGGACTCAGGAATTTTATTTTGACTAGTTCACAATGTATTGGGGATGATTCAAATTTCTGACTCTTAGGAATAATCCTACCAGGACATTCTTGTATAAGGCTTTTACTAACCCCCCATATATATTTTTGTTCCTGTTAGAGTTAGATGAATACCAAGGGGTGTAATTAATTTTATTATTGGATAAGCAGGGCTTCTCAACTTTGGCACTGTTGTATTTTGTCGCATGGAATTCTTTGTTGCAGGATCCATTCTGTACAACTTCACATCCTCTACTTAGTTGATACCAGACATTGTTAAATGTCCCCCGGATGTGAGGCAAAGCTGCCCCACTACTTGAAAACCACTGGTTAGCTATTTCACTTCTTTAAGAAATTGCTAAGGCATTCCTTGGACACCCACTAGTGATTGATGAGTCTTTTTTGCTCTGCATGCTCTCCAAAGGATTGACAACATTTTTTGACGTCACTGATTTAGCCATTGTCATGTGTGTGTCAAGATACCTTGTTTTAGTTTTCATTTATATTTCACTGATAGCTTATGATGTTAAACTATTTTTCCTGTTCAGGTTTTTTTCCCCCATTAAAAATTAATACTGGCTTGTAGCAGTGATTTATATACTCTGGATATAAATCTCTTGTTAGATATCTGTGTTAAAAATACTTTATTTCAATCTGTGGCTTTTTTTTTTTCGTTTTTCAAAAATTTAATTTTTTAAATTTCTTTTTAGTTGACAAAATGATTAGCATGTACAATGTGTTTTGAAATATGTATAATCGTAAAGTGGGCTAAATTAAGCATAATAAATGCAAACATCATATACTTTTTGTGGTGAGAACATTTAAACTTTAAATAACTTTTGAGAATATAGTGCATTGTTATTAGCTATAATCACCATGTCATATAATAGGTCTCTTGAATGTATTTCTCCTATGTAATTGAAATTTTGTATTCTTTGACCAATATCCTTCTGACCCCCACAACACCCTTACCCCACCCAGCCCCTGCTAATCTACAATTGCACTTCCTTAGATTCCATGTATAAGTGAGATTGTGTGGTATTTGCTTGGCTTATTCACTTAACATAATGACCTCCAATTCCATACATATTAATAAATGACAGAATTTCATTTTTCTTTATAGCTGAATAATATACACATTTTTAATCCATTCATTAGTTGATGAGTGCTTATATTGATTACCTATATTGGATACTGTAATACTGCCATGAATGTGGGATTTGCAGATCTCTTTCATATAATGATTTCATTTCTGTTGAATATAAAACTAGTTGTGAGATTGCTGGAACATGATAGTTCTAGTTTTAATTTTTGAGGAACTTTTGTACTGTTTTTTGATAATGACTGTATCTGTCTTTTTTGATAAAAGCCATTCTAATAGGTATGAAGGGATATCTCACTTTGGTTTTAATTTGAATTTCTCTGATATTATTTTTTAATAGACTTGTTAGCCATTTATATGTCTTCTTTTAAGAAATGTCTATTCAAATTATTTAAAAATCTGATTATTTGTTTTCTTTCTGTTGTGTTTCTTTTTTTCTTATCTACTTTGGATATTAACCCCTTTGAAAGTGTTTTTGCCCATGTTGTGGTCCTATCTTCACTCTGCCAATTGTTTCCTTAGCTGTGTAGAAGCTTTTTAGATTGGTGTAATTCTATTTATTTTTGTTTCCTGTGCTTTTTGGGTCTTGTCAAAAAAAAAAAAAAAACAGCCTTTGCCTTTTTCAGTATCCTTAAGCATTTTCTTTATCTTCTAGTAGTTTCAGGTCTTACATTTACATTTTAAATGCATTTTGAGTTTATCTTGTGGATATCCAATTTTCTTAGCACTACTTATTGAAAAGACTGTCCTTTCTCCAATGCATGTTCTTAGCACCTTTGTCTAAAATCACTTGGCTGTAAATGTGTGGATTTACTTCTGGGCTGTAGTCTGTGTGTCTGTACTTTTGGATACTTTGTGTTATATTTTGAGGTCAAGTAGTATAATGCCTTCTGATTTATTCTTTTTGCTAAAGATGGCTTTGGCTATTAAAAGTTGTGTGTGTGTGTGTGTGTGTGTGTGTGAGAGAGAGAGAGAGAGAGAGAGAGAGAGAGAGAGAGACCATATGAATTTTAGGATTTTTTTTCCAGTTCTTTGAATAATGCCATTGGTCTTTTGATAGTGACTGCATTGAATCTGTAGATAGCTTTGAGTAGCCATACATGTTTTCTTGATTTTAGCTTTTATGGGCAGACATTTTAGATGTTGATTTGAGTCCTTATCATCTAGTTTAAGAAAGTAGCAATAGAGATTTTCTGTTTTTATGTATGTGTTATATTCAGAAAGAGTATTTGCAGGTGTAATTGACTCTAGCATCATGTTATTTTCTCCAGAGAAACTTGTTTTATGCCAGGCAGCTGAGGGCAACTGCAATCTAAAGATTGTGATGGTTTGAGGCTAGATTGCAATCCCTGCAAAGGCCACTCTCCCTCAGGTTCATCTTTAATTATAAAGTGAAATCCTAATCTCATGTCTCATATATCTGGTCCTGAATTTGAACGCTCTTTCTCATAGTCCCAAGAATTCAATCTGGTGTTCAGGTTATATTGTTATTGTTAGAGCTGGGATTTTTATTTAAACAGTCTGATTTCAGATTCCTAGTATTAAACATAACCTGCTGTGCCATCCACACCATGAGGGATGGGTTTTATTTGTTTTGTTTCCTATTATACACCTTTACTAATAGGGCACAAATTTGCAGAACAAATGTTTATAAAATATAAAAATTAATCCATAAATTAGTCCATAAATTAATAAGAACTAACTTTAGTTCATTTTTGCTGCTCTAAAAAAATGCCAAAGACTGCATGCATGGCTTATAAACAGAAATTTATTGCTCACAGTTTTGGAGGCTGGGACATCACAGGTTCACCTACTGGCAGATTCAGTGTATTGGGAGGTCCCTTTCCTGGTTCACAGATGGTGGTCTTTTCTTTATGTCTTCGTGTAGTGTAAAGGATGAGGGATCTCTCTGGGACCATTATTATAAGTACACTAATTCCATTCAAATCACATCCCAAAGTCCCTATTTTTAAATACTGTCAAATTGACTGTTAGGATTTAACGTGAATTTGCGGGGGACATAAACATTTAGTCTGTTGTGAATCCATTCGTCTTAACAATTTTGTTAGTGGCAGTCATTTCCAAACCTAGAAACTTGCCTCAATAACTCATTGATCTTTGTTTTGTATTTGACATTTTTTACATATTAGAATCTCCATAGATATTGAATAAATTAAAAATTAGGGATAAACTACTTCTCAAATAGTTCAAATGCTTATTCTTTCTTATTGTCATCTTTAAAACTTGATTAGAAAATTAAGTGATTTAAATTTAATTTACTCTTTGAAAATATACATGTCATTAATCTTAATTTTCTTTTCTTAAAAAAAAAAAAACAACTTTGCTCCCTCCATAGAGTTGAACTTCCACTCCTTTTAGAAGAATGAATTTGTTTGGGTACAAAAAACTTATGATTCTTCTCTGGAAGAATTTTACTTTGAAGGTAAGTTGAATTGTTTATATTTATTGTTGTATACACTATTGTATATACAGTACAAAGGCCACTGGGTGAAATTCTGACAACCTAATCACTAAATTTAAGTTTATATTCTTTTACTTTTCTTAGATCCAGGACTGGGGCTATCTGATCCAGACAGAATCTCCACAGAGTGAAATAATAGCAGATTATAGAAAGGGGGAAAAAAGGCAATCCACAAAACTGCTACTATCATAGAGTAAAGCTGTGCTTATTGTCTATCTATTCTTTATGCAGTATCTTGTTAATGTAAAAAAAATTAGCCACTGGGTATGGTGGTGCATGCCTGTAATCTCAGTAGCTCCAGAGGTTGAGACAGGAGGATGGCGAGTTCAAAGTTAGCCTCAGCAATGGTGAGGCACTAAGCAACTTAGTGAGACCCTTTTTCTAAATAAAATACAAAATAGGGCAGGAGATGTGGGTTAGTAGTTGAGTGCCCCCCGAGTTTAATCCCCAGTTACCCACCCTCCCCCCCCCAAATTAGCTATTTGCGTACCTAATGATCTCTGAGGAAAATCAACATAATCTTGTTTTTTCACTCTTATAGAGGCGGAAACTTGTGGCTTTAGTTGTGGAAATAATTCTGACAATTTTATTTGGTATTATACTTTTGGCAATATGCAAGTTTATTATCATAAAGAAGATTGGACCTTTCAGTTACAATGCTCATCCCATCAATGATTTGCCTTCATTCATCAGATCTCCTGTCACTGTTTCTTATCCTTGGGAATTGGCTTACGTGCCTTCCAAAAGTATTGTGGTACAGAATATTGTTGAAAATGTGAAAAGAGATTTAAACACGAATTTGAAAGGTCAGAAATTAAGGTTTTCTGAAAAAGCATTATTAAATTGTTTTAGCAAAAACATATTTGTAATCTTTTTAATTGGGCATTCACCTTCGAAGGAAAACATTGTAGTATGATATTATAAACTTGAGAGTTAAATTTAAAAAATCGGGGGGAGGGGGGAAGAAGGACAATAGAATGAATCCAGACATTATTACCATGTGTGCATAAAGGATTACATGACTGGTGTGATTCTACAACATGTATCACCAGAAGAATGAGAAATTATACTCCATTTATGATGTGTCAAATGCATTCATCTGCCATCTATAACTAATTATAATGTAAAAATATTTTTAAAAAAGAATTACCATATGAGTCAGCTATACCTCTCCTAGGTTTATATCCAAAAGGAAATGAAGTCAGCATACAAACGAGATATCTATCTCTATTGTGGTACTGTTCACAATAGCCAAGTTATGCAATCAGCCTAGGTGCCTGTAAAAAAATTAAAAAATAAATAAATAAATAAATTTAAAAAATCGTTTTCCCCCCATGGAGCCAAGAACAGATGCTTACTATTTACCCTCTTCTTACACTGATAAATCTGAAGTTTCATATCATAACTTCTCATCAGCAGTAGTCCCTAAGGAACAATCACAGGTTTCTTTGATACCTTGTTTGTATCACAAAATAACATACCTGTTAGCATTTTGGACTAGAAAAACAATACTTTTTTTTTTTTTTCAAAACAAATTGGGTTATCCTTGATATCATCCCCAGCCCTTTCGAGACACAGTAGTGTACTCAGATTTGTGCTAGAATATTGGATACTCCCCCTGGCCATAAATTACCAGTATTAATAGCAAGTCCAGAGAAATGCACGTCCTGGTGAGTGCCCTGAGATTTGTGGAAATTGGTGAATGATTTTTAAAAGGGAAGAATAATGGCATCAGAGTATGAACTGGTCCTATGGAGTCACATCTGAAGCCGGAATGTGTTTAATTCATCTAATGATGGAATGCCATCAACCTTGGGGAATGGTTACATTGCTAACTAGAGGTCAGATTTAAAGTTTGGGCACAAAAAATAGTCCATGAGGCTGGATCCTTCTAGTGGCTGCCTCAAGTACATGCTTTTAAGAAAAATTATTGTGAATTCATGGCATCTCCCAGGCTAAACATTATCCAAGGGTCACCAGAATCAGGGTCACTTCCATAATTTGACTTCATACTTTCTTCCTTAAGCAAGGCTATTCCTTTGTTTTATGATACTTATAGGAATGACTCATTTTTATGCAAATGTAAAGCAAGTATCCAGCCAACACAGTCACTAAATGCAGATGTTTTACAGGATGAAATACTCACCAAGGTCTCATGTTTCCTAAACAGAAAAACCACTAAGATGGAAGATAATTCTTTGGAGTTGAGTTTTGTTGTGTTTATAAAATTGTTTGTAAAAAAAATGAATGGAGAAAAGTAGCTAAAGGAATTGACTTTATGATAGTCTTTGTGAGATACAGAAATGGTGACATACCTTGCAGTCCAGGTGACAAGTGTGGCAGAGTGTACTTTGGGAGTAGGAACTTTGGAAGCATGAGATAGTACTTGTAATGAGGATGATGGTGCCATTGGAAAAATTGTGACAGTCAAGTCTTTTAAATTTTAGTAATGAAACTTCATAGACCTTTATTTTCATGCTTGGGCTGTTGGAATTCTTTGGTATCCTGTTTACTCCTAGTAAGATCTTTAGCATACACAAATGCCTATACAGATATGTTAAATGACTGTGTATTTTGACTTTGAGGGGTACAAATAGCACCATAGCCTTTTCTAATATAAATTAGGTTAAATGTTTAGGCCAAAGTCATTCATTGATCAACTCAAATATTAAAATATTATTACCTCACATATTAAGGGAATCTTTTATTCATATATCATGGTATATAGTACTTTGAATAGATTGCATTTGATCAATTTTTTTCTAATTTCCTTCAAGACAGAAATTTCAAAATGCTCTTTAAAGCATTCTTTATCCCTTTGCTTTCTTCTGTTTGTATTTTATTATTATTTTAAATTTGTGATAATTTTAAAATTCCCAAATATCCATTAGTTTGTTATGCTAATATTTGAGTAACAGTGTTTTGAAATTTATGACATTTGATGATCTTTCATTCATCTCACAGATAGGAGGAAGGGCTGTCATACATTTTGCCTTTATATGGACAACTCATGAACTAGATTTTTCTCTTTTTAGTTATAGGCTTTTCTTCAGAAAGAGCTTTTGAAGATTATGTTGAGCAAACTAATAACTCTAAAAATGTTCTGGCTGCTATTGTATTTGATCATGTCTTCCAAAGTACCAATGATCCTCTCCCACTTAAGGTGAGAAAGCTTTATGTAGAAACCTCATAATTGTACAGTCTATTTCCAGAGATTTAATGAAATGGAGGTATCATTCCATTAAATAATGAGGAGACTATAACTTGCCCAAAATCATACACGGCAGATGCTTGGATGGTGTTTGTGCATTTATTGAGCCAGTGTTTTGTGATGTGGAAAGAATCATAATCACCACCTACCAGACCTTATTCATAAACTGGCATCATAGAAAACACTGGCAATTAAGGATATAACTCAGTAAAAATTAAGTTAAGAAAAAAGTCAAGAGAATATGTTAAATAAAATTTGATACAATAAAATATGTTAAATAAAATTTTATTTGTTAAATTTAAAAAAAAACAAGGATATACCTTTGTCCTGTATCTGATATGGTAGCTGTCTCTAATTCCACAGGTGATGCTAAAGTAAATTCCCATTTCCTAACACCTGATGTGATAAAGTATGTACATCTTCACTAGCAGGTTGAATCAGAATTAGGACATCTGTAAACACTGAGGAATACTCTGATAACCAAGTATAGAATATAGATGTGTGTGAAGCCAGAGTTCTGCACTTAGGATATATATGGTTATCAGTGAAAAAAAGGGTAAAGAAGATCATCTGTTTGGTGTAGGAAGTTGTAGATATCCATTCTTTCTGTCCTGTCACTTCCACACTGACTTCCTATGTGTTAACTTTCCTCAAGTGACTGACTCAGTGTTGGCTGATGCAGATAAAGGCTCAACAGTGTATATAAAACCTGGTCAAAATGTTTTTGGTGCAATTACAAACCTCATCTCTTCTTGGTTCTGTATAGTCTCCCCTCACCCAGTTCCCTCACTTGCCTTACTCTTATTTTTATAATTGTGCTGTGATACTACATTGTCTCTCCTGCCTATGTATACTTCATCCCCACATAAACATATCTCATCACTGAATTTATACTTAATATATAGATGTTGTGCTCCTTCAGGAACAGGAGCTCTCTCTGAGCATGTAACAAGTTTCTTACCTGCCCCTGCTTACATTACTGTTGTTTCTGGCCTGACCTTCTGACTTGCCAATTCTTGGTCCATATGTTGTCTCAGAAAACTACTTAGGCCTAACATGATATACCTTAAAGTATACTCAGCTATCCAGAATTATTATTATCTTTTCATTAAACAATAAATTATGTAATGGTAATCATTTACGTCTTATATCCCTTCTCTGTCCTCCTGTAAGATTCTTATGTTGCAGTCACTTCTAGAAGAGGAAGAGATTTTCCTCTTAGAACACTTGACTGACATTGACTGACAAATAGGAAGAGTAATAATAATGCCTTTTGGAATATGTATTCTCAGTATGCATGCCAGCTTTCTGTCTAAGGAAAGATAAATTCACAATGATGTACAAGTTGCTACTGTATGTGCTTACTGCAAACCTACAATGTATATCCAAAAGTTATAGACACTTCAAAAAAAGAGGACAGATTTAAGGGTAGTAGGCTTAAATTTTGATGGTATCTGAACAGGTGATGTGCCTTACGGCAAGTTTTCTCTCACGTCTTGATGTTCAGAATCTACTTTGATGCTTGTCAGTATATTTATATATTTTTTGCTTTATGGATATTGTGTTTTATTGTTCCTCCTAGGTTAAATATTATCTACGTTTCAGTAGTTTAAAGAAGAACAACAAGTTTGGGGGTTCTTTTGAAGCAAGTAGCTGGTTGACAAATTTTCTCTTTCCATCCGTGCCTCCTGTGGGACCCAGAAACCAACAAGAAGAAGATGGGGGAAGTCCTGGTAAGTAGATTTTTAATCATACATCTCTTAATAGTCTGTTTCATAATAAGAACTCATGTTTCCACCTTGTGATGAAAGCTGTTTAATCATTTTGTATGCAGGGAAGCTTTGATAAGCTGAACTTCAGAAAGGACAAGCCTTTCATGGGTGAGCAGAGAGCTCTTGTGGCTTTCATACCTGGAAACAAATGCCTGATATGGGTGCAAATGTGTCAATCATAGCTAGAGGCAGTCTGTATACATGGGAAAGTGTTTGACAATAATATGGACTAGTAAGATGGACACAAATCTGAAGAGCTCTCCCTCCTCAAAAAATAATGTTTCAATTCAACTATTTTCTTTCCCCTAGTCCTAGGATTTTTGTGAAGTAGCCAACAGTGGAAGTGTGCCAGAAAGCAAAGAGAGCTCATGCAGTCTAATCATGGTTGTACTGTGGGACCTAATGGAATTAAACCCTAAGGAAAACCCAAACTCTCTGAAACTATAGACCTACCTGTCCTGCTTATAAGATGAAGAGATCAGGAATTTCAGGAGAGACATGCCAATACTGAAACCTTGAGGCTGTCTCTCCCTCTGGAGATAGCCCACATTGTCCCCTTGCTTTACCCCAAAGGATCTCTGTTTTGATATTGCCCCATTCTCCCTTAAGTGGATATCTACTTCTGTGCCTTAAAAATTTAAAAATAGATATTATTGAACAAAAATACAATATGTTAAATAAATTCATATGTGAGATTAATAGGATACAGAACATGACAAAATAGTCAATAAATTTGAAGATATATATTATACATTTTGCAGAGAAAGATGAGGACTGACATTACTTGGTCATATATACAAATGAAGTACTTTGATGCCACAGTATGTATGAAACTTGAAAACAATATGCTAAGTGAAAAAAGGTCACATATTGTATGATTCCATTTACATAGAACATGCAGAATAGAAAAGTCTGTAGAGACCAAATATTTGTGTTTTCCAGGGACTATGAGGAGGAAGGAATGGGAAGTAAATGTGTAATATAGGTGTGGGGTTTCCTTTTGGGAAATTGAAAATGTTTTGGAACTAGGTAGAAGTATTTGTTGCATAATACTATGAATGTACTAAATACCACAAAATTCTGCACTTTAAAATTATTAATTTTATGTGATAGGAATAAAGAGAAATGAGTTTGCTATCTCTGATGATTAATCTCCATCGTATTCAACTTGATTGGATTAAAAGACTCTTCCTAACTAGTAAAGCATACTGCTGGGTGTGTTTGTCAGGGTGTTTCCAGAGATAATTGGCATGTGGGCAGCAGAATGAGGGGAAAGATCTGCCCTGAATGTGGGTAACACCATCTAGTAGGCTAGAGGCCCAGATGGAACAAAACTCAAGTTTGATTCTTCTTGAGCAAGTTTATCTACTGCTGTCTGTCACCCATGGACCTTAGATGCCAGTTTCTTCAGTTTTTTTGTGTACACTCACACCAGCAACTCTCTAAGGTTTCTAGGACTTTAGCCTCAGCATGAGACTATATTATTGGTCCCTTTGTTCTGAGGCTTCTGGCTTCTTTGAGCAGAAGGGGTTTCTCTAGCTTTTTTGTATGTAGACAGTCATTGTGGGACTGCCCAAACTCTGAACATATAAGTTGATCTAATAAGTCCCCCTTTCTCCTCTTTTATTGGTTCTTATAACTTATAACTAATAAGAATCAGTCAGATAGTATTAAATGTTTCATATTTGGAATTGGAGGTATCATAAGTAAAGAGAAAGAAAAGGGGTACCAAATGTGTTTGAAGGTCTATTGGACATTTTTCAAATTCCATAAAAATTGTAAATTGGTATGTCAAAGAAGTTCTAAAAACCTCAGTCAGGATAAATATATCTACCATAATCATACACATAAATTGTAGAAAATCAACAATGAAGAGAAAATCTGACAGGAACTTGTCAAAAAAAGATATATTACATATAATCGATTTTCATTATCTTCAGTGATTATATTCTTTAAAGTTGTCAAGAATACTAAATTAGCAAATGTTTAATCATTGTTCCAGGGGAAATATAGGATTAGATTTCTATAAGCAATTGGTCACAACATTTTTGTCAACTCATCAACATATAGTCTAGTTTTATGTGTGTTTCTGTTTTTAAAATCTTAATATCTGTGGTTGATTTGTAACACTGTAACACAACACATTGGCACTGTAATTCAAAAGGAACATTACAGACTTCTTGTTCTTAGAGAACATTACATTTTATAGGTGAACTTACCAGCCAAAAGCATAAAAATGTAGAAAACTGATATGAAAGTCACTTACTTACAGTTGGAGAGCTGTAAGAAAAAGAATTACCCTAAACTAAACAACAGAATTTTTTAAAAAGGAGGGTAAAGAAGAACCTCAAGGACAGATGGAGTTATCAAAAAAATCTAATACAATGGAAGGAGGCCCTCATCGTTATACAAAATACATATATGATGGTGTGAGGGGGGAAGGAAAAAAAAAGAGAGAAATGTGTCACAGTAGATTGGGTAGAGAGAGGTGATTGGAGGGGAGGGGAAAGGAGAGGGGGATAGGGAGGTCAGCAGAATACAGCAGACACTAGTATTGCTATATGTATATACGTGGCTGTATAACCAATGTGATCCTGCAATCTGTACACATGGAAAAATGAGAATTCATACCCCATTGAATCAAATGTTTGATATGTCAAGATCATTGTATTATCTCGAGCAACTAATAAAAAATAAAAATTAAAAAAAATCTAATACACTATCAGAGACTGGGATAAAGAGGAGAAAGAGAACAAAGCTGGGGGGTGGGAAACACAAGGGATAATTGTTATGTTCCTCATGACAAAAACATTCCTCTTCCCATCACGGGAAGGAGAATGCCAGTCATTCAGTGAGACCACCTCCCACAGAAAATGACTGAAAGTTTCTCAGATTTGAAAAGAGAGAGAAATCCACTGAAAACTAAAGACAAAAAAAAAAAAATCTTGAAAGCAGCCAGAGGAAAATTAACATGTTACATACAGGGGAAAACAGTATGAATGACAGCCTATTTCAGAAACCATGGACATTAAAAGGAAATTGTAATTAATCAAATTACATTTTTATGTATGTACAATTGTGTTATGACAAGAACAAGACCCATTGTTCTATATAATTAATATGCACCAATAATCAAGGGGAAATTGTAAAATCTCAAGCATGGAAAGAAAATGTGTTGCCAGCAGAACATCCTAAGAGAATGACTAAAGGAAATTCTCTAAACATAAAGGAACTGATTTTTTTAAAAAAAAGAAAACCTGAAAACATCAGGAAGGAAGGAAGAATATTATAGGCAAAAATATGGATAAATATAATAGATTTTTCTTGAATTTTCTGAAGTATGTTTGATGGTTGAAGCAAAAATTTTAACACTGGTGAATGTGGTTCACATTATAAGTAAAAAAAATTGACAATTCTATTATAAATGAAGGAGAATAAATGTATATAAATGGAGTTGAAATTTCCGTACTTAGAATTATACTAGTTAGTTGTGAAAAAATTATTTGTATATAATGTAATACAGAGAACAATGACTAACAAAGCTATGTGAAGAGTTCGTTAAACAAAAACTATGGATTAAATCAAATGGTTGAACATATATAAGATTGAAATACCAAAAGGAGAAGTAAGAAAGAATAGAGCAAAAATTTTTTGAGGAATTAATGACTGAAAATTTTCTAAAAGATGACAGACACTAAACCACAAACCCCAAAAAAGCTTAGAGAACATCAAGCAGGATTAAAATAGAAGCAAACAAATAGAACTCCCCATTTAGTCATATCTTACTCACACTATATAAAATCAGTGACAAGCAACAATAAATGTTGGCAAGATTATTGGGAAAGGGGTACACTCATACATTGCTGGTGGGACTGCAAATTGGTGCAGCCACTCTGGAAAGCAGTACGGCGATTCCTCAGAAAACTTGGAATGGAACCGCCATTTGACCCAGTTATCCTACTCCATGGTATATATCCAAAGGAGTTAAAATATATACTACAGTACAGTGATGCAGCCACATCAATGTTTGTAGCATCTCAACTCACAATAGCTAAGCTATGGAACTAACCTAGATCCTAATTAGAATAAGATATATTCCATGTATATATAATATGTCAACAGATGCATAAAGAAAATGTGGCATATATACATGATGGAATGTTACTCAGCCATTAAGAAGAATAACTTTATGACATTTGCCAGCAAATGGATTAATATGGAGATTGTCATACTAAATGAAATAAACTAATCCCAAAAAACAAAAGGCAAATGTTCTCTCTGATATGCAAATGCTACACAACAAACAAAGGAGGGAGGGGAAGAATAGAAGTTCAGCGGATTATATAAAGGGGGATGAAGAGAAGGGAAGGGAGTTGGGAATAGGAAAGACAGTAGAAAGAATCTGAAATAACTTTCCTGTGTTCATATATGAATACACCACAGTGAACCTCCACATAATGTACAACCACAAGACTGGGATCCTAATTAGAATAAGATAAATTCCATGTATATATAATATGTCAAAATATACTCTACTGTCATGTATATCTAAAAAGAAAAAAAATCAATTACAAATGTTAAACCTTGAAGGTATTATATTGTGCCAACAAGGGAGAATTCACAGCTAATTTCATGTGAGAAACAATGTAAGCAAAAAGAGTGACATTTTCAAAGTGTTGGGGAAAAAAAACCCATTAACCCAGAAATCTGGTGACCCAGTGAAAACATTCTAACAAAGAAGAAAGAAAGCCTTTCTCACAACAAAATTTAAAAAAATCTTGTAGAAATTTATTGCCAACAGAACTGTTCTATATAAATTATCTTGTACTGCCTTTGCAACTTGTCTGCAAAAGCTGTTTATTTTTTAAAAATTAAAACTATATTTAAAAAAATATCTCCACTCAAAGTATCAGTAAGAGATTTTCTCAATCTAATAAAGCACATAGGTAGCTTACTGGTGAAATAGTGAACATTTCCTCCTAATATCAGGAATAAAGCAAAGATGTTTATTTTCATCAGTTTTGTTCAGCAGATTATTGGAAGTTCTAGAGAAAATATCAGAAAAAGAAGCATCATAACATTTGGAAAGGAAAGAGTGAAATTATCTTTATTTACAGCTGACACACTCATTATGTATTTGGGTGGCAAAACTCTGATAGCTGCTCTGAAATTTAGACTACGACAAGAGCCTTGTTACAAAAATTAACTTATGTTGTTTGCCTTTGACATACAGTCATGTGTGGCTTCACATTGGAATAAAGTATGAAAAATACATCATTAGGCATTTTACACTTTCACAGCATGATAGTTATAGAGTGTTCTTACACAAACTTAAGATGGCTACGTCACTAGGTAATTTTATATGACCACTACTCCACTATTGTACAGGTCATCTATTTGTTGACAGAATATGACCATACTTTATTGTGCTTTTCTTTTGTTTTTGTTCAACTCAGCTATTTTTTGGTCTACAGTACTTAATCTTTGTTTTCTCATTTAGGGTACATCAGTGAAGGGTTCCTGCTTGTGCAACATGCTTTGGACAAGGCCATTATGCTACATCACAGTGGCACTGCTGCAGAAAAACTGTTTAATGGTGTTAGAATTTTTGTTCAGAGATTTCCATACCCAATGCAGTATCAAGATTTCTTCTATGTATTTGCTGGTATTTTTATCCCTTTAGTAACCATATGTATCTTCTCTTTGAATCATCTTATCTTAATTCAGTCCATTGTGTGGGAAAAGGAAAATCGATTAAAGGTAACTCTACTTTTCTTGTGGTAGGTAGAGCTTCCACAGAAAATTTTGAGTCTGTGGGGCAAATTTATGTAGAAGATTATATTATTTCTACACACTCAAAATGGTAGATGTTTATGTTTCAGTGGCAGCTAAGTACTTTTGACAATTACCCATAATTTTGTTTTAATTGTAATTCTTGGTATGAATTTTAGTTTTAGTTACAGAAGACTACTCCAAAGAATATTACTGATAGAATTCAAATGCAATGCTAAATGCCCCTCTAAGACATTTCTGAACTAAATAATTATCTGAACTCTTAAAATTATATTTAGACTGATTAAGATAAAATCCAATTCCAAGATACTATGATTCTGATTTTTTTTCTTAAGTGAACTTTTCAGCTTTCTTGAGTGAATCTTTTCCAGTTTTGAGTTTGGTCCAGAGTATGTTGTGTTAAACCAGAGACTTTATAGTTCAAAATTCAGTTATCACCCAATTAACCAATGATTTATTCAATGATTTATTAGTATCTACTTAGTTTTATTTTATTTATCAGTATCTACTTAGTATCTACTTTATTATTGATTTATTAGTATCTACTTAGTTTCAGGGATTCTTATAAACCATGTTTTGACTCTATTACTCATTAACTCTAGAACATCATGTAAGATTTCTATATTATTTTCTAAATTGAGCTTAATTAATAAAACCTAACCTTCAGTATAGTACAATATTAAGTGAGATGTTATATGAAATTTTTTCTATCCAAAGTTACTATTGTGAGGTGTAACTGAGGAAATACATGTAGAGTGCTTAGTAGTACAGTGTCTGGCATGTAGTGAGTGATCAGTAATTACGTGTGTAGCTACTGTCGTCAGTCATTTCTCCTTTTCATTTATCTTCTTTATGTAATCATGAGTCATACAATTTTCTTCCTTTCCTTTGTTTGTGGCAGCATCACTTCAAAGATGGGCTCTCATTGTTTTTTACTCAGGGCTCTTGTTACTCATCTTCATATCCACTATCTTGCTTCCTAATCTACCATGTACTTAGTTATCACGTTAATTGTCCTAAACCACAGATTGGCATAAGTAAATATTAGGGATGTATTTATTTGATTGCTTTTTGAATACATTTCATTTAAGCATATATATTTTCTAAAACTTGTCAACTTTCTACTTCTCGTTTTGTTGTTATTTACCTCAGGAAATCCCAATGATGACATAATTTGATGCTTCATTTATGTTTGTTTCTTCTGACTATAATACATTTCTTTCCCTTCTGATTAGTGAAGTTTCCTTTCTTGCCTCTTCCTCTAATTTCATACTTCTACCTCCTTGGTTTTCTCTTTAATTCTCCTGTATAATCTAACACTTTTTTCTTTATGCCCCCAGAACATGCTATACAATCAGTCAAGCTTTTAAGATTCTTTAATTAAATTTTTTTCATTGAAATATACATATACAGAGAAATGTGCACAAATCATGCATGTGATTGAATGGATTTATTATAAAGAAAATATGCACTAAGAGTCACTTTGTACACGTTTGAAAACATTTTCCCGAAGTTATGTACTAATCTAGCTTCTAAAATCATGAGTTCATTTTGTCTTTTAAAACTTGATAAAATTGAAACATGTATTATATGTAACTTTGTGTCTGTGTGATTCATTTAGCTAAATATGTAGATGTGTTTTGTGTAAGTTAATTAAGTTTTGATTCTGTGGTATGACCATAATTATTTGGGTTGTTTAACATTTGCTTGTTATTACTGATATTCCTATGAATTTTCCTTATCTTTTTTGCTGAATATTAGGTTATACATGTCACCCATTAGTAGCTAATGCTTGAGTTTTTCAATAAAATTTTATAGGTTTACCCATCCATTACCAATGCATGAAAATTCTTTTTTCTACCTATCTTCACAAGCATTTGGTATTACTGGTCTTTTCTAATTTTATCATGCCTGGTGAGTGTGTAATGGTATTGCATTGTATTGGATCATTCAGTTGCCAGCCTGTTTATACTGGAAACTGTATTTCTAGAAAATTCCTGCCTACATGGTTCCTTATTGAAGTTGGCTAAAAATGAAGTGCCATCAAATAAACCAATCAATAAATGGGCCAAGGAACTGAACAGATATTTCTCAGAAGATGATATATTAGTCAACAAATATGTGAAAAAATGTTCAACATCCCTAGTAATTAGAGAAATGCAAATCAAAACCACTCTAAAAGTTTATCTCACTCCAGTCAGAATGGCAGCTATTAAGAATACAAACAACAATAAGTGTTGGTGAGGATGTGGGAGAAAAGGCACACTCATACATTTCTGGTGGGACTACAAGTTGGGGCAGCCAATATGGAAAGCAGTATGGAGATTTCTGGAAAACTGGGAATGGAACCACCATTTGACCCAGCTATCCCACTCCTTAGCTCATACCCAAAGGACTTAAAAACAGCATTCTACAGGTATACAGCCACATTGATATTTATAGTAGCACAGTTCACAATAGCTAAATGTGGAACCAACCTATATACCCTTTAGTAGATAAATGGATAAAGAAACCATGGTGTGTGTGTGTGTATGTGTGTGTGTGTGTGTGTGTATACACACACACACACACACACACATACATACACACACACAATGGAATATTACTCATCATTAAAAGAGAATGAAATCCTGGCATTTGAAATTCTTATTGGCCTTATACATTATGTTCTTAAATCCTTTTAAAATATTTTGTTAAAACTCAAAATACCACATAAACTACTAGTTCTGAAGAAAATATATTATTGATAAAAATGACTGCTTTTCTTCCTCTTTTCATATTAATTTTAGTGCTTCTAATTTTTATAACTGAATAAACTGTATTTATATTTCTTTACTACCTCCTGGAAGAGGACTTGATACAAAGAAGAAAAGATTAATTTATGTGGTTTATAGCTTTATTTAAGTATTCTTCATGTCTTATCAGTATTAGGTAAATTGCTGGGGAAACAATCTCTGGGCTTATAAGAATTACAGACTCACTAATAATAATTTAATCAAGTTATTTGAAATTCTGAGTCTTGATTTCCTCCTCTTTAAATTGGAGATAATATCTACCACTTAACTCATTTCAGTTATGGTCATGAAATTATATAATTTTTGTAATGCATTTTTAAAACTCTAGGGTTCTTTATGGTTATACTGTTTTTCGTGATAATTGATTTGTTTTAACTCTTCTGCAGGAGTACCAGCTCATGATAGGAGTCAGTAATTGGATGATCTGGGCTTCCTATTTCTTCACATTCCTCTGCTTATATTTTTTGACCATTATTTATATGTGCATAATTTTATTTTTCAAGGCAAGTGTCTATTTGACTGTAGCATGGTACTGCTAAACTTTAATAGAGAAAACAGAAGTATGGTGGGAGCTCTTAAGGTGACTAGGGAATGAAAATGTGGCTTTTATTTATTTGCAGAAACTCAGATGCCAGTTAGTCTTTCAGCAAACTGTACTTTTTTTTTAAATCTTGTGGTGCTGAGGATCGAACCCAGCACCCCACGCATGCCAGGCGAGAGCGTTACTGCTTGAGCCACATCCCCAGCCCTCAGCAAACTGTACTTTAAACCTAGATGGGTGGACCATCTTTAATAAATGAATTCTTAATGATCCATCTTACTGAGTAGTGTTATAGTTTCACTAGGACTAATAAAATGTTTTAACGATATTTCATGGCTTCTTTTTTGTTTTGTTATGTTGCTACTTAGAGATGATTAAACAGAGTTCCTGATTTTTTGCTAGATCCAACCTGCACCAATCTTCCAGTACAGTGACCCAGTTCTTGTCTTCATCTTTTTGCTGTTTTATGCCATCTCCCTAATATTCTATAGCTTCATGATTAGTACATTCTTTAATAAAGGTGAGTCTAAAATTTCTTATGTAAAAGATTATTAGTGATAAAACACAGATTATATTTGGAAGCTTCTTATAAACCTTACTCTACATTCTTACTGAACAGACAAATGTCATATGCACATGGAATGTTTTGAAAAAGAATGAAGAGAGTATAGGGAATGAAAATTAGTATATCACAATATATATGTGGTAGTAGGATCATATTTGAGTGTTTTTTCTACCTTTAGTTGCTACCTCACATATTGTATCTGTCTAATCTTTCCACCAGGAAAGACTGTTAGAAGGATCAATATCAGCTAGTACCTGATGATGAGCCTGGTTTATGTAAAAGTAAGAAAACAAAAAAAAAAAAATTGCTCCAGTGAGAGAAAGGCTTTTACACTAAATTAATAGATGCTTATTGTTTGCTGTTTGTTTGAAATACATTGCCTGCTTCATAGAGCTGACCTTTGTGGCATAGATACACAAAATATTGTTTTAGTCAGAGTTATTCGGAGAACAACTGAAGTTGGCTAAAAATGAGGATATTTTGGATGATCAAAGAAAATTTATTATAAGGAATTGGTTCAGTGTGATTATGGAGACCAAGAAGTTCTACAATCTGCAATCTGTAACTGGAGACCCAGGAAAGCCAGTAGTTTAAAGGCCTGAAAACAAGAGGAGCCAGTGGCATAAATCTAGTCCAGAGGCAGGAGAATATGGATGTCCAAGTCAAGTAGACAGGAAGAAAAAAGGGACAATTTTCCCTTCCTTCACCTTTTTGTTCTTTCTGAACTCTTGATGGATTGGATAATGTCTGTCCATTCAGAGAAGGACAATATTCTGGACTTAATCCACACGTTAATGCTAATCTCATCTGGAAATAGACTCACAGACTTACCCAGAAGTAATGGTTAGTCTATCCCATAGTACAATCAAGTTGATACAAAATTAACCATTTTAAGAGAATAGACAGCAATGAAAATTGATGGAACATTGTGCACATATAAAAAAGACATAGATGAAAATATTCCAGGTTAAAATAGACATAAGAATGCTGCCAGCGGGGAGAGGGGGATTTTGAAATGTTTTTTAAGGATTAGAAGATGGAAATAGGAAGTAAAGTGAGTGTGTACAAATATCCATTCATTTATACCTTTGGGTTAAATACTTTTTGCTAGCACAGTGTCTAATAACAAAGACAAGAATTGATTCCTTGTGCTTTGAGGATTATGTGGAAGCAATTTAAATCTACATTTCCCAATTACTAATGGAAGTTTAGTATGTGTTACTAGTATGAGTCATGTTTCCTTTTCTGTAAAATCTCTTAATTCATTCTGATTTTTATAACTCTTGATAACATCCTTCTTTATTTCTTGTAACAATGTTTTAGTTAAAGTCTATTTTTGTCTGATATTAGTATAGCCAACCCAGGTCTCTTTAGGTTGTTTACTTGGGGTACCGTCTGTCCTTTAACTTTCAACTAATGGTATATTCAGATTTTTAAAAATCCTTTCAGTCACCTTTACCTTTCATAGAGATTTTAATCTTTTTAAGGTAATTACTAATGAGAATGAACTTGTATCTGCCATTTTATTTGTTTTGTACATGTCATATCTTTTTCCTTTCTCATTTCATCATCCATTTTAATGTCCATGTCATTATTTTTTCATATAATTTTTTTTGTTCTTACAGGCAATTGGAAAACTATAATTAATATCTTAAATGATTTAATTTTAATTAATGCCATTTTAGCTTCAGTAATGCACAGAAACTTTTCTGTCAAGCCCCAGACTGTCTTTGTTGATACGTTCACAAATCATGCCTTTATATTTCTGTTTATTAATATATTTATAATTATTATGTGTATTCATCTTTGCTGAATTCATTTATGAGCTCTGGAAGTCTTCTGGTTGACATTTTTGGATATTCTAAATATAGGATCATGTCATCAGCAAACAGAAATAATTTGAGCTCTTTTTGTCTACCCCTATCCCTTAAATTTGCTTCTCTTGCCTCATTTCTCTGGCTAGCATTTCAAGGACTATGTTGAATAAGAGTGGTGAATGTGAGCATCCTTGTCTGGTTCCTGTGTTTAGAGGAAATACTTTCAGATTTTCTCTAATTAGGATAATGTTGCCCTTGGGTTTGTCATATATCCTTTATAATGTTAAGGTAAGTCTCTTCTATCCCTTGTTTTTCTAAAGTTTTAAGCATGAATGGGTGTTATACTTTGTCAAATGCTATTGATATAATCATGTGATCCTTCTCCTTAAGTCTGTGTATGTGGTGAATTACATTTATTAATTTCTGGATGTTGAAACAACCTTGAATCACTGGGATGAAACCCACTTGATCATGGCACACTATCTTTTAATGTGTTTTATATGCAGTTTGCCAATATTTTATTAAGAATTTTTGCATATATGTTCATCAAAGTTATTGGTCTGAAGTTTTTTTTCCTTGATGTGTCTTTGTCTAGTTTTGGTATCAGGGTGATACTGGCTTCATAGAATGAGTTTGGAAGGGTTCCATTCTTTTCTATTTCATGGAATAATTTAGGAGAATTGCTACTAGTTCTTTAAAGATCTGATAGAAATCATCTGAGAATTTGGCCAGTCCTGGGCTTTTCTTTGTTGGTTGGCTTTTGATGTATGCTTCAATTTCATCACTTGAAATATATCTGTTTTTTTAATATCCTTCTGGTTCAATTTGGGTAAGTCATATGCCTTTAGGAATTTATCCATATCTTCAAGATTTTCTATGTTACTGAACTATAAATTTTCAAAATGGGTTATTTATTTATCTATTTATTTTTTCATCTTTTTGGTACCAGGAATTGAACTCGGGGGCACCAAACCACTGAGCTACATCCCCAGATCTGGTTGGTATTGTATTTAGAGACAGGGTCTCACTGAGCTGCTTAGTGCCTTGATTTTGCTGAGGGTAACTTTGAATCCCGTGGTCCTTCTGCCTCCTCTATTCAGCTACTGGGATTGCAGGAGTGCACCACAGTGCCTGGCCTCAAAATAGTTTCTGATGATCCTCTGTAATGTCTGTGGTGATAATTTGCTGCCACTGAACTATTGTTGAGCATTTGGTCCCACAATTACGCATGAAGACTCTTGAGTCTTAAAATTGACAATTTGTTTACTGAGGGAGAATGCTAAGCTGCAGACTGCTTTGTAATTGCACACAAATCTTTTCTAGATCAATATGAGGTTAAATATTAATTATGGCATAATATATTGAAAACAACTAACTTGATTGCTGGTATTAAGAAAACATTTTTTTTCCTAGTGACAAAACAGGATATGTTCTCATAAAATCCCAGGAAACATACACCTAAAGTATGTAGCAGGTAGAACAGTTGGGGCCTTATTTTTATCTTTAACCGGGATCATTGTGCCCCACAAGAATTAGCCTAGGGTGAGAAGTTATTGCTGTACTGCCACATTCAGCATTCCAGCCTCGTTGGCTTTGGCTAATAAACAGGAACTCTGCATTTGGATTCTTCGGGGTGTACGTTCTATGACCTCAGGAGTTAAAACCCCAACAATATTTCCTTTTTTATCTTGGCTTTTGTTAATTTGAGTTTTTTTCCCTTATTTCTTTTGGTTAGTTTGGCTAAGAGTTTATCAATTTTGTTTATCCTTTCAAAAACCAACTCTATTTCATTGATCTTTTGTATTTTTTAAAATCTCAATTCCATTGATTTTTGTTCTGATTTTAATAATTTCCTGTCTCTACTGATTTTGATATTGATAGTTCTTTTTAAAATTTTTTTTAGTTGTAGATGAACACACAATATCTTTATTTATTTTTATGTGTTGCTGAGGATTGATCCCAGTGCCTCATACATGCAAGGCAAGCTCTCTACCACTGAGCCACAGCCCCAGCCCTGATTTGTTCTTTTTTATAGGACCTTAGGATGTAATATTAAATTATTTATTTTGTATCTTTCTATTCTTTTAATATATAGCTCAATTTTATGAACTTTTCTTTTAGGTCTGCCTTCATACTGTCCCAGAAATTTTGAGACGTTATATCAGTATTCTAAAATAAGAATTTTTTTATTTACCCTCTTATTTCTTCTGCTATCAATTTATTATTCCAAAGCATGTTGTTTAGTCTCTAAGTGTTAGAGTGGTTTCTATTTTATCTTATCACTGATTTCTACTTTCATTATGATCTGATAGAATGCATGGTATTATCTCTATTTTGTATATTTGCCAAGATTTGCTTTGTGACCTAAAATATGATATATTTTAGAAAATTTTCCATGTTATGCTGAAAAGAAAGTGAATTCAGTTGTTGATGGATGAAATATTCTATAAATGTCTTTTAGGTCCATATTATTAGTTGTATTTGATAACTACAAAGTAATCTTTGTCTCTTCTGATAAATCTTGGCTTGAAGTCCATTTTATCTGATATGAAAATAGCTACCCATGAGAATAGCTATCCCTGCTGGTTTATGAGCCCCATGAGAGTGTTTTATTTCTTCCCATCCTTTCACCTTCAGTCTGTGGGTGTTTTGTCTGTGAGGTGTTCCTCATGCAGACAGCATATGTTTTAGTCAGCTTTTTCACTGCTTTGGCTAGAGGATCTGACCAGAACAATTTTAGGAGGAAAAGTTTATTTGAGGACTCATGGTTTTAGATGTATTAGTCCATAGAAGGCCTACTTCATTCCTCAGGGCTTGAGTTGAGGCAGAATATCATAAAGTAGGAGTGTGGCAGAGAGAAGCAGCTCACTTGGTGATCAGAAAGCAGATCCACTCTCCAGATACAAAATATACACCCAAGCTGCTGGGATTACAGGCATGCCCCCCTGTATATTTGAGGTAGTAGCAAATAATGCAAGAGAATGAGTAGGGGGTAAGAGAAGCAAGTATAAACTAGAGCTAGGATAACAAAGATAGGAAGGAAGATTGATTCCAGTCAGTGCTTTAAACCATTAGATGAAATACATTCAAATAGGGTCAAAGTACAATGTTGACTGTTGGATTAACAATTAAAGTTCCAGTTGAATAGTCATTTTTATGATCAAAGTTGACATTAGAGTTGTTTGTAGTAAAGCCTGTCAAGGTGAAGAAATTCTTGTTGAATGTTGGTTTTTATTTTATTGCAGTTTGAACATTTAGCATTTGTCCATCAGTCTTTGGTGTGGCTCTCTCCCTCCCAAGTTGTGGGTCACAGGAGCCAATTCCATAGCTGCTAAGACCTCCAACCAGCAGCTTCTGGTTTGTTGGCTCAGGGGTCTGCAGCTGATTGCTCAGGGGGTGCAGTGTTGTGGCAAGGCTGCTTCTATGGCAGAAGGATGCAGGCTCTGCAGTATCCCTATGATTGCTATGGTTCACCATCTACCAGCTCCCATCTACTGGATTTTCTTCAAGGTATTGAAGATCCTGGTGTTGTCTGTGAATACAAGATATCTGGTTTTGTTTCCCATGGGTGATTTGCAGTGCAGAAGAATTACCCTGATTGAAGCTTCTCTGTAAGGTATTGCACTGAAGGATCTCAGGTGGTTCACCAGACTGTAGTTACTACTGCCCCAGGTTGTGAATGGTGGGCATTGATCCCCTCTGTTGCTAAGTGTGATGCAAGGTCCTGAAAGTATCCCAACAATGGACTTTCAAGGTTAAATCTCTAGTATCAAAGAGAGTATGCAGTACTTGCAGCTGCGAGTTTTTGGTGGAACTCAGTAGGTTCCTCATTTCCCCTTCCTCACCACTCTGTGAGGGACCACACCCTTTCTTGCAGGCTTACCTCAAGTCCCTGTTTGGGCACCAGCTATGTGGACTCTCTCTCTCTCATCCAGGGAGGAGGTCCACAGAACAGGGTAGAGGAAAGTGTGGCTGCAGAGTTGCTAATCAAGACCTCTGGAGACCGAGATGGAAGCAGGTCTGATTTTATTGCAGTTACCAGGTATAAATACTCAGGCAGTAGCTAGGCAGATTATAGGCAGCTACCAATACAATTTCTTGCTAATTGTTCTTACATCGAATAATCAAATAGTCAAGAATAGTGGAGAAGTGGGCCGTGGAGCAAAGCCCCAGGACTGCAACACATGGCCTCACACCCAGGGCTGTGCCTACAGGGTAAGCGGTTTGCCGCTCATGTACCTAGCATGAGGGGAGTGGCCTGCCACTCAGATGCCCTTAAAGTATGCCATGTATGCAGTACGCTTTGCACTTTTCCCCACTTATTTCCACTGAATCCTCTGGAGGTTAATGTCACAATATTGTGGTCCCTTCCCCCTTGGCTGAATCCTCCTGGAATCTTTAAGTCTTAGTTTTAACTACACTGAGCCTCAAGTAACATGTTAATGACAGTTCAGGATTTCCAGCCCCAACACTGCTTCTCTCCACAGTTTCTGCTGGTGTCTGCTTCAGTAAGCCATGATTTCCTATATTTACCAGTCTGTCTCCGGTCTTGAGGCCAGTGATTTGTTATGTGTTCTCCCTTCTTGAAAAGATGAAAACAAGAAAGTGGATTTGTGTTTGTGCATTTCTGTTTTTTAGTGCTCATTAGATGTGATACTGCTTCTAAACTCATTACTCATGGAACTGGAAGTCTCCCTATTTTTGAAGCATATGGTTCTCTCATATAGAATTTATTAGTTGAAAAGGTGTTTTTTGTCTTGTTTTTATGTTCAGCACTTTAAAAATGTTACCCAATTGATTTTTGGCCTTTATATTTCTGAAAAGAAATCACTCTTGAACATTATAATATGCTTCTCTTTTACTACTTGATGCTCTCCCCACTGGGGATTTAACCCGGGGCCTCATGGGTTATCAGTGTTTTATCACTGAGCTATACCTCTAACCCCCTGCTTTCAGCATTCTCTTTTTGTCTTTGATTTTTGACATTCTTATTTTAACTGAGTCTCAGTGTAAGTTTCTTTGGTTTTTTTTCCTCCTTGAAGTTGAACTTTTTGAATGTTTAGATTTATCTCCCCTGCCCCAAAATTTGGGACATTTTCAACCATATTTATTCAAATAACCTCTCCAGCCCTTTCCATTTTCTCTGCATATGCTGGTTCCTCTGATGTCTCTTAGGCTCTGCTAATTTTTAATTCTTTTTTATTTTTGTTCTTTGAGATTGTATAATGTTAATTATACTATTTTCAACTTTGCCAGTTCTTTTCTTTGCTCAAATATGCTGGTAGACCCCTCTGATAAATTTTTATTTCAGTTATTTTATTTTAAGTCCTAGACTTTCTTTTTAGTTCTCTTTTACAGTTTATATCACTTTAACATTAATATCTCATTTATTCAATATTTTTCTCCTCCCCCATTAGGTATTTGAGCATATTGAGAACAGTTTATTTTAGTCTTGTTTAATAAGTCCAACCTCTGGACTTCCTCAAGGATAGTTTTCTTTTTCTAGTGAATTGGCCATACTCTTGTTTATTTGCATGCTTAATAAGTTTTGATTAAAACATTAATTTTTTACATGTTCTAGTATATGTATGTGGTAACTCTGAAAATCAGAATCACATTTTTGGAAGTTTTAGTACTCTAGTTTTGATTTGAATTTATTTAATTGCTAGAGATGTAGAACATTTTTTTCCTCATATTTGGCTTTTTTATACCAAGTTTGTCTTTCTCTATACAGGACTCCTCCTTGTCCCCTCATAATGCCTGAAAACACACTCTAGTTATATTCTAATTATGCCAGTAGTTGTATTTATATTTAAAATTTCTTATGATGAGTGGTAATAAATAAAAGTATAAATTTCCATTAAAATTTCCAGTCATTACATATAGAATGATAAATTTCAGGGGAAAAAAAGTTCCTCATGTGTTTCATTTCAGGCTTTTCACTGAAAAATATTTTGAGCACCTACTATGTTTCAGTTATTATGTGCTAAAGGAAGTATTGGTAAACAAAACAAATTTCTATTTCTCATAGAGATTATTTTAGTGTACTTTTATAAAAAAACATATCTTTGAAACCTACTTAAATTTGCCTTATACTTTCCTTCTTGCTTGCAGTCAATTTTGCTGTTGCTTTGGGAGGTTTCCTTTTCTTTATCACCTACCTTCCAGCTACTAGACTCCTTGTCAATGCTGGACAGATGACATTGAAGCAGAAACTGATTTTCTGCCTCAGCTGTAATGTTGCAATGGCCCTGGGATTTAAATTCCTGCTTGATGCAGAATCAAACAGTGAGTATTTTACTTTGTAAATTTTGCCATATTTTAGTAGGTTTATCTTTACTATCTTAGTGGATGTTCACAGTTTTAATTTTGATTAATATCACTAAACTGTCCTTCAAAAGTTTGTATTACATTATACCAACACCTATAGTGTAATATTAATGTTTTCACATTCTCTCCAAAAATTTACTGCAAGTCTGGTAGAACTGCTTCCTTTTACTTTTGGATTTGTCACTTGCTATCTAGTGGTATTGTGGGAAATAACACTCTACATTTAGTGGCCTCCTTTTTCCTTTTTCTGTTAGTGCAGTGGACATGCAAAGCACTTCTAGTTTTCTATCCTATAGTCAGTATCTGTCCCTACCTTTCCATGATTGTTTTTCCAGAATTATATAACCAGTAAACATTTAGCATGAAGAGAGGTGGAGAGAGAGGAGCCACCATCTTACCCTGAAGGTCTGCTTATTTTCCTTTGAGCTTCCCCCATCCCTGTATTTTCTTTTTGTTTCAATCATTTCTAATTATTTGTTTGGGTATAATGAAAGACACTTTACATGAGTACTTACTCAGATGCCCTCTGGGGCAATCTAAATTCTAAGGGTGTAAGAAAGTGGTTGATTCTACTAGTAATCTCTAGAAAGTGCCACTATTTAATTATGATATAGCAGGATATCTGTTTTAGTCTCACTTGGCCTCTAATTAAATGTCTTCTATTATGTCTTAGAAATGGGAATTAAATGGAATAACATATTCTCATCAGCCAATCTGGACAACTTTTTATTTGCATATGTGCTGGGAATGTTTTTATTTGATACTTTCTTATATGGTCTTGTGACCTGGTATATAGAAGCTGTCTTTCCAGGGCAATATGGTGTGCCCAAGCCATGGAACTTTTTCTTGAAGGTGAGTTCTAATGCTTGTTATTCAAAGAGCTATAGTCCTTATGAGGTGTTTTTAAAAAATATCTTAAAAACCATTATAATTTAATTTTGCACTGTCTATAATTGAATCAATAGATGAGGTGAAAGAACTATTCTTACCTACCCCCCCCAACTTCACTAATTTGTTTTAGCTTTTTCCTAATGTATGCTAAGCCCTCATGTATTTATATAAATGTGTGCATGTGTGTGTGTATATATATATATATATGTATGTGTATGTTTGTGTGTGTGTGTGTATTTCTGTTGTCTATGTACTCACAATCTGCTTTATTTCCTTGGTTAGCCAGGTTTCTTAGTCAGAATCATAGAAAAATGGGAAGCATGAACATCTTGCCTTCTATTATTTTTCCATATCCTTTTTTGTGGGGGGGTCAAAATGATAGAAAAGGGTTGGAGAGCTTTCATACTTTTCCATTCAATTTTGACATTTTATGTCCAAGTTTTCATAATGTGCAATGCAAACATTTAAAATTATGTTTGATGCTTAATATTTGATTCACATATTGCTCAGAGAAGATCAGGCAGAAAGTGATATAATTCTTTTACTATAACCTAGTATTAGAGCAATTTTCATATTTTCTCCCTTGAACAGTTAGGACTTTAATATCCTGCTCTGAATACTGTTGGATTCAAATTATAACCAATTAGCTTCAAATTATTTTTTAGCCCACTGTTTAATTGATTTTAAAAAATGACAGCAGAATGCATTACAATTCTTATTACATGTATACAGTACAATTTTTCATATCTCTGGTTATATATAAAGCTTCAAATTTTAATCCAAGGAATTTTCTAGAATATATCTCAATAAAAATACCTGCTAACATTTATATTGAGATGGAGTACAGAAAATGGATTATAGAAATACATTTGTGTTTTCTAATGTTTCCATTTTCAGGGCCATTACAGTGATGATACTTTTATTCCCTTCTTAGCACTCTTACTGGTTTGGGGAACCACCTAAAAAACAACTTGAACCAATTCAACATCATGAGACAATTGAAAACAAGTATTTTGAAGCTGACCCTACTGATTTGGTAGCAGGTATTCAGATTAAACACTTGCACAAGGTATTATTTCACATACCTCTTTTTCTTAATGAAACTAATATTTAGCTTACATTCATTGTAAATGTTCATTATTAGAAATACCAAGAAAAAAGATTAGGTGCAAATAAAAGGTTGTAGTAATTGTGTTTACTTCTTTTGGGAAATATCAAAAGGAAATTTATACAGTATATTATAAAAAGTCACATCTTTCTTCTTCCTACAGAATAAAATCATATTGCCTATAAACTGTAATTGTCTACTCTATAAATTATCTCATTTAAAATGCAGGGTCTAGTGGAGCTTGATGTTTTGAATATGTGAACATAAATTTCTGGTCACAAATATTTTATATTCATATGTGAACATAAATTTCTGGTTACAAATATTTTTTATTCATCTATTTGTAATCTGCCTGGGCATATGATTGGGGGTGGGGGTGGGCCCTCTCAGTTTATTTGGATCATCTTCAGGTGTTCAGTATTCAGATAAATAGGTTTTCTGGCATTTCCTCACCTCTCAAAGATCTGCTTAAACAACCCACCCCCTAACTCCATAGCTTAGTGATATCCAAAGCATTCTTGAAAATTTGGCTATCTTTGTGAGATGTTTAATACTCTTATGGTCCCCTCTGCCTTTATTATGCAATATGATGTCTCTATATTGGTTACCTTAACCCAGATTAAAACTCAGTCTTTCCTGGTGTCAGGAGAATTTTTCATATAATTTTTGTGAATATTTATAACCTATAATATAGATGAATGATGGATGAGATTTGCTCAAGAAACACACTGGCTGTGACGACTTCCCCAAATCGGCTTTTATTTCTCTATTCTTTTCTTGATTGCCCCTGAGAACCTCATCTAATTGCCAAATACTTCACTGCTCCCCATATTTCCCTAAGACTTGCATATCTACGATCATAACAAAGTTCAGAAGAAACCAAGACCCTGGGTCTTTTTCATTCATTCATTCATTCTTGGTGAAACAGCAAGTTATGGTCAATGTGCTTGAGCAACTTACATTCTAGTGTAAGTAAAAGTAAGTTAGCAATTAAATAAACAAGATAATTACAATATATGATAAATTTCATGAGGAAAATAAAAAGGATGTAGAAATAGAATGGAAAGGAGAAATATTTCAGGTAGGTTATCCAATGAAAATATGGTCATTGTAAATGCTGATCACCCTCTATAAAAATAACCTCAGCTGAGTAGAACCATCTCACCCCAAATCAGGCTATTTCTGGGTCAGCTTAAACCAAATGACTGCTCAAAATGGAGATACAAAGGCCCAGCTCTTTCCTCCAGCTCAGGTCAGTTCTGAATGGTCATCCAAGCTACATAACTCTTTGTCAGTTTAACTTTGTTATTACTGTACTGCAGTCCAACTATTCTGTCTCCTAAATCTGTATCCTTCCCTTCTTCACATAGATGTTGGACCCAAGAGCACTCCTATATGCCAATCTCTTTCTTACATAAATGGAACCTAAATAGTGATTATTGGTACCCAGAATTGACTGAGAAAGCAGATGGTGAGAAGTAGACTGTGGTAGAAGGTAGCCATACAATGTTTATAGGTGATGAATTGAGATGGTATACCTGGGAAAAGAAGGGTATTGCTAGTTGGTGACATGTATCAAGAATTTGAAAAATATGGGATAATTAATAATTATAAACACCATGTAATTGGGTACTATTGTTAGGGAAAAGTGACACACTGGAGAAAATGAAAGACCATATATTATTAGTGTAAAATCTAGTGAGCTTACCAGAAATCATATAAAAAGTTCTCATCCTCAACAACCAAAGAGCAGAAAAATCTGAAAACTAAGCTCTACATGTACTCATAAGTCTAAGAGACCTCTAGGGCAGGGGTTGTGGCTCAGTGGTAGAGCATTCGCCTAGCATGTGCCAGGCACTGGGTTCGATCCTCAGCACCACATAAAAATAAATAAAATAAAGTTTTTTTTAAAAAAAAAAAGAATAAGAGACCTCTAGAGAATGTTATATCTTCTCTTGCCACCATGAAGCCTTGATTAGAATGAGAAATATAGGACCCCAAATTCTGACTCATATTTTCTCCTTAACCTTCAACCTACAGAAATGATCTACTCCTTCCTTTAAAGAAGTAGTTTTCATTCTCCACTTTTTTCAATATGCTGCAGTGGCCTTTGCCCCACAAGACAACCCATACACACTTCTGGCCATTAGGAAAATACCTTGAATTATGTTATAAGATGTAACACACAGCCTCCAAGATGACCTCCAGTGACCTACGTCTTCAAATTTTCATGCCTTTGAATAGGGCTGACCTGGTGGTCAGTCAAAAACTTCAGAAGTGGCAGGATTATTTTCCAAGCCTAAGTCATAAAAGAAATTTAAGCTTGAATATTGGTCTCTCAGATTGCTTCCTCATTACATATTAGTAGTTTGTCAACATCATTACTTGTAGTAATGAGAAACAGAAAATGTACCTAATGAACTGGTTGATTGATCTAATGATGTCTCCAGGAAAATTGGTGAAGGAACTGCCTAATTTCTTCTTGTTGCCTTAGGGGAAAAGGCAATAAATGTGAGAGGAGACAAACTCAAGAAAGAAATGTAAAATATAAAGAATCCAAGAATTGGTTTTGATAATTCCTAGCTTCTCCAAATGGTGGATGCTGTTGAAATTTAAAAAAAAAATCTTTGAATCAAAGATCAAATCTCAGTCTCTGTCAGAAAAACATGATTTAAAGTTTTGAAAGCCAAAATTGTAAAAAGTATTTTGTCATAAACCTCAAAAAGATACAAAATGGTGCCTCAAAGGATTATACAATCATATAATAGAAATTCTAACAACTTAGAGAATTATCTATTAGGAGCTTCAGCAGAAAACAAAGGTAGAGAAAGATTGTCTTAATATATCTGTGCAGATGGCTTTTGTGGCTTAGGTTGAACCCAATGTTTTATATGAAGTTTTGCTAGAAATTGTACCAACTTGAAATGACAGAAAGTACAAAATTAAAAGAGGCCTTTTGGCCTTCAAACTTCTACAGGTGGAAAGCAGTCTGAAAAGAACTTGGCTTCAGACAGGGCTACCTTTCATGGAAAAGGAAGCATAATTAAGAAGAGTCCCGGAAGGTGGAGCCAAGAGTATGGGGAATCATTCTCTGATCTTGAGTCTTAATCAAAGTACTGCCAGCATACCAAGGAATGGATTCAGAATTTCTATTCACTCTTGTGTTTCTTGTTTTCCCCTTTTTGAAAGAAGGTGTGTGTAGTGGGTAACATGTTTATCCCACTATTTTATATTAGGTTTGTGGGGAAGAGTGAAGAATGAAAGATTTCATGTTTGTTTCACAGGCCGTCAGATTTAGAGGAACTAAAGTCTAGAAAATATTTTCAAGAAACATTAGCACAAGAGCTTCATTCACTCCTGGATTTGATTTAGGTTACAGAAATCTGGTCTTTGAGCTGATGCTTCAGCTGAGAGCAGGTGAAGGTATTTTGCATGTAGGAGGATATGAATCATTAGAAGTGGTTTCTAATTGGCAGCTTTCATGATGCCCCCCAGCAATCCTCTTTTCCTTGCCTGTACTACCACCCTGTGCCTTCCTCCCCCACATTGAATTAAGCTGACCTGTGTGACCTGTGTAACACTACAGAAGTGATGGTACATGTTTTAGTGATCTTTTTCGCTGCTGTTTCTTAAGGTCCTAACCAGAGCTGTTGTAGAGGAGTGAGTCTCTTTGGAAGTCAAGTCTTCTAGTCTCAGTCAAGCATTCAGTTGACTACATCCCAAGTCAACATTTTGACAGTCCAAGCAGTAAAAAATGTACTAGCAAGAGGAACATCAGCATCATTGAAAACTGCTGTTAGCAAGGGGAATTACTACCTCAGAACTGGACTGATAGCAGTGAAAATAATGATTCTAAAGTCATAGACACTGGTTGGTGGCACAGGCATGAACACTTTTTCTAACAACAAGTATTGAGTGGTAGTCTGGAGAACTTGATCCACAAATGATGATTGATACATAGTTCCCTTAAGGCAAGGTAGATGGACAGCCAGCAAAGGTACTGCCCAAGCCATGCAATCAGAAGAAAGGATGAGTGGATCATCAGGAGTTGGAGTACAGGCACATAATATCAGTCTATGATCTTTCCATAGTTTCCAGGTTTCAGAGCTGATGTCTGTTGACAGAGGAAGGGCTTATTTGTTAAAGAGAAACTCCTTGAATCATCACAGCAAATGAATGTGATAATGGTTACCATTTATGGTTGTGCATTTGCAAAGGGAAGCTATTTGCTTGGATAACCATACTTAGAGATCAAAAGAAACATCGTTTTCTCCTTGTTAGGGCCAGGAATACATGCAGGATAGACAATAAATGGAATTTAGACCCTTTTCTAGTTTATAAGGGTACATTAGAATCCACCTGGTGAGCATTTACACAGTTGTCAAATGTATCCTTGGAAAATAAATATTTGGAAGTTGGAATAATTTCTACAATGACTCCTTGCCTCTGGGGAAGAACTGTTGTACTAGGGAAGGTCATGTGTAATTCTTTGAAACTACCTAATTCCACTGGTCAAGATGGTAAATTAATTTTTGGAGGAGTGGAAAAGATTTTTTATTTAATATTTTTTAGTTGTAGTTGGACATAATACCTTTATTTTATTTATTTTTATGTGATGCTGAGGCTCAAACCCAGGGCCTCGAAAATGTTAGGCAAGTGCTCTACCACTGAGCTATAACCCCAGCCCTAGAAGAGCTATCTTTAAGCAATGTATAAGTAGTGGTCTCTCATTATATTATGATTTAACTCAACATTTTGTTCCTTGCAAAAGTCCATCCAGACAGGTTCTGAGGGATGAGAATGGATCTCTTACAAACTTAGTAGTCAACCTAATTGCAATTGCTGTGCCAGATGTGGCATCTTTTACCTGTGATACGCCATTAACACAGCCTAAGGATATGACACAGTGCCATTGATTTGAGAAAATTCCTTTTTCCAACACTTAACTTTTTCAGGGTTAT